ATGGCCCCCTCCCCCCCCCCCCCCCCCCCCCCCTCTAGCTACGTGCCTAAATGTCGTTTGAAACGGAGATTTGCCAAAAGTTAGGCAAGGTCATAACAGGCAACGATGCGAGAACAAATTTACATGAAAACACGCTCAGGCCTGTAGCCAACCATGATTGTTCAGAGGGGAAAGTAATATATCAGGAGGGACAATGGTACCGTATATGATGTTGTAGTAATGTAAGAATACTTTCAGAGGGGCAATCCATGTTTTAATATTTGGGTGGGGTGGAATTAATGTGAATGGATGAACACGCTTGGTATTTATCATCGTCGATTGACACGTTTTTGTTTTTTTTTTTTTTGTTTTATGCAGGCCTAAGACATACTTAATGGAACTCTATAGATTTACATTCTATGGTGTAATCTTATGTCTGGCCAAATTGCCTTACTGTGTAAAGTTCAAGTTTATAAGTGTTATCATCTATATTGGGGGACAATGTACAAGCGTAAATGTAAGACTAATAAACAATCTTTAAATCGACTATCGGAAGCACATTGTGTGTGGATTTAATCATCTCCAGAAATCAAAGGCCTTCGAGAGATAGAAAATTGATTTCTACTTTCATTTTAGTAATACGTTGTTTAATTGCGTATTATTGCATCTATGCAAAGTACAATTTTTACAGCAAGTTCAAAGTAAACCAAAGATTGATTGGATGTTATAATTTAGTCAGCCAATCGTGATTACTGTAACTAAATTTCTATTTTTAGGCACCTGTCGTCACATCCGGGTTTTGTTAAAAATGAACTGAGCGAATGAAGGATTGAAAGATGGCGAATTCGTCTGGTGTTGGATTAGATGATTCGCAAAATTCGGATACCATGTCGACTGATGATCGTTTGAAACGACTTTATCCCGCTGTTCGTGAGAACGAGACACCATTGCCTCGATCATGGAGCCCTAAAGACAAATATAACTTCATAGGGCTCTCCCAGAATAATTTACGAGTGCATTACAAAGGTGATTTTTTATTCGCAATAATAATCTATTTCTAACTGTACTGGATACTAGATCTATTCTTTTATCCTACGTCATTTCTATGACCTACTTTTTATTTCTCTTTTGTTCACTTTTATTCCTTTAGTGTTTATTTTATTCATTCCTAAAGACTGCGTTATGCCATCAATTATTTTAGTCCATTTACACATCAATCACAGAATTTTTATGTAGAGTAGGCTAGACGTCAATATCAAATTGTATTTTTGGCTTTTGCATTCTCCTTTTTATGATTTTAAAGATTATATGACCAAAAGGTACCTTGAGCCTAGTTTGATTATGATTATATATAAAAACAAGAGCCTTGCAACTGAAAATTACATGCAAAGTTCTGGCATAAGAGGAATAAGACTGGGCAATACCATGGTTTAAAATGGTTTATTATTGATGTGGCCAATCAGGAGTATTGTTTCTTAGTGTATGGCTTATAATAATAAGACATTTGTTTGAAAATATCTACATAAACTATGAACATTGATAACTGTAGGAGTTGCTCAAGTTCACTATTCAAGATCACAAATAACAGGGGTTAGCAAATGGGTCTTAAATCAAAAGTGTTGCAAAAGTTTATCTACATACCGGTACCAAATTTTATGTAAGGTTAAAAACTGATGGAGCTATCACAATTTCAGTAGGCAAGGTCACTAGGGTAAATGTTCCAAAATGGTTAAAATTCAAATTTTGATCTTTATTTTAGGTTTTTAAAAGCTTATAATAAGCTTACACATATGAAATTTGATCAAAATTGGTTAATAATGGCAGATTTTAGGGTGTTAACATGGAATAATCAAAATATGATTATCTCAAAGCATTATTTTCTGTCATAATCATTTTCAAGGTATGGGAAAGACTCACAAAGATGCTGCAAGTGTTCGAGCTACTCACCCTATACCATCATCATGTGGTATTTACTACTTTGAAGTTAAAATTATCAGCAAGGGTAGAGATGGGTAAGTAAGGCTTATTCATTGTCATGGATTTGGGGAAAAATCTCTTCTATCAGTTGGTGTCATAGTTGGGCCTACAGGACCTGAGATCAACTCTTTGAGGTAGTTTTGTCCCTTTACAATTAATGGTGAAAATATATCTTGGACCCTATCAAATAGAATAATGAGTTATTCAAATAAATAAAATGACATCTGAGTAATGAAATGGGTGTAACCAATATTTATTTGTGGTTATTACCTCAGAAGAATGAATAGAGTTAGTGGAGAGTTGAATAATAATATTGTATTATAATAGTTGAATTCTATAGAAACTTGCTATTGATTTTCAACCTACTTGGCCATTTTGACTAATAAATGATGTGGAGTATAAATACTAGTTTCATGTCTACTTTCATTTTTCCTTTTACTATATGATTAACTTTGATATTATTTGATTTATAAATTTGACATGTTGGTTTATTTTCTAACAAGGGCATTTGACAATAATAGTGTATTAGATAAATTCATGATATTTTGATATCTGGATAAAAACACTTAAAAACAAAGGATCACATGATGAATTAAATTAAAATCGTTTATGAAAAAAACATGTTATATGCTTTTTAGGTTTGGGCATTATAAATGACATTTATTCCCTTCTGTATTTGTAATGAACATTGTGATTCTGCGCTTGATTGCATTTTCATCCAATAATATATGTTGGTTTGGTTTATGGCTTCAAGCTAGACATTTAAGTACCTGATTTTATGATTTCCATAAAAACAAGTCCTAAAGTGAATATTCTTCTGGTATAGATAGATAGACAGATAGACAAAGTTGTCTCATAAGATTATTGACTTGCTTTGAGTAGTGATATATATATATAGCATAGTGAAGCCATCACTGACATTGAGTTATGTTAAAGGAACACTTAGCCTAAAATTACATTGTTAAAATTTTCAATTCACCTCTCTCCAATGTTTTGGTCCAGTGGGACATCTGCAATTCCCATCAATACATAGAGATAGTGCCATCAAAATATTTCAAATTGCACAAAAGGAGCTCAATAGATAAAGTGTCTCCAATTCATTATAACATGTGATAGTTATTCTCCAGTTGTTTTGGGAAGCTTGAAGGCTGTGTTATAAGCAGGAAAATTTCCTTTATGTAACGTAAACATCTAATATAAATTAAAGTTATAACTGCAATGTAATATAGACCTAGTAATACACATGGTCATGTCTATGTTGTTATATAAGCTTAGTATAAGATAATATATAAGACTAGTACACTGGGCTAATCTTAGCTTATTATAAATAATATAAATACAGAAAGAATTGTATATGACCAATTTTATTGATATTCAGGTTCCTACTAAATTCCATTCCAAGAAATTAAATAACAATGTTCTCTCATGTGAAAAATGTCAAATAGTGTCCAATATCTTGACTGCAATAGGCTATGTTCTTGCATTATGTAATGCAGCAATATGATTGGATCATACGATAGCAAATACAACCATTTAGATCCCTCAAAAGAAAATAAGATTAGGGCTTTTTGCTTACAGAGTTAAGGTTGAGAGCACTGATTGGCTGTATTCACTAGAGTACAATCATTATCAAAGATGTTATAGGCAATTCATACTAGCTTAACATTGTGAAGATGGTGTCTATATGGTCTTTCAATATTAATTTGTTCTTAACTAGAGACATACTTGCCTTCAATTCATAATACATTGAGTATATTGTCATTGATATCTTCTTATCTGTCATTCCTATTTTCCTTGTTTTAGCTAATAAGAAAATATTGCTGAAATCTTTTAAGAATAAAAATTTGGAAATATATATGCTACAGTGTCTGAATTTTGACCTAGTTTACTTGGTCACATTAATCAAAATGGGTCAAGAATCTAAGCTAGGTTTTCTAGTTGACCCAGCTCGCAGATTGTCCTATTTCATTCTTGTAAAATTGTTTCTTTAGAAACAATGTTAAAATTTGTTTATATATTGTTTATTTATATTACTGTGTATTTTTAGATATATGGGTATTGGATTATCAGCACAAGGCGTTAATATGAACAGATTACCAGGTAAACATATTAACAATTCTATTATTATTAGGCATTATCATCCTTACAAAGACACCTTATGTCACTCTATGACTCTCTCTTGAAGATTCCTTATGTGAAAACCTGAACATTGAATTACAAATTCAAATCATCAAGGTAGCCTTTTTTGAACTGAAAAACTAGGCCTTGCCTTGTCTTATTTATACATATTAAGACTTGTTATGTCAACTATTTTGATACCATTTCATTATTCATGTATAGACAAAGGAATTAGTCATTGTCTTTATTAATATGAGTAAACATTATATACACCAAGTGACATCTTTAACAAAGAATTTAAATTCATATTATTCATAAATTATTTAAGGATGGGATAAACATTCATATGGTTTCCATGGTGATGATGGAAATTCATTTTGTTCATCTGGCGCCGGACAACAGTATGGTCCAACATTTACCACAGGAGATGTTATCGGATGTTGTGTTAATTTGGTAGAAAAAACCTGTTTTTACACCAAAAATGGCATTCATTTAGGTGAGAAATTCAGTTTTATTTATTCTTAATCAAGAATTTAGATCACTTCCTCATAGGATAAGCCAACAACAGATATACTGGAAAAAGATTTGATATAAGTTATTATCATTCATAAGTCTTTATATATAGCTAAATTATAATTTACTATAACTGTATTATTATTGCTTTATTTTCAGGGGTTGCCTTCACTGCTTTACCAGTAAGTCTTCTTTTAGCCTTATCAAATCATACGTTACATATATCCTGAATGATACATAGATCTAAAACAGAAGTGATATTCAGCTCACTGTCAGTTAAGTCATCAACTGCCTTGTGTTACAAGTTTTCCACTGGTCAGGGTGGTCCCTGTTCATATTCTTGTACAAACTCATGTTAGGGTCTTAATTATTTCAGCCCAATCTCTACCCAACAGTTGGTTTACAAACACCAGGTGAAGTTGTAGAGGCTAATTTTGGTCAATCACCATTTATATTTGATATAGAAGACTATATGAAGGTAATATGCCCTTGTGTGGTTTTTTTTTTTCAAATATAAAGAATGAAAAATCATTGAAATTTTCATTTAAAAATGCTAATGGAAATTTTTTGCAAATACATTTAAGATTAAATAATTATTTGAAAGGTGATTTGATTATTGCAGTTGTACATTTAGGAAAGAAAAGAAAATACTAATTTGAATTGTCATTTGCCCAAGCAGCCTAAGTTATGTATCTATTAATATTGAATTTCAATGAAAGTATCCATTTCAGGAATATGAAATGAAAACTAGGATGACAATAGAGAGATTTCCTGTACCAGATAGAAGAGGAGAATGGCAATCTGCTTTAAATAGGTAAAATATCTGTCTTTACATTAAAGAACGCTTGATCAAAATCAATTGAGTTTTTTTTCTGTCTACACAGTACCAATAACCAACTTTTCAAATTCAAACTCATTCAATTCATCTTATACCATCTGCAGGTCTGTAGTTGGCATTCGAGTCCACCGTAACAAAATATACTTGATTTATTGTAGAGTTGTATCAACATATTTAGTACATCATGGATATTGTAGTACTGCTGAAGCTTTCTCTAAAGTGACTGGAGAATCTATAGATGAAGATCTACCTTCTATTAAAAACAGACAAAGTAAGTAACAATATAGATATGATGTTGAAATCCTGCACAAGCTTACAGCAATGGTATTTCTTAATAAGCCAATCATTTTGACAAGTGTTCAATATGTAACAAGAGTGGTTCATCGGTTAAAATTTTGTCAATCCTTACAATGTTATAACATTCTCTCTTGCAGAAATACAGAAGTTAGTATTAGCTGGTAGAATGGGAGAAGCTATATCAACAACACAAGACTATTACCCTGGACTATTAGAAAGTAACCCTAATTTATTATTCACCTTAAAGTGTAGACAATTCATAGAAATGGTTAACGGAACAGATTCAGAAGTACGAGGACCGTCCATGCACAGTCCCAAATCTCGTCATAGTAGTGGTAGTAACCGATCCAGTCCTAACTCAAGTCCAGTACATTACGGCAGCTCAACAAACAATCTCCACCCTCAACGAACTCTGATAGGCTCGGGCAATAATAGCCCCAGTCGCTCATCTGTTAAAACTTATAATGCACAAAATCAGAACTCGCAAACTCAAAATGAGAATATACACAGAATTGAGGAAGAAATGAACACAGTGAATTCTGATACTCATTCTATGAATGGTTCTAGTAATCGGTATATTGATGAGGAAGATATAGAAATGACTGATGGACTTATTGATGAACGAGTTATAACTAACGGTAAATCCAATAGTGTGTGTTTGAATGGAAATTCTCATACTGATTATTCTACAGAAGATATGGGTAGGTCATATTGCCCCGTTTTTATAGTGTTTGTTTATTTATTTTATTATATGTGTGATAGTGTGATAAAATTATATTCTTGGATTAAAGTAAGTATTGTAATTTTTTTTCTAAAGATTTTATGATGTGGGGTTATTTAAATATTTTTGGCAAAGTTTCCCCAAATACAAACAAAGCTAATGTTGCTTTTAAACTTAATCAGCTAAAGAAAGAATTTTCATTACCAGTATATGAAATGTGGCCACCAATTTATTCTATGATTTTAACAGAAGTGGACTGTCCCAATAGTAAGAGAAAGTTATGTGGTGGAAGCCAAGATGCAATAAGTAAAATGTTACAGTTTGGTAAAGAACTACAAAGTATGAGTGAACAATTAAAAAGACAATTTGGAAAAAATGATGCAAATAAAAAGGCATTACAAGTAATTATATTTTTTTTTAATGTTAAACCAATCTTGATGTCTAAATATTCATTTCCCTGCTCATGGAAATCATCTATCTGAAGAAAATAATATCTCAGTACAATACTGTATAATCATTAATGTCTTATCAATAGTATAATTATTATACATTATGTTTTCTATAATTGCAGATGCCTTGAGCTAAATCTGTGATAGGTACCAAGTTGGGTTTTCAATCATTGTAGAAAGACTATCTTCATTAGTCCATAAAATCTGTTATTAATTATCTAAATTGTTAATTCCAGGATGCTTTTAGTTTATTGGCATATTCTGATCCATGGAATAGTCCAGTAGGTCATCAATTACAACCTGTTAAAAGAGAACCAGTGTGTGCCGCTTTAAATAGTGCCATATTAGGTAGGTCAGAAGGCTCAATTCTTGATTATTTATCATTCAACTATTTTGTTGTTCAACTTATTTCAATCAAGAAACCACTGATAATGTAAAGTACGATATCTAGAAAATAGTAAATGATATTATGTTTTAAGAAATTGGAAAAGGATTTTGAAAATGTATTTGTTGGGTCTATTGAAAGTTTATTTCACGTGAGATTTTGTTAAAAAGTTTGGAATCAAAATTAATTGTCTTGTATATTGTACTCTAGTTTTCTTTTTCAGAATCCAAAGGATTGCCAAAACAGCCACCTTTAGAAGTGGCAATAGCTCAGGCCACAGAATGCATGAAATTAATGGCGAAAGCTGGTATTGGATCATGTGCATTTGCCAGTGTCTCAGACTATCTTCATTGACCGTAACTTAAATTAATATAACAGGATTTAGTCCATACAATTTCTTCCTTGAAACTGTTATGTGCATTAGATATACAAGGCTTAAACCAAGTCCCCTATTTGAAGGGATGCAGTCATGAAATAAAGGAACCTCCAAGTAGTGTCTACCTCTAAGGATTGATAAATTGACAGATATTGATATATATATTTAGTAATGTAACTGGTTTATACCATTTTGGTTGAAATGCAGGTCTTGATGCTTTTGTGATCTTTCATTTAATCATAGATGGCGAGTTTAGGAACCCACAAGAAAATACAAAACAGAATAATCAATCAGCATTTCAATCAGATATGAATAAGCCCAGATTTATTAGTTAACATATTCTCAGGCAGTTTTCAACTTGGCATTCTGACAAGCAATTGCAGTTATTTCACTTTTAAGTCTTAATTATGAGTGAAAATATCTCTTATAATTTTGCAATCTCTTGCCTTTTCTGAATAATTTATTAGAATTTTTATCAGTTGTATAATTGAACTCATATGAATTGTGAAATATCTCTTCAGACTGTGTCAATGGTATTTTCACAAAGATACGAATGTAGCATTTAAAACAGTTGACATTGCTATTATTATAGAGCCAGTGATATTTCTTAACTTTATTTAGGAGAGCACAATTGGTGCTTGTAATGCCCATTCAAGATGTATACTTATCATAGACAGCTGGCTTGCCAATGGGGATATAGGAAACTGAAGCAATAAGGATGAGCTATATGTAATTCTGAAACCCATTATTTTACATCAGAATATTTTCTTCCAAGACAAAATAGGACTATAAGTTGTTTTTTAACAATTGAAGATCTAAGTTTGCACAAGGAAGAGATAAATTTAGAATGAATTTGCCAGTATAACAGATAAGGAGGTGTACTTTGTTTAATTTATTTGTGATAATGTTTTTATTATTATATTGATGATTACTATTGATTGAACTAGTTGTAGTTACAACTATTTTTTAAATTCTATCTTATATGATACTGTATGTATTTTGATGTACCTGGTTACAATGTGAGATATAAGATATCTGAATGAAGTGTGATTATAAGTAATTATTATTATCATTATTAATATAATAAAACACCCTAGTTTGTAAATAACTCTTTGTTTTTTTTTATTTTGTCCTTGCCTGTACATATCTGGATGGTTCAATTTTCACATTCATGAGAATCCAAAATAAAATTCAGCTACAAAAAAGAATTTATGATAATAGGTCATGTATAAGACCATTCTACTTTCTTCTAAAAGCCCCTTGGGACAATCAGCTAATGATAAAAATCAGTTATATGGAAACAAAAACACAATGTCAATTTCTACAATCATTTATTATATCAAAATTCCCTGAATATTGCACATCATCACCTTAATCTGCGCTCAAAACTTGTATTTTCTTGGTTAAAGTCTGTTTAGGAAATAAAAATTCCTTCATTATTTGATCTAGTTCATTTAGAGCTAGTGTAATATGTGTTTTAACTATATCATTAGATTCTGTTATATACACAGACTTTAATAGCCGATATAAATCTTTTAATGCTGTACCTAATATCTGAAATTAATAAAAGTATACTAGTAATTCTTGAACCAGGACTTGACCTGCTGTCACAACTTTATTTCCCAAAACATGCACATTTTATTAAAAAAAAAAACAATTCGAAACTTCAAAGATTATGAGATTCTTGGCTCGGAAAACGAATAGGCACTCTCTACTTTGCAGGAACACAATCTAAGTCATTTTGACCTAGAATGATCCAGAGTGGCTAGTGGACTTGTATCAAGAATCTTGAACTTATCTTGTGCATAAACAAAAGTGTAATGCTTGTTTACCTGAAAACTGTCTCTACCAGTACCTTGTAATAAATGAGTAAAAACTAAAGCTGCAGCTTTCCTGGCTTCATCATTTACATCAGATTTTAATATACTTCCACAGCATGATATAATCTAAATGATAAAAGCACATGTTATTTCTAACATGTAAATCATTCATCTTCAGCTATTTCTTTTCACCAGTCAAAAGTTTTTCAGCAGTAGCCAATAGAGCAATTTGAATAATTAAATAAAGGGATATCGTTTAGATCAATTTTAATTGATGGGTTTTACTCGAATTAAATCATGGAAAAAAGGGGGTCTCATTCATACATATTATTTAGTTGATTAAAACTATGTAACTACTTACTTCATGAATATGAGAACCAATAGAGAAGTGTAATAATTGTGATAATTCTGTTAGGTTTGATAAACTACTGGCCCGTATCAATGGATCTGTATCTTTGACACCACATAGAACAGCCGGAAGTAGTATATTCTTATATTTAGGCAACATATCACCTAGAAATATAATCGCTACCATAAACAATATTTGTTGTCAAGTTTTTTTTAAGTTTGAAAACAATCACAACTGAAGGAAATCATATCACAATCTATTCCTCTTATATTTGATAACTTTGCTTATGAAAAAAGCAAACTTTTTCCTAAATGTTAAACTTTTTTTTCAAAAACTCACCTAAAACTCTGGATGTTTTCACTAAAGCCTCCCCTACTTTTATTTTATGTTCACTTTGTAAAGATGTCTTTTGTCCTGTAATTTTGGAAAATTCTGTTGCCAGTCTTGGCACCACTTTATCAGGAAGGATATTAGCCATGGCAACCATTCCATTTACTGAGGGTAAGTATAAGTAAGTATCAGCATGACCAAGATTCTGTTCTAGAATATTCAACACTGTATCTTGATACTTTACAATGTCTTTATCTTGTGATTCTATCAATTTAGTTAGAGTCAGCAATGCATGACCTCGAATTGGAATTTCAGGATGGCACAGTTCTTCAAAGACTTCTTTAAGCTTGGAATCAGAATCAATGAAAATGTTTTCCACTGATTTTTGGTCAATATTTGAAATCAAGTCAGGCTTTGTCACATTGTTAATGTTTGATCTTGTAGTTTCTGATAATCCTGATGCCATTGGTGGTGTTTCAGAGAGAACTTCTATCAATGGTTTGGTCTCTTTAAGTTTTTCTTTGACCTATAATTTAAAATGTTATCAGAATTATATTGAAATTTCATCAATGATACATCTTCTTTCTTTTCAACCAGATTTGAGTATATAATTTCTTACCTCAGATTTAAAAAACAAGAAAAAACTCATGGCATTATGAAGATTGATGACTGATAACGAAGTATGTTGAATTCTGTTGTAATTACTCTGGATTAATTACCTCATCAGAAGGAACTTTGTTTTCTCTTTTAGATTTTGATATTTCAGAAATAACAATTCCTCTAGTTGCTATAGCTATTTTTATATCTGTAGCCATTTCCTGGATTTCATCTGATGGATGGTTGACAGCTAGTTCATTCAACAAGGGCACTAACTCTTCCATTTTACTTTTATCTTCTTCTGTAAACTTCTATAATAAATCACAAATTAATGAGAATGGCAACCAACATGATCAATTAATATTTATTGGGCATCATAGGACAATTTGTCCCCATCTTGTTTCTTACAAAAGAGGATAGATATAAATTTGCTATTTGATGCCTTAGATGATCGTGTACAAGTATGGAGGACGTATTCCTATTGGTATAAATAACATGAATGCTCAAATAATCAATTCAGTCCAAAAGTTTTTATTCTTACCTGATTAGAATCTGACATTAAAGCTGTTAACAATCCAATAGCCATCGTCATGGTTTCACTTTCAAACAATGTAAATATATCATCTTCTGTATGTTTACAGATTTCTACACCACGTTCTAATGTTGCCTAGGAATATGATATTAAAATAGGTCAGTAAAGAAACATGAATTTGAATGTTGCAGTTATCAATAATTAAGAAGTTCAATGACCTAGCTGTCCTAAAACAGTTTCATTTTCCTTCGTTTTTACACTAGTACACAGTACAAAATCTAAAAGCGCCCTTAATATATAAGATATGTATTATGTTTAATATACATATATAAGTAATATTTATTTTTCATACCTTAACAAATTCCAGTATCTGCTGATGAGATTGAAAACAAGAGGAATCTAAAGTCTCTGATAAAACAGCTATTAGGTTTAATATAATAAGTCTCTGATTGAAGGAATCTAACTTTCCCAATGTCTTCTTTTCAATTTCTATCAACAGCTCCTCCTCTTTCACCTGCTCTTCATTTTGATTGACAGTTACACTTCCAGTCTCTTGCCGAATAATATCAGTTAATTTCTGGAAAAAAAATTAGTAAAATATCTTTTAACTAAGTGGTACAAATTAAACATCGATTCATTTGATGTCAAACAAATTGGCTGCGCGTTCTAATTCTATTGGCATGTGAAAGTCTGGCACAAGCTTTTACCTTGAGAAGAAATACAAAGAAATCTCCAGCCAAACCATCTGATTGTAAACTTTTTAACAAATTCTTCAGACACTCTATTCTATTATTAGAATCTTCATTCCAATGGTCATCCTGACTAAAAATAAAAGAATAGTCGTAAGTTTCCAGAAAAATACTTCAAAAGAAAAAATCATCAACAATCATTTCCTTAATGGCGTTGCATCTGTGACAAGATTACTGACCATATTTTCAAGTTTTTTAATTTTTTAACACAAATCCTCATCTATCAAAGGTCAAATCTTGGAAGTCTGGAATCTTAATATTTCAGATTGGTCAATAATATCCCTGCAATATCCAATCAGATTTCTTAGCATTGAGCGTCAGAATTGTTTTGTAGTTATGTTTGTGACAAAACCGCCCAGATCAACAATTTCTCTAAGGAATAATGGTTCTTCTCTTTCTCTCTTTAAGATACTTACATATTGTTAGAAGTAATCAGTTTAACACTGCCATTTTCTTCAGTAACAAATTCAACATGTTGATTTAATGATTGGTCTGTTCCTGGTTTAATCCATCCATATGATAATCCTATTAATCCATCTAGAGCTTCCTGTCTATCAACTGATTTAAAATAGGTAATCAACAGCTCTTGACATTTCACTCTAAAATGTATCATTTATATTGAAAATGTTTGTAAATTATGGAAATGGACTTTGAAGTCTTGTTTCACAAATGTCTGTGCATGATATGCATGACTAATGTATATGGCAGTGGCAACTGCAGTAATACTACATATAGTAGCCTTTTTCACTTTGTTTTAATTGTAACACTTTATTTATTTTATTGCGGTGCAGAAAGAGCCCTAGTTTTGACGGTTTACAGCCAAATGAGTGTCAATAACAGCTAGGCTTATCAGTTTCCCTTTAAAAATTCAAATTGGCATCAAAAAATCTCTGCAAACCATCATAATCATATTTGTCTCACAAAAGAATTCTTGAGAGGAAGGAAGTGAAGGGGAAACCAGACTGACCCACAAAAGCTCTGACATCAGCAATCCTGATCTTGCCGGGTAGCTTCTTATGCAATGCAACTGTATTCTGGTACTTCTTAGCACTGAGTTAGGCTCATAATGTAGGGAGGTAACATGTAATTGCAACAAAGCACGAGCGCCAAGGGATCTGATCGGTTATTGTACAATTGTACAAATGACTAGATTCTTTTCTTGTCAGTGCCTCTGACCTGCTTCACTGAGCAGAAACTGGGTTGAAATTGATATAATCATGTATTACAGACTTCAGTTAAGAATTTTTATTACATTTTTTTTGTAGAAAAATATTCTTTTTCAATCGAATCATAAATACAATGCTATATTATAAACAAAATTAAAATCATGTTGAAGAGCAATCTTAGTTTAGAAAACCAGATGAAGGTCACTTTGTTTAAATTATGTACATAGATTATAGGATACAAATAATAATGCTTGAATAGGAAAGCACTTGTCGAAATTACTTTATTTCTTAATCAAAGTTGTATAATGAACTAGATGACTGGAATTTTCAAAATTCATAAAGTAGGAGTTATTATTTCATTAAAGACATTATTGGTTAATGACATGCCTCAAGAAGTTGTATATTAAAGTAGATGACAGAATATTCTAATTTCATACATTAGAAGCTATTGCTGGTTTTTATTATTAACAGCAATTCAGTGTTGAGAACCTCCGCTATTAACAGTTTGTCACAAGTGTAAATAAGAAATCAATTAGCTTTCAATCTTTAACATTAGATGATTTTTGTTTCTCCAGCATAAAAAGTTTAACTTTAGCTACCAAAAGCACTTATCAGAATAACAGTCCAACAGTTCAACATTCTGAATAGTAATATTGGACACTGGAGTGCCTGATAACAATATAATTAGACCCTTTAAGATTTGCTAATGCCATTTATTATAAGTGATAATGAAGTAACAATTATCAATCTAAGTTTATGGCATGGCAACTTAAAATTCTTTTCCTGGTACTCGATCAGCACTATTTTTAATTGGTGGTTATTGACATTAGCTTAAACAATTTCACAGAAATTGCTGAGTACATCCTGAGAGAGTATTATTATGAAATGGAGTTTCCTAAAAGCTAAACATTATATTACAAAATAATACCACAACATTGGCCAATAAATAGAATTGATTTTGAATTTAATTTATAATCCAATCAGATATGCCATTATTTATTTGGATTAACCAAAGTTTAGTTCCAAATATGAGGCCAAAGAAGTCTTCAAAGCTATTTTTCTAGTAATAATAAGACAACAATAAATCATCATTACTTGATTAGAATGACAATTAGTGTCATATTAATTAAAACAAATCTTCTAGACTATATTACCAACAGTTCTAACATATAATCACATTCCAAAATGAAAATCAATACAGAAAATTCAAGAAAAATTAGATCATAGCTTTTACAAATTTAAAGTTCTATAATTAATCTTATTTTGAATGAAAACACATCTTTCAGTGTGATAAAATTGGTCACAAATGGGAATGGTACTAAAAATGAACAACTCCGTAACTTTTACTACTATTATAGAAATATTTCCTTGTGTTTTTTATTACCCACTTTATGAACTAAAATGACAGCAAATGCCATTAGTTTTAATGGGAGAAAGAAGAAGATATTTTAAACCCTTTGCATATTAATGTGGGACAGCTGTTTTGTTTACACCAATACAATGTTTGTGGTTTAAAATAGTCCAGAAAACCTTGTGAAGAGATTATGATGTAACTATAGCAAATACCGTTGGGATTGGACACAAACATGAAGACTAGTAGATCTTATTTGAATCCCATATATAGGATAATTTAATATATATATATTTTATATGTTTCTATGATTCCTCACTACCCATATTAGTACTTAGTTTGGTTATTGTAATTTCAAGAGAGAAATTTATACATGGCACAAGCTTAACAGTTTAGGTCAAATAAGATTGGCAAGATTAATCTAACTTTATATAAAATCAATATGGGAACACAGCCAAAACTGGTCAGATAATAAACTGTCTTTGGATTTATATTGTATAAGCCATTTCAGTCTTGCCAACCAATGTTCTTTGTAGGGTAATTCTGCCTAAGAATCCTAATTCAAAAAGTTACTATTTCATTGGTATTTTTTGTCAAGTATAAAACATTTACAATTATTCTTAATTTATTAGATGTTGGGTCAAGCAGAAAGTTTTTAAACAGGCACTGTTTCATGGTGGCTTATGTTGGTATCTTGTGGATGGGAAGCAAAATAACGCACATCTCTATCTTTGTCAGTCTGTAAATTCTTTAGAGTTGACACCAGATCCTCGTGATGAGGGTTAGATTGAGAAGTAAAATATTCTAAAGGTATAATACACTGGGATAAAACTTTAGCTAATGTCAATCGAACATTTGGTATGGTATCTTGACCTAAAGCTAGTAAACTAGGTAGAAGATCTCTAGCAAAAACTGCTGGAGGTAACGAATTTTCATCCATAATACACATACACACGCGAGCAAATACTTGACGCCCTATCCACTTTTTATTCATAGCAAACTTCTCAATAATATCATTAACTAGAGTCATAGTAAGATTTTCTTCACCTTCAGTATACAGTCTCTGTATTATAAAACTTAACAATCTAAACGCAATTATTCTTACTTCAGACACTTTATCAGACGCTAAGGCCATAGCTATTGGTACTATATACAAACTAACATCGGAAGGGGAGAATAATTCACACAGAAATATTAATTGTTCTGCTAATTCTAATCTAAATCTCCAGTTTCGGTGGTTATCAGTAGACATAAATTCCTGAATACGCCCCAAATATCTTCGACGAATGACAGGATTCAACAGTTGGAGAATATCTGCAAAATGCTTCAATATACCAATCCTGACTTCATCTAAATCCTTGAGAAAACCATCTAATACTGGAACTAGGTCATTATGCGTGATTTCTTCACCTAATATAACAGCTAATTCATGTAGAGAAAAGGCCAGTGTTCTTCGAACTTTCCATTGAACATCTTGAGTAAGTGTTACATACAAATGTCGAATAACATACCAGTTGTTTCGACCAAGTGTATAGGCAACAGCAGGCAAATTATAAGCACAATGACGTGTTATTTCTGTATCAACAGTTTGAGCTCTGGAAGGGTCCACCATTCCAAGATAATTTTCTAAGAGACTTTGTGGTACTATGTCTTGTTGCTGAGCAAGTGAGGCATCATCAATGTGGCTGTGTTCTGACAACAAACTTTCACGTGGTGAGTGAGAGGAGTCACTATCAATAAACCCAATATTACTATTACTGATATCTTGTACAACACCATTCATTACAGCTAAGGTGGCTTCATTGATCTGCTGGCCTAAAACATGAGTACTACCAATATTATCTACCATTTCACTACTTTCTCCTACAGTGTTCACACTAGCCATGTGAATCTTAACACCATCATTATCATAAGATGAAGAATCATCAGACACACTGGCGATTTCTTGTTTTGAAACTCCCTTATCATCAATGACTACATTCATCTGAGAAGAATAAACTTTGCGTTTATCTTCATCTTTAACTCTAGCTGAGACATGGATATTAGTGGGCATTCCATTCACTAAATCAAAATCAACATCAACCTCAGGTAGAGGCGAACGCCAAAATTGAAAAGTGTTAAAGGATTCTAGATTGTTTAAATGTATATGAACACTATCTTTATCAGTTTGAGAAACACTAGAAAGATCACTAGCACTACCAAAAACTGAATCATTATCTGATTGTGAGTTATCACTACTATTGTCAATGTCTTCAGTTTTACTAGTAGTTGGGATATCTATATTACTGGTTCTACTTTCAGACTCTTCATCATTGGTTGATAAACTATTTTCTTGAGCAATATTAGCATCATTATCATTCCTAGCATCATAAACCTCTGCCCTTGATTCTTCAAACGATCTTGCTGTTTCTGCAATCTGGACATTATCTTCATCCTCTTCCATTGCTTCTGGTGTTATGTCTTTTTCCTCCACATTATCTTCTGAAGAGTCCGTCAGTTGGGTTGACTTCAGTTTACCTTCCAATTCAGACAATTCTTCTTTTTCATTGTTACTGTCATTCTTCAGGTAAACCAACTTGTCATCATCCTTCTGATCATAAATATTGCGAAAATAAATATTGCCTTCTTCATTTACATATAAACCAGTTGTGTTTGGGTCAGCAAATGTTGAAATAAAAGGACCAAGTTGTTGAAATGCTGACATTCTAACCCATCTAGACTGATCGCAGAGTAGATTGACAAAGACACTGGCTAACTTTGATCTTCTGATGTCTGGGGCACAGGCACATGATACCGACATGAAGCATTCAGCACACGCCTTTCTGGCTCCCCATACACAATCTTCACATAAATAGTAGAATTTAGGAAGCAAATACTTTTCAGTGTTTTCTGAACCAACAACAGAACATATTTCACCAAAGTTTGTGGCACATACTTTTCTCACATTGAAGACCGGGTCTGTGCACATCTCACAATAACGAGACAAGAAGAGACGTTCAGTGATATCTTTACCAAGGAGTGGAGACATTTTACTCATTAAGGCCACAGCCTCTGTTCTATGGTCGTCTAAACTGTCTGGACTAGATAATTCTAATATAACATGTACAACTTGATCTTCCACATCTTCTTTCTCTACAAGTTCTTGTTCTAGCAGCACCAATAGAGCCGCTTGACTGGTTTTACGAACTTGATTATTGCAATCATTTAGGTACTTGACAACCATTGGTAATATGAAAGTTGTAACTGCCGTTTGAAAAAGGTCACTGTTTTCTTTACAATAAGCAGTAATGTGTGGGACTTGTTCCATTAATTCAGACCTTACTGAAGATTCTGGGTCTTCAGAAAGACGGGTCATTGCAACAAGGACAGCTTTACAATCTTCTTCATCGTCGCCCACAGCTCTCAGTGTGTCAAGTAAACCACGGGCCACCATTTGCCTGTTGAAAATATTTTCATTGTCTATATATTTCTCAAGCCTTTGAAGGGGTCCGAGATTATCATCTTCATCGCCATAACCATCATCAAACCCGAATCCATCGTCCTGATTATCATCACCATCATCCTGGTAGAAATCTATGTCAGCCATTTTGTTGTATTATCTCTAGTAAGTTCGTTCACATGACCCTCGACCTTGTAGCCTCACTGTCACATAATGTCCCGGGGCATTTATTACGTACTTTTTACAAATTCGTTCATAAAAAGTGGTTTGTTTTTACAAGCAATTGTCATTTCATCGTTTTATTTGTGTATTAATACTTTCAATAAATCCAACAAACGCGCAGAGTGATGCGTTTATTCAGGATTGAATCTAGTATTGTGAATGAGATGAACAATGCCCATAAAGAGCAGTGCGTATTACGCGTGCGCATTCACATTTTCAAAAACGTGATTCATAAAGGCCCCCACTATCATTCTATGAAAACAGCAAAAAGGCTGCGTTTCAAAACTGCTTCAAGACCCTTGCTATATTATTCGAGATAAAAGTTCAAATAAATAGGCGATACTCATTTACTGATCGAATTCATAGATGACTTTACAGAAATATTTTATCTCGACCCACTTTCGTTTAAAAGGCACGCCCCTTATAGTCAATTCGACCTATAACCAAACCGACCAGATTAATCGTCCAAATAGTACAAACCTGATAAATATGGAATCGGTAGAAAAACTGTACAATGCAAAGAGTGGATGAATAACGTTCTTCAAAAGTCTTCTGTGAGATGACATGGGTTCTCCATCACTGACAAACACCTGAAAGAGATGAGGAATCACCATGTGAAAATTGAGTGGGAATCACTGAACAAAATATTAGACCTATCCAACTGACATATAGTGAACGTGATATCTAGAACCACAACAGTAAAGCATTTCTAATGGCAGAAACATTAAATATATTCACCAATACTCTTGTTTTTTAATCATCAATTACCTTGTGCAAGTTTTCAATGCATATTGAAATCTGCTGTTCGGCAAAATTCTCACAATCATGGTTATCTGAAACACAACCAGAATTGTTTATAAGTAACCGATACAGATGTGTGCGATTAACTCTGATGTGAAATACTATCCTGGGGCGAATTGTCTTGTTAGAACATAGTGGGTATTAATTCGAGACAATAAAAGGGGAGCAAACTCCTATGGGTAACTCTTACTCTCAAAATCAATTTAATAATCTGATAATAAAATATTGTTTTTGATTTGACAATTATTTTAATTAATCTACATATTATTCATCTCGCTAACAGTACAATGATGCTGTACATAACACCCGAATCAATCGGAGAGCACTTTTCTCCAAAAAGAGACTAAAAAACCAAGACTATGATAAGCGTCTCCCGTAGTTACAATTATTTACATCCGGTCTAAGCTGTCAATGAAAATTTATCAGTCTCTCAAAAGAAATACTATCAAAATATATTAGTTTGTTGGACACTTAGGTTAGTATAAGCTTAAATTTGTAAAAGATATATTGTAAGTTTGCAATGTGTGTCGATTGTGGATTTCAACCCTAATTTCAAATGGAATCTTCAGCCAGAGTCGAATATAGTTACGGGCCTATAATGCTATATATGGCAACAAATTAAACAGATTATTGATTTGAAATCTTTTATAATTTCAGAATAGTACATCACAATGCCTAAGAAATCTAAAAAGTCTGGCAAGTTGCTGTCTAGAATGACAGAAGAAGAGAGAATGGCTTATGAAGAGAGAAAGAGAGTAGAAGAAGAAGAGATGAGGAAGAAAAAGGAAGACATGTTGACTCAGTTTTTAAAAGATAAACTATCAAAAGAAGAAAGAGCAACACGATTTAATTTGAGTAAACTAAATCATCAATGGAGAAATATTATGCGTGAATCAAAATCAAAGGAGTTAAAGAAAGACATTGAAATACTCAGTCAAACATTTGAACGAGTCGTTGACCGCAAGGATGCAGTTATCAAATCTTTAGCTAAAGACTTAATGGAAGCTGAAGAACAATATTCCATGGCTCTGAGAAGTCATCTCCAGAATATTGATAACCTAATCACCCTTCAACAACAACTGTTGACCAAATATCAAGATCAGTACACTGATGAATTAGAAATCATCAAAGAAGAATTTGACACCGAAAGAGCCATGTTGATCGAACAACACAATCAAGAGATGAATGATGTAGCAGATATTCTCTTCGCTATGGAACAAAACTATCAAGAAAGGGAAAATGATGCAAAAGCAGACTTCCAAAGTATGAGGGATGAAATTAAGAATAAGAATTTAGAAGAAAAACATGCATTGAGAGTTCAGCTAGAAACCAAGGTGGATGATTTGTGGCAACAATTTAGAACAGCATTACAAAATTACAACGAAACTACAGAAGAAAGGAAAACAGCATTTGAAGGGTTGAAGATCAGAGATGAAAAGAGTGCCAAGGAAATTGAGTTACAAATGAGAAAATTACAGAGAATTTCAGATCAAATAGCTGGTTTGAAAGGTAAAATGTCCAATAATGCTAAAGAATGTGATGAAAAGAACAGACAGTTGAAAGAAGAAAGAGAAAAGATGTTATCACATTTCCAAGATCTTAAAGCTCAAATGAACAAACTTCGAGATGCAGAGAGAGAAAAATTAACCAAATTGACACTAGAAAGTAATGCTGGAATTAAAGAGCTGAAACGACAAAAGGAGAAGGGTGAACAAATCTTTAGGTTAGCTGAAATGTGTAGAAAATTAGAAACAGAAGAAGAGAAGGTGCTGCCTTTCTATGCTTCATCATTGACACAAGAAGAGGAAGAAGACGTCAAAGCAGCTGTTTTAGAACCACCATCAGAAACTCTTGCTACAGTGATGCATGAGTACTCTTCATTGGAAAATTTCTGGAAGCGCTATAACAAAGTTTTACTGGATAAATTGGCTTTGGATAAAGAGAAGCAGACATTGTCTTCAGAGAACCATCAGTTAAGAACTCTATTGAAACAATATTTAGATGGTATTTCAGTGAATGATGAAATATTAAGTCAAGTCAACCCATTGTTTATTGTCAATAATAAAACCAACGTGAAATTGAATGTTCCAGTAAATGATCCAAGAATTCGGCGTCCTGCTCCACAAACAGTTATAGAGGCAGCACATGTGGTGAAGCACATTGTATCTTAAATGTTAATCACAGCATACGATTTTAATATTTTATCATGTAATTTATTATAGAAGTTGTATAAAATAATATCCACAAATTTTGATATTTGCTTTTATAGACCTTTCTTTAAAGTATGCTTACTTTTGAATGTTACCTCTTCTTGGTAATACTGCAATTTGTCAAATGTGGATGTGTATTCTTACTTACCTAGCAGAACAATAAATTTTACTCCATTGTCCAAACCAGCTAACTAATTCTATGTACAAAACGTATGTCAAATGCTTCACTTGCCAAAAAGAATCAGAGACCCAGTTCACCATAGGAAACTGGCTGGCTATTTATGATCAATACAAAATATAGCACAGTTTCTTAAAATATTGAAAACTTCATAATTACCATTGGAATCTAAACAGTGTAATAGAGGATTCATAATGGGTGTAATGATATACTGATCAGTCAGGGATTCATTCTGAATATACATTTCTTTTATAATACTACAACATACACGTAGATATAACTTCATTTTCTCATTATCACCATCCTCTAGTAATCTTAATATCTGAAATAAGGAGCACTAGTAGAGATCAATGTTCTTGAGTGTGAATCTTATAAAAATTAAAATAATATTTATGCAAGGCAGCATTCAGCTTACATATTGAGATTAAACAGCTCAGTATGCTTAATCTTATCTATGGTCAACATGCCATACCTCAGAATATTCAAAGTTATATATATATTACCTGTGGTGCTATGAGCTGATAGTATTCGTCAACAGATGTAAAATTACGAGGACAATGAGCTATTATCTTTGCTGCAGCTTCACATTTTCTCCAGTCTGTTAAGGATGTCTGACTTACTGGTACACTGGCTGGAAAATATAACAATTGGTATTTAGTGTTGCAGGAGGATTGGATGTTGGATTTAATTCTGAAAAAACCTGCTCCATTTACAATCCAATAGACTATTACTAGTTTGATAATCCAAACCTGGAACAATTAAACATTGCTTATTGCTAGTTGAAGGGCAACTAAAGTCCATTCATTACCTTCATTTCCAACAACACCATGTATAATATGTAAAACACCATGAGGTTTCTTCAGTATATCACTAAGAAAGCTGGCACAATCTTGACGTAACCAAACTGGAGCTGGTGGCAATAAACCAGGCTAAAAAAACCATCAAAATTCCCATGTCAAAAAAGTCTTTCACTGAGCATGCAGTAATTTAAATCAAAGAAGAGAGAAACAGTAGTAATTACACAGACAAAAAGGGCTCCCTGTTGTCTTCTGAACTATTTCACTTGTTATGAAAGACAGAGCCCAGTAAAATTATCTTTGTTTTTCAGTTATTTATGCATGTTTTATTATATGTTTATTTTGGTTTTACATCTTGTGACCATACACCATACAAAACACGGCCTGGTACTGAATTGAATGATATATCATCTTAGTAAAAAATGTCAATTACATAAAGCAATGGTGTTAGATATGTCAAAAAGCTTACCTTTTTTGACTTTGGACCACCTTGTAAGACTATTAACTCTCTAACAAGCATTGATGGTTTAACAGTGCCTAATAATCTTTTTAAAGCTGTTTCACAAAACCCCTTGGTCCTCGAACTCAATAGCACATTTGTATGAGAAGATTCTGATTCTTGTTTCTGAAGTGTATTTGAAGTAATTGTGTTCTTATTGCTACCAGTGATTTCTAATGAGTCAACTTTCACTTTGTGTAAATGATTAAGTTGTAATAATAATGCTAGCAGATCATTCAGATGTCTGGATAACAGAAGCACAGCTAATGATGGAATGTCCAGACATGTCATAAAAACCTTGGCACAGATTAACAATTTTAGATGTGCATCCTGAAGATGTTTATCACTCTTGCTCTCCGAATTTAAATCTGATAATAAGTTGCTGAAGCCTGAGCGTTTGGACAAGGGGATCCCAACACCATCTGGTAGATGGGGACAAACACCCAAACAAATGATAAATTGTAGGGATGTTAAAATGTGCTTCTGTTGTTCAAAACTAAGTGTATCTGGAGACAAAGGTGGTGCTTGATTAGGTGTTAAAGATTTTTTTATTTCCACAGAACTAAACTTCTCTGAAGCTTTTTTCAAGTTTTCTTGTAAAATGTCCAACAGTTTAAGGCAATAAGATGTAAATTTCCATGACACATTATCCTCCTTTACACTTGATGTTAACACATTTTGGATCCAAACATCTTTAAACTCTGCATTCTTTTCTACAAAGTCTTCAAATTTGTGAAGATTTCCTTTTAAACTTTCTACTAGATTTTGAGAGCTTGAACCTGGAGAACAAAAGAAAATACTTCGAAATAGCACCGATAACACCAGCAAGAATATAGTGATGAATACATAAATGTAATTTCATCTTATCTTATCAACATAAAACTGCTCGAAATCATCATTGCATTACAAATGACATGATGCAAATGGACCATGGACTGAACTTCAGAGCATTTGACATATCTAATTATTGATCATTTACCTGTGTTTGCTTGTTTTACTGGAGTTACTAAAATATCTAATAACTTCAAAACATCACTAACAATTTCTTCACAGTCCATCTTTCACTTCAATAAACTGAAAGACAGAAAATCAACATGGTTTAAGAGACCATCACATTGTAGAGTTTCTAGTCATGTGGTATCATTAACTTCAAAAAGTTAAATATCAAGTCTGCAGAATTCTATTTAGACATTGGAAATGATTAAATCAATTAAACACCGTATTAAGAAATGTATTGTTTTTGGAATAATCACAATAAATCGATAACTGTGTTCTGAATGCCAAGGGAGGTAACTCCTCTAGAAACCGCGCACTGACGCAGACCATTTATATTATTTCCATTGCAATAATCTATCAAATCTAGGTTGTAATTGTACATGACATTTATATTCTCAACTATAATGCATTGTCATCGAATAAGAACGTATGAATCAGGCATAAAGCAAATTAGATTACCAGTTCAACAAATCGATCTCACTTCGTACGTTACGGTTAACCGGATATATTACCTTTATAGGTATTTTCTTTTAGAGAGCTCCATACACAGAAAATTACACAGCCCATTCGACCATAATGGCCACATCAACCCACATAAGAACACAAGTACCCCTTGTTAATATTGCTTAGGTCTATTGTACTAAATTCTAGCTCCATTTATTTCTCGATAAAACTTGCTTGTATGATAGATATTGCATCAAACAACCACAAGTTTAGGTTTTGTACATTATTTAAATAATTAGTCATTTTTGACAACCTTTATGAAAGCTCAATATAATTTGTACCTATTACTAAACTGTTAACTGCGGAATTTTATTTCTATGTTATAAAGACTGCTCTACATGATTGATCTCCCTTGAGCTTGAAAACAGATTCATGAATCAGGAGTCATGGCCTCAAGGCCATGTATAAGACAACAAGAACTGGCATTGAAGTAAGTTTATTTCAACATAACTGTTACTTGAAAGACATTTTTCTTCTTGAAATAATAAGCAGTTAAATACTGGTGTACAGAAATAAGTTGTACCATTCAATCCTTTGAGTAAAAGTCTTCTTCAAAGTGGATAACAGTATCATTTTGCATTATACCCAGCAATAAATATTTAAAAAAAAATGATCTCATTTAGTTATTGTTCAAACACATGGAACAAGAAATTCACAAGAATATGAAAGAAAGAGAGTGATAGAAAAGGATAAATTAAACTGAAAAGACAAGAAATAAAGATAGACACAGAAAACTGGCATAGCTGACATCTATAACCAGTCAGACATTATTAAATTTCACACAATAAAGACATAAATAATCAACGTCACTAATACCATCATTTGTGTCAGTTTCAATATCATGTTTATGATTATCGATTTTCTTTGTAAAATATGTTTCATACATCAAAAATTTTGATCATCAAATAGCTGGTAGTTAAGGTCAATGAGACTATAACCGTTTACAGTTCTTAAAAATGGAAAACATTTGACTGTATTGATTGTTACGAGACACATCATAAACAGTTTAAAATAATCATATAGTTTTAACATAGAATACTGAACAACCTTGAGTGTTTTCACCTCCTGGGGGTGGGGACTGGGGTGTCAGGGGTGTGGACAACTGTTTCAAGAGAAGTTTTTTTTTGAGAGATATTATATGGTTCCAAAGAAAACAGCACTGAGCATCTTATTACGGCCGTATGATTATATATAAATTATTATGTGTGATTAGTATGATTATTTTGAATAAAAATTCTAAATTATACATTGTTTTGGGGGTGTGAGGGGTTCAAATCATGATCAAACGATTACTCCAGGGGTGTTAAGGCAGAAAAAGGTTGGGAATCACTGGCTTGGAAGTATTCCATTGTAATACAAATACATCGCAAAAGATTTTCCTATAGACGAATTTTTGTCTTACATACATGAAACTTAAATAACACATAAAATAATACCAGCATTAAATGTTGATCTTGAGCAATATTGTCTGTTTACATTTCCACAGCAAGAAAAAAAGAGGAAAGTTCACAACCCTTAAGTAACTTAATACACAAAGGCAAATACAAATTTTCCTTGATGAAAAAATAACACAAAAAACACTAAGAGAAACTTTAAAAATTTTGGGTTCATTCTGGAATGGTTGCGATTTTGATTTGTAGATAATATCTTGATTTGGTTAAAATTACAAATAATATTCCAGTCATCTCTTGGTTTCACATCTAATATGCAGAGGAGATATATACCTATGTTATATGACTAGTCTAATTTCAAAACACTCAAATGTAGAGAAATAATTCTAAAGTGTTAAATATTGAATTCTAAGAAAATCGGGAAACTGTAATATCAAAAAAAAAAATATATTTGATAAGCTATATAAACTACTGATAGACAAATCAATATTATATCAAGATGGCCCTTAAATGATGATTTATCATAAATTTTTACTAACTTTCATTTCCAGACAATCTCTGCATTTTATGAAAGTTTAGAATAAATTGTTGTAATATTTGATCATCGGTTTAAGTTTGACAGAATCTATCACATTATTTCAATCAGTCTTTAATTTCCAGACTTGATGTTTTACAAAACACAATGACAAAACATAACTGAGAATGCAAAAAAACTTAATACATGACAAAATACTGAGGACTTAACAAAATTATCAACAAATTAATCTTTAAGATCCGAATGTGTTTTCACCGCTGTAAGCTATATAGAGGAATCCATCATCACTTTTATGGTCTTCATAAACTTGGCCCATACTTGCACTGAAAAGGAAAATAAAGAATTATTTGGCAATCTCAAACATCAACAGTAATACAGTAGTATACCATGCAAGTTCCATAACAGTATTAGACAAGTCTTAGAGAAAGGTAAACATTAATTGTCAACATCCCAAGCATTTTTTTAATGAGTAAGCTTATCAGTGACAATGGCAGGTTTTATATTCACCATTCCATATTTCTGATTGTCTATAACTGCAAACGGGTAGATTCATACATATAGCCATGTTAAGAAAATATGGCAACCACCAATTGCAGTTAAAAAATTATCAAATTTAAAATAAGTTCATCCTTTCCAGTAAAGACAAATTAACATCCAGCTTACCTGGTTTGTGGCAATACTTTTCCTACAAATAGAAAAATTGCCTTTTCTGAGGGTATACAAATTCGTTTGCGAATTATCCACATAAACTGAGCGACAGATATATCATTTGGCACTAGGAATTTCCTCTTATCTATCTGTTGAATTTGAGACTTGGGATCTTTTTCAACTATCACCTGCAATAATAGAATAAATCCTGATGATGAATTATGCCCTAAACATGTAGCTGCAGCATTAAATGAGCTCTTATCTTGTGTGAGTACATGTAATAATAATAATTTGGGAAAAAATCTCACATATGCAAAAAAACTCCAATCACATAGTGTCAATGTCGGCACATTAAGCATACAGAATGCTATTACTGTTAATAATGTGCAGATAGTCAAATTAATTAAGATGAAACATTATCAACATACTTAACACCGAAGTATAGATAGCATAATAGTTGGCATTGTTGTCTGCTAGGCGATTAGGTGCTGTGAGTACGAATCCTCCTCAAGGTAGGAAAAATTGCTCATGCTTGTACCAGTGCTTTTGAGAATCGGCACAGTGTCATCTATCAACCCTTAATACATATGCCAATGAATACAGCTGAATAGTTTTCACTCGAACTGCTTATTGGCATTAATGATACCATTCATGTAACAATACAGTAGTACTATTACATATTGCACTATAGATCTATAAATATATCTCACTAGTAATATCTATTCTGTCTTATGTTAAATATATCTGCCATCTTTTGGCAATAGTCCAAATACTTACAGGTATTCTTTCTGGGTATTTGGTTTTTATTTTTGATGACTCAGCTTTTCTGTGATCTATAAAAAAAACAATAGATTGAAATTGGTTGTATATATTCATGACATAACTGTATGCTTTGTGATCAAATAAATCTTATTTCTGAATGAATTTCTGTATTGAAATCTCTTTCTTTCCCTTACTGTAATTAACGAATGACTACTATGTACCGGTACTAGAATATCTGCTTGAATATGATATAAGTCTTAGAATGACTTTTTGTTAATACAATTATGGAGCTTTAGAATTAAAATTTCCTAGGATTAAGCTTACAAAGAAATTTCAACTGAAAATGTCCAGTATTTACAGGGTTTTTTTTCATCTCAAATGTCTACCTGAGTTATAAGTTTGTCTGTAATCAAGTACAGTGTTATTTGTCACAGTTCAATGAATACTCAAGGCATTAATTAGACCCTATTGTTAAATAATCAGCTGATAATGACAGGTCATGGATTTCAAACATCAGTTTTTTCAAATTATCACATACAACAGCTTTCTTTCCAGTTAATTTCTTGAAAACTAATCAAGTTCTTATTATAATAGGCCTAATAATAGCTACAGTAAAAGTACAATGACCAATGATAGTCTAATTCTATCTATGTTATGTACTTGAAGAAGTTGAAAATATGAAATACTGACACTGCTTCAAATCAGCATATAAAATGTATATCAATCAAACCAAATCCAATCTAACTATAGACCCTTCACTAACAAAGTTACTTCAATATCATCAAATGATGCTAAGCTGGACTTCCCTTTCAACAATCAAAACAATAACAAACAACTGCCAAGTAAGAACTTCCCACTTTTCATTTTTGACAACCAAAATTATGCTGAATATGGCATAACTGCAATTTTTTTCAAAATGTCACATTACAAGTTCTATTCCCTCTTACCCAGTGTATGTTCTTCTTTGAATTTAAACTTCATTTTCAGACTAGAATAATTTCTATTTGAAACTTATTACGATCTTTCTGTTACAATGTTTACTTCTCTTGTGACTATGTCTCAAATCGAGGTTGACAAACAAGGATGACCGTGACGTCATGTTTGATTAACATCCGGTATACCCGAAGAAATGTGTAAATATACTACATTGAGACGAATCGACCAATTAGCGATTTCGCGAGTTTTCAGTTCTGGCAATCACCGAGTTTTTGCATTTTCCTTTTGATCAACCATCATAGTTTTCATGTAGGCCTATAGCTATATCTTATAAACATAAACGGCCCCAAATTAATTACTCTTCTTTTTCATCTACGTAAAAAAAAAACAAAGAGCATCGAACATGAACATAATATGTTAAACGTTAAATGCTAATCAAAAAACGAAATATATATTTTGATTCATAGTTTGAGAAAAAAAACACAACTCTATACAATGGTTAATAACTTTAAAGTTATTTTGTTTTTACCAATTTTTTAGTCATTATTATTTTCTGTTGTTTTTGTGAACTTTTGTGATATTTATAAATACTTTCGATTATATTGTTTCTTAATGATTAATTTTAGTGTATCACCTTACACAATCCAAAATGGAGAAATCTAGACGAAGAGTTATTCTTGCAGACAGGTATTTGTCTTCTGATATATTTGTTATTTTTCAGAAATAGTAAAATCATACTGTACAATATCGTCCTCTTCTGCCAAGGAAGAATAGAATTCACCTGTTTTGTACTTTATGAGGAGTATTCTTAAAAAGCAATTCTGGATTTCTTATTTTCAATGAATTGAAAACGTTCTTCCTTTACTTCCGGTTTCTCGCCTTTTTAGATACACAATGCATGTATATAAATTTACAATATAGGAATAATGAGATAACATAAAGAGATTTTGTAGCCTGTTTTTAATCGTCTGGTTATATGGTATTTTATATCCTACTACCTTTTGGCACCATTCCATTACAAAGTCGAATTTCTTTTTAGTTTTGTTGTCTGTGGCCCCATCATATGCAGAAAAATATGACCAGATGAGGATTTTCCCATTGCTACTAACTATTATATCTGATCCTTCATAGGAACCCCAATTATTCTCCACTTTGCTATTCATTAATGCTTATTTTGAAAATTGATTTTAGTGGCAGTGAGAGCAGTGATGATTCGGTTAAAAAAGAAAGAAAGAAGCATAGTAGTAAGAAGAAACATAAACACAAACACAGGCATTCAATTGATGGAGAAAAAGCAGACAAAGATAAATCTCGTCATAAACACAAAAAGAAAAAGCGACGACATGAAAAGAATGGAGAAGATGAAAGAGTTCCATCCAAGAAATACAAAGTTGAAGAGACCATTGATCTTGATGAGTTAGAGAAAGCAAGGCAAGCTTTATGTGCTCAACTAGATGGGAAAAGCGGCACTACGGAAGATGAGACTTTAAATGCTATGAAGTTAATTGTTCAGGGGTATGCTGATTCTGGTGAAGAGGAGGGTGAGGTTGATCACGATATCCACATCGTAGAAAAAACACAAAAATTATTAAAGCAGGTGTCAATCCCAAGTGATGATTCTGATGATATTGAAATCATTGAAGACAAAAGTAATCTCCCTTTTGTTACAGTGCCAGATTCAAAGTCATCTTACAATGGCAAAGAAAATCGAGAAAGGAAATCCAAAAAACATTTAACTGATAGAGACAAAAGAAGCAGATCAGATTCTGTTTCGAAAAAAAATTCACGTAGAGACAATCATTCTGTGTCACGGAAATCACCCAGTCCTAAACGTGATAAACGCCGTGTGTCACCTCACAGATCACAAAGAGAATCTTCTAGAGATCGTGATAGAAAACGAAAGACTGATGAACGGTGAGAGTCATCTTTTTCTCAATTCAGTAACTAATTGATAGCAAAAATACACAAATTCAAATGTATACTATATTTTATGTTTCTTGTCCACAGGATTCAAGGATAGCATAGTTGATATTTCACAGAATATTTCTCTTAACTCATGTTTAATATCTTTCTCCTTTCAGACCAAATCATCCAAGGGAAGATAACCACAGACGTGAAAGAAGCCGAGTTGATTCACATCACGACAAACATCCTCCATCACCTCCTAGAAGTCATCGAAGATCACATAGCCCACCAAAGAGACAAAATAAGTAAGTAAATCAAAGAACCCCTTATAGCATATATAGAAGAAAAACATCCTGAGCATGTCAAACATCTAAAAAATGAAAGTTTTTAAATAATGAAAGCTTATAATATGTGAACATTTTATTTTAGTTAGGAAATACATTTTTTTTATGTGAATAATTCTTGCAATATCTTGAATAATGGACTCATCTATGTTATAAATCTATGCAGTTGAACTAAATTCTCGGGTGGTCATTTTGATGTTTAGACTTGAAAGGTACATAAATCAGCCAAATATATCTGTTAAAGATAATATTCTGTTTCTTACAGAATAAGAAGTCGATCACCTGACAGGTCAAGAGAACAATTCAATAGAGATCGTAACAGAGAGAGTAGAGCAGTTGATAGAAATAGACCTCAGCACAGACCAGATGAACGACGAAGTAGATCTCGTGACAGGAAATTTGGAGATAGAAGAGATATGCGTAGAGATCGAGATAGGCGAAGACCTAACAGTGGTAGAAATGAAGATAAATTTAAGGGTAGTTTATCAGAAGGAATGACATCGCAAGAACATCTACCATCTGAATCAGATGATGAGGAGTAAGTAACATCCTTTTAGGAACAAAATGGATTATTAGCTCTAAAAAAATCTTATAAATAGCATAACTGAAGAGGAAGCTTTTGTTAGTCTTTATGATTATAATTGAAAAGTACAAGCTTCTGAATGTTTTAAAGTTTTTAACCCCTTCATTGAGATATTCATATCCTTCACTACAATCCATACTGTCCAAAAGGGCCAAAACAAAAACCTCTTTTAGGATTAAATGATTATTGTCTGTCGACTTTGTTTATAGATTAGATATAGCTCCTGATGAAGAAGAAGATGAAGATGCTATCATTGAAAGAATTAGAAAAGAAAGACAAGCCTTATTACAGGTATGTAACATAAATTAATCGCACTTTAAACAAGTGAGAATTGACAATGGATAATATTACTATGGAAGCTTGTATCACTACTTATTCATATTTCTTCTGTTTTATTCCATCATTGTTTTAATCAGTATTTTGCCACACATCTCTCGGAAAATATCTTCTATTTGTCTTTATATATGTTTCACTTTTGATGTCAGAGTCTTGTTTACTATTATAAATGGCAACCTTATGGCTACTTTAACCACTGATCTTATTTTCCTAGGTTCAATTTGTTTCCATTTTGATTCATATACTACCTTACAACCATCAATTTCTAAGATTGTGTGTATTTATAGAAATTAAAGCCTGAACCAGTTGTTGATGAAGCTAGCAGACAAACAGCTGATACAGTATCAGGGAGTGATAGTGACAGTGATAGTAGCTCTAGTGCTAGCTCTATAGCTTCGAAAGCTAAGAAAGATTTAAATCGAGATGAAGAGAGCCATCCTGATTTTGAGGCGTCAATAAGAGAGAAGAAAAGTAGATTTAGTAATAAGAGTGATAATGAAGATGAAAAAGGTCAGTTTATATAGTTTATGATATGGAAAAAATATGAAATTTGTCATTGACTTGTTATGTCAAGTAAAATGTACCAGATTTTGTGCAGTTGGTCATAGAAAATGTTTTGATTATCATGAATAGTGATGGTTACAGGAACAGAGTACAGTTGCTGTGGAAAGTTAAGATTAAGCTTACATCTGTTCTAAATGTGTTTTTCAGATGATAAATTAAATGATGATAAAAAGAAGTCTAATGGTATGGATATGTTTTCTGAAAATGCTGACATGTTCTCAGAAAACTATGATGTAAGTAAATTTCTTAGTAAATTTCTTAGTAAAATTGTTTTTACATATTAACTCTCAGTCTAATGTTCCCATTTGAAATATAATACATTTTGAAATTAGTTACTTATATGTTCATGATTTTATATAGAGGACCTAAATTTGACATAAATGCAAACACTTTAATACTGATATTATGTACTTTTCTTGCAGAGTCCATCAGGAATTGGTAAATTTTCTTTCACCAATGAAAACCCAGCATTAACAGATAATTGGGATGATGCTGAAGGCTATTACAGTAAGATATATTTTAAATTTTCTCAATCATGAGATGCCTTTGCTATGGTTGACAGTTTTGTTGAATCCTAATAAGCTTGTGATACTTCTCTTGTTTTCGTAAGGTGCCTTGTGGTTAACAAATTTGTTGACAAAGGTTTGAATTTCAAAAGGTTTTTCATAGGTTGGTAATTGCTATTCATTAATTGACAACCACTGACTTGTGTTTCAGGAGTGCGTATTGGAGAAACACTAGATAAAAGATATACAGTATATGGTTATACTGGACATGGTGTATTTAGTAATGTAGTAAGAGCTAGAGATGCTGCTCGTGGTAATCAAGAAATAGCCATCAAAATCATTCGAAACAATGAAATGATGTATGTACATTGAGTATTCTTTAGATTTTAAGAATTGTCTAGATGTCCAAATATCTTGAATATTAATAAAATAATTTGATTGTCCAAGGTTCCTGCACACATTCATGATTGTTTTCTATTGAAACTTATAGACTAATTTGAAATCCTAACAACATTAAGAATCACATAGATGTTTGTTTTAAATCCAGTTAAACTATGTTCATGAACAATCTTGGATACCAGTGGTAATATTCATTACACATTGTAAAACTAGCTATGTCTTTTTACTTCAGGCATAAGACTGGATTAAAAGAACTGGAATATCTACGAAAGTTAAATGATGCAGATCCTGATGATAAATTTCATTGTTTACGTCTTTATCGAAGTTTCTTTCATAAAAATCATCTTTGTTTAGCATTTGAATCATTGAGGTAAGTAATGTAGTGGACATAACAACATCCAGGAGAAATTCCACATATATGTTGAAGGTTTTTTTTTTGGTATGGATGTGGTTTTAAATGTATTGCTTAAGGAAGTGGGATGAATCAGGACATGATGAAATGTCACAGTTTTAGTGCTTGGGTTAAGTGAAAGAGTTTCTGATGCCAGGGTAAGAGTTTTTAGTATTGGCTACTATCATAATGCTTATTTCAATTGCTGGAGTTAAGATTTTCAGTGAAATTACCATAGTTTCATTATTTAATTTCAGTATGAATTTACGTGAAGTATTAAAGAAGTATGGTAAAGATATAGGATTACATATCAAAGCTGTAAGATCATATAGTCAACAGTTGTTTCTAGCTTTAAAATTATTAAAACGTACTTCAATATTACATGGTGATATCAAACCTGATAATATTCTGGTAAGTCCATATCAAAATATTCTGTAATAGGGATGCCGTGGGAGACCTATACAAAGGAGGATTTTGGTTGAATCATGCAAGCTGTCTTTATTTGAAGTGCTATACAGATATTCTGTTGGATCTACAAAGGCTGAGTGATTTGACCTAAAGGTTCAGAGTGTTAAAGAGACCTCAAAGTTAAAAAATTGAAAAAAAGTCAGAGCTTAGTATGTGGTCCTCGCAAAATTTCCCTCATTGCACACTGCGTGACTTTTCATTTCAGGTCAATGAATCAAAGGTTTTATTAAAACTATGTGATTTTGGTTCAGCATCACATGTGTCAGAGAATGATATCACACCTTATTTAGTCAGTAGATTTTATAGAGCTCCAGAAATCAGTAAGTCTAATTACCTTATTTTTGTCTTTATTTTATTAGGACAACCTCAAAATGAAGAATAAAAAGAATATTTGCAATATCATACAAAATCCTTTCAGTCAGTTTGCAATTTTTCGCCAAAATTGAACATTAAAATAATGAAAAGAAATTTTGTAGCAGATCAAGGCTTGATATTATTTCTACATGTGGTAGTAAAAATTTTGATATTCTATAGTTTTAGGCAAGGGTTATGATCATGGTATAGATATGTGGTCAGTAGCTACAACTATATTTGAACTCTATACTGGCAGAATAATGTTTCCTGGACAATCAAATAATGAAATGTTAAAATTCATGATGGATCTGAAAGGAAAGATTCCCAATAAACTATTACGTAAGAGTGTGTTAAAGGATCAACATTTTGATGCCAATTATAACTTCCTTTATAGAGAAGTTGATAAAGTTACAATCAGGGTAATTGAGCTCATTTTTCTCTTTTATATCATTGCCAAAACTGCAGCTAATATTATAATAAATCCATGAAGCTTTCATGGTACACAGTCTATTTGACAAATTGAGCCAAAGTAGTACCCTTTGGCTGAGGGCACGTCAGTGACTTTTTGGTCCTGATAGATTAGCACATGTGCCAGTTTTGTCCACCGACACGAATAGCCTGCATGTGTTAGATATTTTCAGTTGATTATTTACACAGCTGAGTTCACTTCCTGGCAAAATCGGCCTCTATTTTTGTGCTGTGCAATTGATATTTTTAAACCAATCAGATGTGATTTGGTGTTTGTATCTCTTCGTTATTTGTTAACCAAGTGATCATTGCACTAGATAAGTCTCTGCAACTCTTCAAAAACTGTTCCATTAACAAATGCTATGATAGTTTTGATACATAAAATATTAGTAAGTAACCTACATTATGTATTGGTACTTATCATTATTAACTATATTTTGTAGGAGAAAGTGACAGTACTAAGTTCTATAAGTCCTAGTAAAGATTTATTAGCAGAATTAATTGGTTACCAACGCCTACCAGATGATCAACTACGTAAAGTTACACAACTCAAAGACTTGTTGGAAAAAACTCTCATGCTGGACCCTTCTAAACGTTTTAGTATCAGCCAAGCTTTAAACCACCCCTTTATTCAGGAAAAAATCTAATTTGATTAGAACTCTTACTTTTAAAGAAAATAGTTTGCTTAATATTTGCCAGTTAATAGAGCTCAATTTCAGCTACCTATTTGGTGGTTTAAATATTTACTTTACCAGTTGATAAAGCTCAATTTAAGCTATCTGTATCTTCTCTTTTCAGAATTATAATTTGATGGTTGACAACAGACTATTGTCACTCCCCTTGATATATATTTGATAAAATTGTAAATGAACATGTGGTCAGGTTATCATTCTGAAAAGTGGTTGAGTTTGAGCTTATTACATATATTTTGATGACTAAATTCATTTAACTTTCACTGTTTTGTTCCTTTGTCTTGTGACTGCTGGAAATCTTGATAACAATTAGAAAACAAGCAGGAATTACTTGTCCAATAAGAGAAGTTCAGGTTTCTATCACCTGGTAGTACTAGTAGGCTCATTAAAAAAAGTGTATATATTATTTTATTTTCCTTTAAAAAGACTTAAGATTTATTTTATATTGTAATAGTGCTCATTATGATGCTGCAATGGTGGATAATATTTGCTAATTTTCTTATATTTGATTTTGTCTTTGGCTAAGGTATAATTTGTGAAATTATCAGGAGGAAATGGTTGATTCTAAAATTCGTGGAAACCATTGCAGTACATATTCATGGATCATGTTGAAGTTATTGTAAATTAGAGCTGGTATTATGTATATAACAAATTCCGTAAAAACAAAATTGATTCAAACTTGAAATCAAAACTACACTGCCAGATAACAGAATTCTGTTCTGATAAAATATTTGTCTGGAGAGTTATCTTTAAGTTATCTACTTCATCTCAGGCCTAATACAGTTATTAAAATAGTTGTTCTAAATGGATTAGGAAACCAATATATCCTGACTTGGCTTGATATTAGTAAGAATTTGGTCAAATTGTTTTTGATTTACAATCAGGTGCATTGGGTTTAAATATAGTCCAGAAAACTTTCCATTCTTTAACCAGTTTATGAAAAAATTGTATCTTTAAAATTTATTCTGAGTCCAGTGCCAGTGCTTCCGGTGTGGGCTCTCACCCACTAATAATTATGAGATGACTTAATTTGAAAAATTTCTAAAGCCTTTGTCAGGGTATATCTGAGTTTGAAATCTAAAGCTATCCAAAGTTATTGTACAATAAAAATAATGAATGAATAATTACAGTATCAAACACGTATTTTCTCTATTTTATTTAGGTTGTTTATAAACACTGGTGCCAATATAAACTTGAAATAAAGGGAATTGTAAACAACTGAGATATACTTGGTAATGAGTTTGTCTTTTTTGCACATTTTTAGCCAAATATTATATTCCTATATCCTGAAATCTCTAACAGTTTATGTCACTGCTTAGTGAAATTTTTGAATATATCAAAAGTTGATAGGCTAAAGTGCAAGATTCTGATTTATATTGATCAAAATTTGAGCTAAAAATTTTGCTAAACAATTTTAATGAATATTGATGTATCTAATTATATATGCGCATAATTTTTTTGTTTATGTTCAATTTTTATCTCAAGTTTTGTTCAATGTATATCATACTCTGATGAACCCATTGCTCAATAATTTTCTTGTTTCTTTTTAATGCTATGAACGAGATAAATGCTTGGAGCCGATCAAAGTTATAACCTGAAGTGAACCTATTATCATATTAGACAAAGCTAAGAGTCTAAAAGCTGGTAGCAGGAGAATGCAGGACGACATCTTCAAATCATACAGCCTTTATCACGTAATGCATTGATAAAGTCAAATGTTCTCATTTTTATAATTAATTGATTTGAGAGAAGCATGAGTAACACCCGGAAGTGTTGAAGGAAGTTTGAAGAAAGAAATACAGTCAATTTCAATAGCAAAATGAATCTGAAAGTGAACCAGAGAAAAACAGACAATATTATTAAATAAGTCATTGCCTAGTTACCCTACAATCAAAATTAAAAATAAAAAGTTACAGAAATTTCTTTACCTATTTATTGCTATTTATTCAGATAAAATTCTGAGATATATCTAGAAAACAAAGATGGAAATCTAGAAATGTACACAAATATAAGGAAATCTATGGCAGTGACTTACATCTATATAGATTTAGATGTGATTTCTATACAATGTGTTTACATTTTAGGTGGGACTACAGAAGAAGAACAGATTCAGAGCTGAAAATTAAAGGTTATATTTATGAAGAATCCTAAATTTATTTTATTTTTAATATTATTTTTGTCACTACTTTATAATTTGATATTCTAGCTTGATATTATTAGTGGTTATTAAAGGTATGTTACATCGATCAATTTTAAGTATACTTGTGTACAATCCAGACAAACAAGCCTTTGGTTATTTTATCTTGAACTGCCAATATTTTGAAGATTGAGAAAAAGGAACCATTCAGAAGTTAAACTACTGAGCATAGGGAGAGTCCAAATTAAGAACTGCATCACATATTGATATAAAATGCAAGGATTTGAAATGTTTCAAAAAGAGACTTGTTTGGAAGATCAATGAAGGGTCACACAAAGGGTATTTCAAAGATTTTTCTTGCTTGAGCTTTATTTTCCATGGGGTCTCTTAATTACTTTATGGAATCAAATTGTCATTCTAGAGAAGTTGATATATTGTAACATACATTAAAATTTTTCTTTTATTTTTGTAGGTAAGTTAATTGTATTGAACTCTGAAAAAGGCCAGTGTTGAACCATGCTGATGTCTAATATAAACAAAAAGAAGACTATCTGGTGTCTATATAGTGTGAATAAATATTTTTAGAAATTTTATATCTCATTTCTTTATCTATTATTGGGACCCAAGTTCAATTGAAGAAACAGCTTGCTATTCTAGTTCAAGAATTTACATATTCCAGGCCTTAATCATGAAAACAAATTAGACATAGTCTATGATGCATAAAATATTGTCACAAGAAGTTTGAGATCTCCTTAGGTCACTCAGTAAAGATAGTGCCTAGAGGCTCTCGGTAGACTGCTGAGGAACAGACAATACAAGCCCATACCGAATACATGTGTCTGCGACCGTTTCTCGCTTGATATTTCACATATTAGAGCAGAGAGTATTCCGTCCTAGACCTAAACATAAACAACAGACGTGACATCGCACACAATATACTAGTTTTAAAGTTTTAGACCTACAGATGTCTTAATTCCTCTTAAAATCTAACCGATTCTATCAGTGTCCCCGAAAATGCAACGAAAGGAAGCTAATATACCTCAATAGATAATTATGATTATTGATCATTATGAGGAAACTGTCGGTATTCAACACGCCACGGCTTAAAAGAGACGTAGTGGGATATTGCCGAAAAGTCAACAAGTTTGGGATTAGTACAAACAGATACTGCACTCTACATCGATCAAAGTTATTTCAATTATGTACGTTCCTTGATGTTATTTTGTTTGATTCAACCTAAAGAGTAAATGTCAATGCAGACAGTTGTGCCAACATTTTCAAATATCTTGTAGTAAAAGTTGATATCCTAGATAGTAAAAGTGCCAATTTAAAAGCCATTTTAAGTCTATTATATTCTGTTTTAATGCTACTCAGAAAATGTTCACCCCAATGAATTTAATCACGAGGGGCGAACCCTTTGTGTTAGATATCATAAAAACTTCAAGGGAAGTGTTTAATATGGCTCATAAAACGGTGACGACATATCGCGGAAACATCTTGCTCGTGTCAGGGATCTGAGTTATCAACGCTCTCAGTTGTATGTAAGTTTGTAGTATTCTATAAAAGAGGCATTTTCCGTCAAAGGGGTGCAACTCGTTAATATTAATTTGGTCAATTCAGCCCGCGACCAGTGAGCAAGACTTTGCTAATATTACAACCAATGATACCGCATGAGGTCAGAAATTCCCCGCGATCTACTTCGATGTCACGTTTTTCTTAGAGCTTATATCATTGGTACGGCTAATTAATAATCATGTAGATGACATGAATAGTAGACAATATCTGGATAGTGTCTCTTTAAATACCTCTGGAATGACTACAAAGAATTTATAACAAAATCACCATCAGAATACGTATCTCTGGAATTTATAGAAACATATACTTATAAACGTTGGTATGTCTTTCGTCTCGAGTGTGGTGCAATAGCCTACAGTTGGTAAATTGATTTCAAACTGAAAGGGATGCGTGGTTCGTGGTTCGCACTAACACGACGTTGCAATATGTGAAATATGAGGAATGATGGCGGCTCGATTAAATATCTAGTTTTAGAGGACTTGATCCCTTTAGAAACTCAACAAGCTGAACATTGTTTATCACCAAGAGAAAAATGAACTATTGTCTTGGCACATCAAAATATTCATCAAAATAAACAAACCTTCAATGCAAACAAAGTCGGCCTAAATAAATTTTCCGAATAAAAAGCAGAGATCTCGACTTATCAATAATAATAATAATAAAAACGGTACATACATGTATACAATTGGTACCTTGGTTTTGGTTTTATATAATTCAATATGTTAATCGAACGCCAAAATGTATTCTTAGAATACGATAGCTGAATTGAGCTTGTGAGCTGATAGGTTGTATTCGAACTCGAAACTGTCGTTTAAATATTAATTCCACCAGAATTATTAGCCACACAGGTGGCCGTGTCTCCAGAAGCGGGGTATACACTCACCTCTGGAATTTCTTTCAAACTAAATGGAAATCGCCTAATGGCGATATTCTATCTTCCCAATTAATCTCCCTTAATTTAGAGTGATTTTAGTATTCTAGTAATCCGATTTGCCAATAGCCTATATCAATAATAAGTTCAGCTTTATAAGACATTAAGATAACTTAATTTCTTAAATTTTTTGTTGACATTTAGTTAAGATTTGGTGAAACAGGCCCATCAGTATTTTAATCAGATTGAGCAACTCGACATATCCGTCGAGTTAAGATATGTCTATCCTTTTGGTCTAATTATATAGGTGTGATCTTTGATCATACTTAACGTTTAAAAAATATAAAATTTCAATTGATATCACGATTTCATACGGAAATGGCATATTTTTCTTCAAAACTTTTACGTATGTCTGACCGTCGTCTCGGGATAAAAAACAGCCATTGTTTCACCCTTTTATAATCCACAAGAAAAACATTTGTATTGTAAATAAGTCCTTAAAATAGACCTATAGAAATGATTTAAATGATTGTGAAAAAAGGAATAAAATATTGCCATATCACTTTGTAATGTGTATAGTTATGTTTTATTTCATGTACGTGGTACAGCTAATTTTAGCACTAGCAATATCCTTCAATTACAATGAGATAAACCTTTCGTAACACTATTTTTAACTGTGCTTCATTAATGGACACGATCATTTGAATCTCTGATGCAGTCTTGATAAATATGTATCTGTCTGGTGCTCAGAAGTAGACCTAATAATGAGAGATCGTCCATGTAGATTATATTGAATATTGTACTATCACTATTCAATATTCACAGGTAAACGAATCGAATATACATGTTCAGGATTTCCATTTTGAGAGAGGTCGCTGGAATTTATCTTTGTCAGCTGGTGAACCCGTTTCTCAGCTTTTGTTGTCACATAATTGTAGCTGTAATACGATCAATAAAATGACTGAAACAGTAGAAATTAAATTACATATGTACCTATATTCAGAGTTGATTAAATCGGATGAGAATTCCATCTTAAATCTCTTACAAGGGCGAAGAAACGTACACAAATATCAAACAAGTTTTACATTGTTACAGGTCGGATGAAAGAATTCTATAAAATTTCTTTTTCTGCGAAAAGCAAAGAAAGGCGAAATAGTTGGCCGATGAATTGATTAACTTGAGACTGGAGAAGACTGCATCTTAGAACAAAGAATGTCAACTGATCTATGTTCAAACAGACACAAATCGAGCCGAGAAAAAATCAGTAGGAAGTTAAGACAGAGGTACATTGAAAAGCCAGAAGGTTTGAAAATTGAAATCGGAATAAGACACATTAAGAAAGGAAGATATAGTTGTGTTATGTTTCTTATAACATTGCTATGTGATCTTTAACTTCATAGTGACACCAGGATTTTTCTAATGACACAATCCCCGTCTTCATCACGTGGTTTATCTAAACGATCTTATTCTGACTTTGTTGTGAAATATTTGTTTATTGTTTATTTGTGAGATTTAAAGTTAAAAGATTTATATCTTGTGTACTAGTTGTTGGTAAGTTAGTAATTGTTTACTTCACGCTACATCTCGAACATTTTTTGTTTTCAAAATATTAAACTAATTTAATTTCTTGAGTTCTTTATAGATAAACTGATGACTAGGCTTAAGTTCTAAAATCGAGATGTTCAGCTTTTAAACTCGAAAATTATAAATTCTTATTCGAAATGTTTTGTTCTATACTCAAAATGTTCAGTTCTTAAACTCGAGATGTTCATGGGCAATGGGATTGAGATACTCCGCGACAATCATTATCTATGGACGTTCTACGAATGACATACAGAACTTTGGAAGTGTTTACATAAATATTGTAGAATGTTCAAGGGAATCGAGATACATAAAAAAAAAACATAAATTGTCGATTAAGTCCTTATCAAGACATTTGATAAGACTTTGACAATGTTTCTGATTTACATTGAACCTTATTTGTTTTAGTTTGGTAAATAGGTAATAAAGAGATAAGTTTAAGTACAGTACGGTAATTCACACTCTTTCTTTTAATAACATTTAACCCTATGTACAACCTGTGGATATTTTCTGCCGAATTCAGAAGATGCATCTGAGATAGTGCTTTGTTACCAGTCGGATATTCTGCGGTGAGTATTTTAATCCGATTTGGATTCAGATAATCAAATATAATCCTCGTCTTGTTCAAATATCAAAGTCATTCTGGTATTTCTTTATTTTCAGATTATTAGTTCCTTAATGGTTAAAAATGTCAGACGAAAATCAAGATAAGAAAGTAGGGAATGGAAAAGACACCAGAATCGAAAATTTGACTACTGTCGAAAAAAGGTCGAATTCGAATGCATCCGAAGTGAAAAGGAATAGAAAAACAAGTAATATCGAAAATGCCAACGACGAATTCGTGATAAGAAACAATATTAAGAATTGTGAAAACGGTTTGGATGCACAGTTGGTTGAAGTTGACTTGAAGTCATCTGGAGATGAAAATTCCGTTGAAAAGATTAACAATGATAAAAGTAACAAAGATGAAGAACGTTCATCAGATCAGAACTCGAACGATTCGTTTCCCATGACAAAATTTCAGATTTTGAAAAATCTGGCTGTCGTTAGCTTTGGATTTTTCTCTCTGTTTACGGCATTTATTTCCATCAGTAATTTACAAACTAGTTTAAATATAGACGACGGTGTTGGACCAGGCAGTTTATCTATTATATATGGAGCTTTGGTTCTCTCTTGTATGTTTTTACCACCTATTGTGATCGCTCATCTTGGTTGTAAATGGACCATAGCCATTTCTATGACTGGCTACATTCTATACATGGGTGCCAATATGCATGCCATCTGGGCTCTGATGGCCCCAGCAGCAGTGTTGTTAGGATTAGGTGCTGCTCCGTTGTGGTCAGCTAAATGTACCTACCTCACCCAGACCGGGGTTTGGTATGCTAAAATAACTAACCAAAGTAAAGATGCCGTTATCAATAAATTCTTTGGAATATTTTTTATGTTATTTCAAGCAAGTAAGTACAGTGTAATGTAGCCCATTTCTTTTGTTTATTATCTCTTAACCTTATCACTTATCTGAAATATTAGAATGTAATCCAGATTTGCAATAGTATGCGCACTATATTTGCAATTATACGGTATAAGGTTTTTATATAGAAGCTTGCTGATGCTATATAAAATAATATTTCAGGCCAAATTTCTGGAAATCTGGTCTCTTCTCTTGTGTTCAGTAAAAACAACACCGAGTTAAATTTAACAGATGATGTTTTACAAGGATGTGGTGCGAATTTTGATCCAACTCAAACAACCAATAATACAAATTTAGAAAGACCAGACCAAAATAAGGTAACATTGGTAACATCTCGTCATTACTGGTATTTTATGCCAAAGCTTCTAAGAACCAGTGTTCCGAAGGCTTACCTTCCTTGGCATTCTGAAAGCCAAGTTGAAAGCTGTACGTTGTGTGAATCTGTAGAATGCTGACTTACGCTTTGGACCTAACACTGCTTGAGCTGGTCATCTGGTCTATTGGTATATTGTGCTGGTCCTTTCATAATTTAGTCGTAGAGTGTTTCACCTGTCAACAATAGCATGGAAGCTTAATTCTTTCCTTGATTTAATGAGCTTGTAACCTCTTGTACGATCATATCCCGAGGAATAAGGTATTCAGTCCCTTCCCCTGAATGTACTGAATTGAGTTCTCAACAGAAAAATAACCATTTGATTTTTACATTGCAGGTATATATTGTCTGTGGAGTATATCTCGGGTTCGCTGTTATAGCAGCTGTCATCATTGCCCTGTTTCTGGATAAAATAGATTTAAAGAAAGATAAGAACACCAAACCATCATTGAGTTTATTGATAGGAACATTTCGTCATCTTGCCACTAGTCCTGCTCAAATATTGCTGATACCATTGACCATGTATAGTGGAGTAGAGCAGGCTTTCTTTTCTGGTGATTTTACAAGGGTAAGATACTTGTTTTCAAAACATCCTCTTTAGATCCTTTTTAGATCCTGTTATGATCCTATTTAGATTCTGTTATGATCCTCTTTAGATCCTCTTTATATCCTGTTATGATCCTCTATATATCATGTTATGATACCAATAGCATTCGACGTATATTACTTTTTCAGTCATATGTGACCTGTTCTATAGGAATATGGAATGTAGGCTATATTGCTATATGTTATGGGATAGTTGACGCGATTTGCTGCTTCACATTCGGAAGATTAGTCCAATATGTCGGACATATTCCATTTTTTGCTCTTGGTAAGTACATTTTGTCCATATTTCGGAAAGAGATCTGCTGAAATTATTTTATGAATTCCACTAGTTCATGCTTATTTAGTCCAGGATTTCTGATACTTAGCAATTTTGTTCCATGATATTACCTCCCGTGGTAATATGAGTTTCTCATTCGGCCCCGTTTTGAGCCCAATTTCGATTTAACCTGATTCGTTTGCATTAGAACATGAAACTATGAGCTTACGTTTTATCTTCTGAAGTAGATTATCTCACTGTTTCTCGGTATACTCGTTCTAATGAAAGGTTTTGTTTTATCTAGCTGCAGTCCTGCATGGAAGTGTCCAGGTGACGTTGTTGCTATGGCTACCAGATCCTGATATGATATATATTTATTATATACTTGCTGGTCTATGGGGAATGGGTGATGCTGTAATTCAAACACAAATTAACGGTAAAATTGTTGGTGTACACTCTTCAGACATCCACCTAAACTATGCTTTCCGTGTATTTCAATATAGGGCATGGTCACCCTTCTGAGCACTTATGACCGATTCTGTTAGCTTAAGTACACTTATAAACTATTTAACTTTTACATGTTTTCCTCGACTAATTTTGACCACACTGATCATAAGCTGATTATTTCGTTTTCAGCGCTCTACGGATTTCTATTCACGGAAAACACAGAAGCAGCCTTTGCCAACTACCGTCTTTGGGAAAGTTGTGGATTTATATTTGCCTTTGCCTATAACGACTACATAGCAACGTATATAAAACTGTATGTATGTATGGGAGTATTATCTGTTGGAATGATGGGGTACACTGCTGTGGAATTTCTTCAGAGATCGAAAGCCGGCAAATCTTACGACATTTCCAAGAATTGAAATAAAGTAAAAGTAATACAGAATACCTCTAATTATAGCTTTATTAATTAAAACGTTTATAGTTTTCAATGTTTCTGATAGTAATCTTGAAGATATGTACACATGTCGTAATAGAGACTGATTCCAGCTTCAATTTAGAATTTGTTCGAATTTTGCATGGGGGGGGGGGGGGCAATGATGTTTATGACATATCACCATTCTGACCTGAGGAAACTACCGATGTGCTATAATTTAACCATTTGCTCCCTGAAAGAAGTGAAAAGTTGCTATTACATCTATCATTTATAACAAGACGCAATCTCCAGCTACTGAATATTCAAAATATCATTTTGCTAATGAATAGAAATACCTAGGAATTGGCCTAAGTTGAATATTTTAACGTATTCAGTTGTTCTGCAAATGTTTACAAGTGTTTGATGTTCAATCAATAATATTGATTTTATTGATTGATGTCGTGTTATTTAGTTTAGTATTTATTTATTTTGCATATCAGTATATGATGAAATATACATAGGCCTACAAATACAGTTATTAAATAGGTTATGTTGATATGTCTTTTTGAAGAGTATAATTTTCATTTGAAAGCACTTGATCGTAAGGAATTACACAATGACTTGAAGATGCAATAGCTTGTTCACAAGGTTGCAGTGGGTAAAACTCAACCACTCTCTGAATTGGTTAATTTTACGAATTGACCTCGTTGTACCTAGCCTACTTGATTTAAGGGCGTGGGTGTAGGACCCCCTCTGAAGCGGATGTAAGATAAGTGTTGAAGATAAACTTAAGGTGGGAGTAGACGATGTACTTTGTTTTAAACAATATTTTATTCATATAAATATGAAAAAGGATTGGGGAACCCCTCGCCTTGACGATGTACGGTGTGGTGTACGGTGCAGGATAGTCGATACAGTAGAAAATAGAAGAAGCATAAACAACTATCGTGTCCAGTTAAAAGCATACAGAAGAAGCATAAACAACTATTGTGTCCAGTTAAAAGCATACAAAACCATCGTGTATAACTGTTAGCATACAAACTGTCCAAATTGCTAGGACGTGAAGTATAAGAAGTATCATGTCAAACTAAATATCTACAAGGTATGCGTTTAGCTGTGTATTTTGGTCAGAGGCTTCAGCTTATTTCTTACGCATCGTATACAAAATTCTTTCTCTATCTCATACGTTTCTTTTATTACAGGATGTTTGGAAGATTTCTTTTGGTATTGGTATTTTGTATCAGCAATTTCAACTTATTGGAGGCGCAAAAATGTCCATCCAAATGTTTCTGTAGTAGGACATTGTCGTCTGTGGATTGCTCGGGCAAAAAACTTGATCAATTTCCAGATGATATTCCAATGGCGGTGGAAAAGTTATATTTGGATCACAACCTAATTACGTCAATTCCGGTTGGTCCATTAACAAATCATAGTCGATTAACTTACTTAGATCTGAGGAATAATCTCATCAGTAATATTGAACCCAATGCCTTTGAACGTTGTGGGCAACTGAAACAGTTATATTTGGTAACCAACAGCTTCACATCAATTGCTACTGGAGCTTTCAATGGAGCTTCGTCACTTACATATCTCTCTTTATCTGCTAACAGACTGACGACGATTCCACCGGTGGCACCACTTGTTTCTTTAGAAACTCTTGCTTTGGAAGGCAATCGGATTAGAGATTTGAGATTTTCCAATGACTTTCTATCGCTGCGAAATTTAGGAAGTATAGTTTTGAGCAACAACCCTATAGGAAAATTGTTGAATGATACATTTTCTAATTTGAAAAATTGTCCGGTTAAGAAATTGGAAATTGCTAGATCAAATATTGCCAAAGTTGGTCTGGAGACATTTAAACCGTTGAAAAAAATCATTTCCTTGAAGATTGGTTACAATCCTCTGAATGAATGGCAAATAGTAAATGTTATGTCTGGATTACAAAACTCAAGTATCAATAGTTTAGACATTAGAAATATCAGTCTGGAAGGACGTCTACCGACCAGGACTTTCTCCTTCATGAGGAATATCGAACATTTAACACTACGAAACAACAGAATAATGAAAATCCAAGAAAAGGCGTTCTTGGATCTCCCTAGATTGATATTAATTGATCTTACATCCTGTAATATCAACCAAATTGATCCTGATGCGTTTTTCAACTTGACCAATCTTCAGCTGTTGTTTTTAACAGACAACCATCTTGCTACAGTACCAAAAGGACTTCCACCAACACTACAAAAATTATACATAGAGAAAAACCAACTCTCGACAATCAAAAATGACGATTTTCTGAACTTGACAGATCTCGAAGAGTTGTATCTAACCAGTAACCAAATCCATGCTCTTGAAGGACATGCGTTTGCTGGTCTTAATCGTCTCAGTAAATTGCATTTGGATCAAAACCGAATAGGAACTTTACCTGGTAAAGTATTTGGGCCATTAGTAAGACTTGTGTCATTATCGCTTAACAAGAACAACCTTCAGTCAATTCAGGACCATGCTGGAACTTTCTCATCATTGGTCTCACTGGTGTTTCTAGGGCTCTCCGACAACCAATGCTCAAAAATCCCTATGGATCTTTTTCATCCTCTGAAATCATTGGCTTTTCTAGAAATTTCAAACAACAGCTTTGGTGTAATTATTAAGAACGATGGTGCTGGGGAACTCTTTGCTGGATTAACAAAACTGGAAAGGTTAGATATGAACAATAACCAGATCTCAACTATTCACGATTCATTATTTCGAGATTTATCATCCTTAAAAAACTTATCTCTGGCCCGTAACCAGATCTCTCATTGGGGTAGACATCTCTTTTCGTCCACAAAATCCCTCGGTCGTTTGGACTTGAGTTATAATCTGATAACTTTGATCAATGAAACATCGTTAGTCGATCTCAAAGAACTGAAAGTTTTTGATCTACGCAAATCTCCCTTTGCGTGCACCTGTGACACGAGATGGTTTAGGAATTGGGTCAATACAACCAGTGTCCGACTATTAGGGGTAAATATGTGGACATGTGCGTCTCCTGCTTCTTGGCAAGGCACACGGTTACTGGATTTTGATGAATCTAAGATTGATTGTACTGACTATACATTATACTATATCCTTGGTGGAGCAGCTGGTGGAATGATCTTCGTGGTGCTTATTGTCACCGTCTGGTATCGCAAGCGGTACTTCATGGCCTACCGCCTTTACAGGGCTGTCAAGTATGTAAAAGGCGAAAAGAGAACAGTAGAAGGATACGCCCCACTTGCTGGAGAAGATAAAGCATTTGATATATTTTTATCATATTCTCCCAAGGATTTGCAGTGGGTGAGAGACAAGCTGTTGCCAAATATGGACAATGGACAGGTGAATAATGTCAAGTTTGATGGTAGATATAAGGTGTGTTTCGGTGAAAGAGAGTTCGATCCAAGCCGATCTGTTGTCAGTAACATCGACCAACATCTAGCCTCCAGTCATTACGCTCTTATCATACTCTCTAAACACTATGGACAAGATAGACGCTGTGAATTCGAACTGGACTGTATCCTGCATGCTGCAGCGGAAGGTCAAATTGACAGCTATCATGTCGTCATTTTAGGAAATCTACCAGCAAAGTATATTTCTAAGGGTTTGGCCAAAGACATAGAACAACATCGGTTTATAGAGTTCCCCAATGTCAATACAGCAGAACAAGATTTTTTTGAAAGAATTAATGATAAATTTGACGGTAGGAACGGCCGTGGTAACATCATTCCTTAGTCATTAACTTGGCCTCATGTGTAAATATTGTACATTTTACCTCCGGGTACTTTCAAAATACTTCGCCAGGATATATGTGCCTGCGGAGAGGGCTAATGTAAATAATTCGCATTGTGTGTAATGGCCAGATGTACATGGGTAATTCTAAATGTGGGATTTGTATAAATGTTATATAGCGTTGGTTGCTAAAAAAAATTTAGATCTGGAAAATTACATTTTAATTTCATCACATGTTGATGAAAGAGAAAACCAACTAAGGTCTTCTAACCGCTTTTATATCTGTTTGCATCTCTCTGATTTTTCATTCGACGTCATTGACTACTGTAATTTAGCGAAACTTTACCAGAATATGGATGCGCATCCCTTCGTAGATAAACACATTACAGGCTAGAAAACCTGTGCACTCTGTGATGGATGGATTCTATAGTAAATGATTCAATGGTCTTGTTTGAAAGTCGGCACATGTAAGATTCAAAGTACTTCCTGTACATATGCCCTGTCTCACTTAACTTATCTCTATCTAGAGACATATTTTTAATGGAAAAAGACAATTGACTTCAAAATATAGTGTGGAGCACCCCAATGTCCGCACGCTTTGTACAATTGCTGGCACGCTTCACTTTAATTTCTGATTACTTACCATGGTGCATTTATCTATTATGTTTTTTGGTTGTTTTTTTTGTGCATTTTATGTGACATAATATTCTGTTTTTTGTTCAAGCATTTTTATTATTACAATGTTTTCAAAACAATTTTTTTTCTCAATATTACGACAAGATAAGAAATAAAATTTTTCAAATGGTTTATTTAGGTACAAAAATATACATGACTAAAATATGATTATAGGTGAACAATAGAGTGGTTGAACTTTGAGTGTTGTGATCTATTCGGTTGCAATTTGTTCCCACAATGTTATTTCTTATGATTTGGTAATTTCTACTGATCTGCTAGATTTTGATCTTTCCATAATTTCCACTGTGCCATATCCGACCATTCCCACAATCAGAAACGCCATACAAACATAAATTTTAATGTCAGTCCTAAGGTAATTGTTGTAGGCAAAGGCAAAAATAAAACCTGCAGATTCCCACAGTCTGTAATTCGCGAAAGCAGCCTCTGCATGTCCTTTGAAAAGATTTCCATAGAAGGCTGTAAAAGAGATATAAGATTAGGAAACATTATTGAAGAATATAGGAAATTGAGTCTATCAAATCTGAAATCCGACTACAGGTAGGTTTATGTCTTAATCACTTTTAGTAGGCAGTCAATTTAAAGCAATTCCCTTTACCTCTAGCTAAATAAGTTTGTCAAGTCGAATCTCGATTCACGATTACCTCCCTTGAAGATTGTCAATAAAATTTGTGTTGTATTATTACTTCCCTTGAACAAATAATATAATTTTTGATTTAACCAATCGCTCATTATTGCTATGACATTTCATTTGTTTTTTTATATTCTTTAAGGAAAGTCTAGGACTCACTACCTATGACGTAATTCACACATCCATTGCATAAATCAGTAATGCTCACCATTAATCTGTGTTTGTATAACAGCATCCCCCATTCCCCATAAAGCTGCTAGTACATAAAATATGATAAGTCTATCAGGATCTGGTATCCAGAATAACAAGGTTATCTGAACCCCACCATGCACCAAAAACGCTGAAAGAATGAAATATATCAAACTATATCAAGTGCTCATATACTGTGATGAGGCCTAATAATTGTCTCCCCTTATTTACCAGTATCTTCCCGCCATAAGCATTTGGAGAGGCCGTGGTTACTGCCAATTTAAAAGGGTAACACTGTAGATATATACATAGAGGCCGACACTTACCCAAGATAAAGAATGGTATATGACCAATAAATTGCACCAACTGTCCAAATGCGAAAGAACATATGGCATCTACCACGCCATAGCAGATCATAACATAGCCTACATTCCATATCCCTATAGAACATGTTATATACGACTGAAAAAGAAATGGGAAAGATCTAAAATGTGGCCTTGAAATTTTGAAGCTTTAGCCAACAGTGTACAAGAACTCATCATTTCTCTGATGGAAGCAATTGTAGCGTATTGTATGATGTTTGATGGCTAATCCTGGAAACTTTTATTGAAGTCTACTTCCGGTTACCGTCTTACCTTAGTAAAATCTCCAGCGAAGAACGCCTGTTCCACACCAGAATAAACTGTTAAAGGTATTAATAGCATCTGTGCTTTTGAAGATAAGAGATGTTTGAATGTGGCAACTAACAGCATGGCTGACGGTTTCCCTTGTCGTTTTTCATCTTTTTCTAGATTGATTTTATCCAGTAGAAACACAATAATGATAACTGCTAATGCAGCAAAGCCAACATAGACCCCGCATAATGTGTAGACCTAGAAAAAGATAAGGTATCGATCCTTGTGGATATTATGAGGGATACGAATTTATTGATACAGCTGACAAACGTACAACCTTTAACCATTAACACCAGTGAGCATCCTACCAATTTGAACATCCAGAACCACCAAAAGACAAATGAAATTTAGCAAAGCCGAAATCTGAAACTGCTTTAGAAATGTCAACTATTAACTCCTCCATTAAGAGCTTCTTTGGCAACAAATCTAGTAGACTAGCTGGTAAAGTATTTGTGCAATCAAATTTTTTTGAACAACCCCAGGCATCTGGTATTTATTGGTCTGGACCAAGGTGGTTTCTTTTAAGAGAATATATACGTCACAATTGCCGCCCCCATTACTTTAATTTTTTTTTTATCAATTTACATAGTGAAAGTATTTAATCTCCTGGTCCTGACAAATGAAAATACCATGTGGAATTTACACTTGATATTCACCTTTGATTGTTCTGGTTTCTTGAGATTCGTATTATTTGAAGGAGCATAAGGTTCAAAATTAGCCCCACACTTATCTAAATCTGTAAACACAATTAATTCAGAACCATTTGCAGCTTCTGGTGCGAATATTGTGGATGATATAAGATTTCCCCAAATCTGACCTGAAAAAAGTTAACAGTATATTATAGTAGTGCCTGACATATTGGACATATATATATATATAGTGTACAGATTGGATTCAATATTGGGCGATATGAAAATTAAATTTCAACAGAAATATCGCAGGAATTGTGTAATTACTAAAACAATCTTGAACAATCTGAGCATATCTATGGGCGGACGCAGCTACAATAAAGCTCATTATCACTATCATCAGCAAGTTCGATATATAAGCTTATCATCAGCAAAGTTGATGTATCATATCAGCAACGATATCATATCGTAAGCAAGGTTGATGTATCATAATAGCAGAAAGGTTAATGTATCATATTATTAGCAACACTGATATCATAAGAAAGGTTGATGTTTTACACCAGCAAGGTTATCATATCATAAGTAAAGTTGATGTAACATATAAGCAACATTATCATCGTATCATTAGCAACGTCGATATAACACATTATCAGAAACTCTCAACAAAATAAATGTATGGTTTAAGGGTTAGATGAATTGTATAAAAGGCTAGTGATTTGGCAAAGTTAATCAAACATATACTGTTTTAGGGACATGGATATATATAGAGAGGGATTTAACTAGTAAAACTAACGATTGTACTTAATGTAGTTTCATCCAAAAAAAAAATCAGACATAACAGTTATACATAAAGCACATTCGATGCCATATACAAATATATTGACACGTTTTTCATCAGAACCCAACCCCATTCTGTTGACATTGGGATGAACAACATCTTTAACTTTGTTAATTTAACGAGTTTGATTGAGGCTTTACAACGACAAATTCAATAAACTTAGCCTTTCCAATATAATATATAAGTATAATTGACCTACTTCGTTCTCAAAAATTGTTTTGATTTAGTTATCTATTCATAAGGCCTGGGTTGAGCAAGAAAAATGGGACTTTTTAGTGGTCAACGATACTGATGATATGAATTACATGATGCTATGTTGCTGATTAATACTGTTGTAAACGTTGGCGATGGTAGGATGATGACATAGCTGATATGAACATCGACTGTTGCTGATGATATGATGAACCAACGTTGTTGATGATGTGATGATTTGGTTTATAAACCTGGCTATACATCAACTATGGTACTAATATATCAATATACTCTATGACATGATGGCGGAGTTGCTGATATGATACACCGACGACGTTGATGATGCGACACACTAACGACGTTGATAATGTGATACACCGACGACGTTGATAATGTGACACACCGACGACGTTGATGATGTGATACACCGACGACGTTGAAAATGTGACACACCGACGACGTTTATGATGTGATACACCGTTGACGTTGATGATGTGATACACCGTTGACGTTGATGATGTGATACACCGACGACGTTGATGATGTGATACACCGTTGACGTTGATGATGTGACACCGACGACGTTGATAATAATAAACCGACGACGTTGATGATGTGATACACCAACGACGTTGATGATAATAAAGCGACGTTGATGATGTGATACACCGTTGACGTTGATGATGTGATACACCGTTGACGTTGATGATGTGATACACCGTTGACGTTGATGATGTGACACACCGACGACGTTGATGACAATAAACCGACGACGTTGATGATAATAAACCGACATCGTTGATGATGTGATACATTCTGATATTCAATTGTATTTGTATTAATATATAAAGTGTATACATACTTGTTTGAAACAAACAGAAGAAAATACCAAAGAATCGGTTGATAATAGCATCATCTGTGTTTCCCGTAGCTCTAGCATACCATACTCCAATTTCTGTTAAATAAGCACATTTAGCTGACCACAGTGGTGCTGCACCAAGTCCTAATATTATAGCAGCCGGGATCATGGTACCCCATATGGCATGGAAATTGGCTGCCATGTACAGCAGATAGCCACCCATAGATAGCGGTATAGTCCATTTACATCCCAGATGAGCAATCAGGATCGGCGGTACAAACATACACGAGACAACCAAGGCGGCATAAATTGTAGCTAAACTCCAAGTTCCTATTCCTTCCTCCTTGTTTAAACTACTCTGTAAGTTGGACATGGACTGAAAAGCGGTGAAAAGACACAGGAATCCAAAACTAACAACTATCAGATTCTTAATGATCTGCTTCTCGGACATGGGAGATTTCGGTGGTTCGACAGGTTGCCCATTGGCTTTTTCCTCCATCTTGTATTTTTCTTCCGTCATGATTTCGCCTTCTGAAATGAAAACACAAGAAGTTTAATTAACCTTCACGTATTGTTTTTAAACGCACGCACATTCTTATACATGCAGCTTTCTATGGCCTAACATTAGTTTGCCATTTTAGAAATATGTTCTCTACACAATATGCTCTTGCTTTACATCTGTAGGTCAAGCTTTATGGGTCCAGGACGAGGTTGCTGGTAGTTTTGTAAAACAACATCTTGGTGCAAAATCATCTAGTGATACTCTACATGACTTACAATTAAATTACCAAACTTTTAACAGTTTCTACTTGGTTTTCTAACTGTCGATGGAGATACAAATAAACTGTTTTTGTTTATATACTGCGCAGTGCATACTTCAGAGAGAAATAATAAAGGATTTTTTTTAGGGTACTCCGTAAAAAATTTTGGAGATTATGGCCTACATAATTATCTCTATGAAAGAATCCATTAAAATTAACTATAATATAATATAATTTATTATATATCCCAAATGACATAATTTTGACACCACATGGAGTAAAGTATATTGCTTATAGATAACGTGTAAACAAATCTAATGTATAAAACCTCCCGCTATCATCGTTCATATTAATAATCAATGTACATGAATGAATGTGAATATGACTACATTGTTTCCTCAAAAAGTATAATTATCACTTTGTAATGGTATACGATGAACTTTGGCTTTATTGTCCACAACGTTTCAACACATTACTCTACTTGAATTCAATATGACCTCTTCCCCATTTATTTAAGCTTTATTTATTCATTGACCAGGGCTCAAGACCAGGTGGTGGGTGGCTGTTATCGTCTATAATATTGGATTTAGTTTGACCATGTGATTTAATTTCGGATCTTGATTGAAGTCGGTTCAGTATTAGGTCAGCTTTAATTCCCATGCACTAGATGTACATAACTTGTACGCCAATAAAAACATTTGAGATATATGTTAATAGTAAATTTGTGGGAGAGGCCAACCTTTTCATTTCCCGAAATCTAATCACAGGCTTGGTGCACATTGACAATCTATAAGAAGAAACATCCTGCTCGATAATAAATAGTAGTGTCAAATTTTAATGCAGTCATTTATCATCTGAATATGTTAAAACCCGTTCAGAACATTTGGTACATGCAGTCCAAATTAAGAATCTTGGACTTACAGATAGATAGCCAGGACCTCGCGAATGTTTTGGACTTTATTTGGTCAACCTTTTACATGAACACGAAACTCATAATATCGAATATGTAACAACTACGGTTCCCTGGCAAAAAGGGTATATCAATGGATCGTGCATTAGGATGACAGTCTTGCCCTTGTTCATATTCAGAACAACTTGTTCATTGAAATGAGCTTACACAGTTTAGAATATTTATTCTATATGTTTAAAGTTTTATATCATTTTAGTCTACAATGACACAAAGTGTGACGCAGTGACTGAACATTTTATTGATCTCAATACATAGCAATGCATATTTTTACCCATTCGATTATTATCATGTTAAGCCTATAAGTGTGATAATAATGGTACCTCTATTGTATTTATTCTTTCAGTTGAGCTTTCAATATGGGCGTTCAAAGTAAGTTTAATTTCAGATCTAAGTTGGATCTTGAAATTATCGCGGGTCGAACAGATACGTAAACCCTTTAAATAAATTTGGCCTTCTAAAAGTTAACGGCAAGATACTTTAGATTAACACTTGATACGCTATGGGATGAAGTCACTAGCGCATGCAAGGCCATTAAATATTCAGAAGCCTGTTTACAACCCCTTTAAACAATTTTGAGCCAAGGAGGCAAATGTATAATCTGATGGAGCACTATAAATAAATTGTACATTCATATTTTTTACATCTCTAACCTCAAAATATATGTGTGTCATATAAATCTACCTGTGCAATTTTTCTCTTAAAAGAAGTATGAACTCACCAAAAATGCAGCTATTTAAATCCAAAACGTCGTGGTAGTGTTGATAAAAAAGACAAATGTTAGTCCACAGAAATGTTATCAGGTACTTTGAATGTACCCCTTTCTCTGCTTTAGAAAATCACGTGACTATTCAATACAAATAGTAATATGTATTTGAGCGTAGTTTATTTATTTTTTGTAAAGGAGTAAACAGTCCTATTTATCAAGATAGTGGATCATATAACGGGGTGTACCATATATAAACATGCAGTAATAACATTGTTATGATATGTTTACTGTCATAAAATGATTTATTTAACTATTCACTGTATATCGAAATTTTAATGACCGTATACCACAATATAAAATGATTTGAACATTTTACTATATTTTCCTTGAATCATACAGACACGGTTAGAAGTAACCCTATTCAACTATATACAAATTTACAGTTAGCTGCTTACTGCTTATCTGTATGTAATTAAAAATTAAATTAAATGATTTGAGTTTTACGTCCTACTTTTCTGCACCATGTGCGTTTTAACCTGCTCGTTTTCTCGTTCAGTTGGATCTGTACTGCTTAACTGAATATAGTTATGAAACGTTCAGTTGGATCCGTACTGCTTATATGAATATAGTTATAAAACGTTCAGTTGGATTCGTACTGCTTATCTGAATATAGTTATAAAACGTTCAGTTGGATCTGTACTGCTTATCTGAATATAGTTAGAACGTTCATAAAAGAGAAAAATGTTTTCTAGTTTCATTTCTAAACTGTATGTATTCTCCGCCTTTCTACATTTTTCCAGGGGAAAAGGGATACCGGATCGCTCGGTACTATTTGATATTACGTATCATTGTTATTAAACGCACCCGTAGCCTGCAATTACAGGTAATCCTGCACGTAAACATAAAACGATTAATAAACCTTTAATGCGTAAAATAATATTCATCCTTGAAATAAATATAGGCACGTTGAGTGCAAATAACTTTTGTTGATAATATTTCACAAAAATAATATATTTTATTGAATGCTGGGTCAATCATTGTATATATTTTTAGATATTATCCTGAATCATGTATCTCAAAAATATATTAAATATTTGCCGTTTTCTGTAGCATTCTTTGAAAATGTACCGCATTACTTAAAGATGGGTTCCCTTATTTTCTTTTATGAAAATGAAAATGATAATACTTATATGAATAGAAAGAAGAGGTGTTGTAATGAGTTAGAAAAATACCAGTTTGTCTCACATGTCCATCGTAATAAATTAATAATTAGCTAAATTACCAGCAGAATTCCATTGAGTGACCGATCAAGAAAGGTCAAAAAGTATTTTTTTGTTTATCGAGACTATACATACATGGACATTTATGATTGGTTAAAACTCTTTATATGCAATAAGAACATAATTATTAAGAATACATGATAATTCATTAGAAACACTAATTAATAGAATAGTTTATGTTACATTATTTAATAGTGATTAAGGCGTTTACTAGGCTCCATAAACTATTTGGGTAGATTTCTGGACAATCTTTCGGACACATTCAGCCCAATGGCAGAACTTTTGAAGTCAGACGTCGTGTGGTTCTGTGAACCTCAACAGCAAGCTGCATTGGAAAAGGTGAAAGAAATGTAACAGTTTGCATAATGTAAGAAAGCAATGGATGATTTGGTTTTGACTTCAAACAAGTTGTTTAAAATATGCACCCTAAGGATTAACCTAAATATATAGTCCTCGGAAATGAAATCGTGTTATCAGAGATACTTTAAAACTATACAGAAAAAGATATTATGAATATGCAGCGGTGGAAGATTTTGTTATCTATTTCTTATATAGACATAGCGACGTATAGAGGTTATTGATTTTAAATGAATTTTGGTTATTGGGTTTCAATAGAGTGCAAATAGAAAACTGTTTAGTGCCCCTAATAAAACTATAAAAACTGTATTTTGAATCCACTTTAAGTGAATCACGAAAAAACTTTGAATACCGTGATATAGGTACAGGTTTTATCTTTTATGTCCCAAATACATAGATAAACTTTGTAATTCTATACTTTAATCTTCCTGGTCTGCTCGGTATGTCTCTCAAATAAGACAACTTTATTGTACCGCATTACCAATTGCCGCGATATGATTGGATTGTACGCTAGCGAATAATTTAGAAGCGCATGTAATCGAGGACTGTGATCTCTGTATTCTACCCGGGGTAGACTAACAGGATTTGAAGATGAACTTGAACTATAAACTAGAAGCATGATTCCTGAAGTGAGATCATCTTTTAGTTGATGGTGTTGTTTTTAAGAGCGAAAATACATGAGTTTATTCATGGCATATCCGTTTCTGGAAGTATGCTCTAATCTATGTAGCTCTGTTATCCTTTAAGTCGCTTGAACAGCCAGTGTACATACCAAGTCTTTTGTCGGGTTACTTTTTGTGTTGACAATGCTGGCTGTCATATTATTTACCTCTACTCTTTAGAATATATTTTGTCAACAAAATTACATGTACAATTATTCGTATGACTATAAAGATTTCAAATTTTTTTTGATATTATATTACGTGCGATACATGTATCACCTTTTATCATTTTGGTAAACATTGAACTCCCTAAACCCGGATCCTTGAAAAGATTAACAATTTCAAACAATCTTCATACAAAATCAGTCGTGAAATTGAGGTTATAAAAATATTATTGGATGTTCATTTTCATATTCCACTATTGTGCTTTGTGTTCACATTCCTCAAATGTTAGTACATCGTACCCCCCAGAAAGTATGGCGAATGGGGGTGTAGTTTGGGCACAATGATGTTTGTAATACATCCACACCTGAACTAACACCCTTAAATGGATCAGATTGATCTTGTGATTGGTAGAATATGAGAGCAACCAGATTTTCAACGACTGCTTACAACTAGTGCCATCTGCTGGAAACTGAGAGTACAAAGAACTGATAAAGCAATTACTCATGTTGTTCTTTGTACAAAAATTAATTCTTTGTTGAACTTTTTGTTCGGAATAAGCTACAGACGAGATCAGATGTGGAACTATGGAACATTCATTAAAGTCCATATAGGGTATAGGTAGAAGTACATGGAACGTTAGATGATAAGGTATATGAAAGTACATAGAATGTATGGCGAGTACTGGGAAAGTTGTCGCTTAAATATTTATGGACCGTTCCGGATCGTCTCAGAAGCATATTATATAATTGTGACGTGTATGAATCTGGTTTTGATTTTCCTAGTATACTTTTCTCACAAGTACATTATATACAAATTACAACACAACGACTCTCGTGATAATCTATAATATATTCAAAAATGGTGGTTGAATTCATTTTGTAAGCCTTTGTAAATATTTTATTTACATTAGGTCAAATACTTGACAGACTAGAATATAGTATTCGAGGTGAGAAAAATATATATTTGTCAAGTTCCCTTTACTCTTTTCATCCCAATATGAACTTGTGAAAGGTAAAGCTGTCTATTTGGACAGCGATAAGGGGTGGATTTAATGTTATCTCGGGGTTTTGGCTTGAAACGTTAAAAGGACAATAGGAGTGACAACTCGCTGGTCAATTATCAAATCTTTGGCAAAAGGACAAATAGCAGACTTCGTAAGATACGCCAACATTTGGTGGTCAATATGAATGCTGCACTATATTAAACAACTAATCGGTCAGACCGAATGCTTTTCTATTGATCGTCAGACAGAAATCTTAACATTATTTTGTTCCATTGAGAAATCCCATATTAAGTGTAATTAAGAGGGGTGTGTAAGGGGAATTTATCTCTCGTAATAATGTTGAAACTTCGATAATGAATTAAAAGTTGAAATCCTAATTGAAAGAGTTAAACGCGTTCCTGCTCCATATGCGCTTTAAACAGATTGCGTCGAAATAAACCTTGGTAATCAGCAGTATCAATTCAAAAAGATGTCGATGTAAAAAATGAATTTACCTGCGATCGACATCAAACTGTCAGACTCCATTTTTATGATTTTGCTGCAAAGTTTAGATTCCTGTGTTTCACCCTAGGTGTATTAGTCCTTGGTTATGAACTATATGGATATATGTGCCTTATCTTAGATTACAATTGAAATGGTACAAATGACCCATAGTAATATTTGCATTTATAATTTCATGAACATGGAAGATTTGAGATTTGTTTGGCACCAACAATTGAAGAGTAATATCTAGGAAATGGTCCCGGTTACTGTAATTGTATTCTTAGACAGCAAGCAAAACCGAAACACTCAACATTTTGACTTACAGGAGTGAACAGAAGCAAAGGCTAGGATAATCATAGCTCATACAGGTGCATACAAGTTCCTTTAAGCTATAAAAATATGGAAGAGCAAAAATACCATTTTGCCCATACCTAGCCTTGCGGGAATATAAACAGATAATAATCGCAAGATCACAAGCCAAAGGTCTAAGGGAAGCTGAAAACTTCCAAAGGCGTTATAGAAGGACCGTATTAGTGAGGGTGGGGTGGGGGTATTTCTGCAAATTCAATAGAATATCAAAATATGGATTGCTGGGTTTGAGGCAAAAAATAATTGAATACTAATAGTTGTAAACATACATTGAATGTAGCTCTAAACTGCAAATTCCAACCGTGAAATATCCAACGCTCCTATCGATGCTGAAAATGAAATGGCATCCTTGAACAACAGTTGCTGTAACAAGATCGGAGTATAACCGGCTCCACAGTGGTTTGAAATGCCTGGAACTGATGCTAAAGTCTTTGTCTATTAAATATTGTGACAGTGACATATTTCAGTGCTCAAATATCTTCTCATACCACTGTATTTATTTATACCTCAAGTTAATTTAATTCCTTTATTATCGTAAATTAACAAAGAAAAATATATTTTGCATGATAATATATAAAGATAAATTAACAAACAATAATTATATACACAACAACATGGGTATAATGACAACTCATATAAGGAAATATTATTGAGAAACAGTTAAATAAATTCTCATGTAATTGATATTAGAAACACTAAAACCTGAAATTCTATTGATATATATCTGCTTTCTGCAAGTTCAGATCAGGTGTATCTTTTTTTAATTATTTTTTTATTTTATCTAATGATTAAACCAATCTCTTTAGAAATCAATGACAAGACATTACAAGTTGATTTGCACTACATGACCATGCATTCATTGTTCTGTATATATAATCTCTAGCAAAATTTTAAGGACCAAGTTTTCTTTCCTTAAACATTTACCTCATAAAAATAACATTCAAGTTAAGACAAGTAATATGAAACTAATTTAAACGTTAGGATAGGCTTCAACAATAGATATAGGCTTAGGTAGATAAGATACTTTTATAGGTAAATACAACTTCCTCATTCAAGTCATAATAAATGATTCTAATAACAGTGGGAGGTTATCTTCTTGTAAATTTCATAAATAACCCATTTAAGCTCTGACTGATAGTAAATAAACATGGTATACCCTGAGCCCCTAGGTGTGATAACTCAAGTTTATTATGTTAATAACATCTAATAATACCTCACAATGACTGCCTTTACCTGCCGAACAAATTGCACTCCATCACAATTCGACAAGATGGATTTTTAATAGTTGAATTTTAATAATCCCTGATAATTTGAAATTATCTTATACTTCATGTAGCATTTTTAAAATTCACACACACAAAAATGATAATGGTGAAAAGTGAGAGTGACTTAAAGAATGAGGAAGCACCATATTGATGGAGGGAAGATATATTGTTATCCTAATGTCAGATTCCTAAAAATTCCAGGAATTACAAACAACATAAGGCAAATCATTAGGACAAAAAAAGAAGCTATGAGTGTCCCTAATACACCAAAGTAGGCCAGAAAACCTTTAAAGTATACCCATAACCATTATTTGTTTGTGTATTAAATGTTTTAAGTGGTAAGGTAAGAATTTGTAAGCTTAGAATTTGCTTAGTGTGCAAAAAGAAGCTTCAAGTATTTCTGATACACCTAAATGGGCCGGAAAATCTTAAAAGTATTCCTAATAATTCACCTAATGTATAAAACATTCTCTGTGACAAGGGTTGGTAAGTTTGGAATTTGTCTAGGGTAACAGAGAGTAAGATATTATGAGGGGCTGTACTAAGAGATGATGAATATGGCTATTCTGGTAGCTCTGTAGCCTCTGTTATAGTATCTGTAGTAGGGTTAGCTGACTGTTGTATATGTAATACTTCTCCAGATTCTGTGGTTACCGTAGCAACCTGTATACCACTATCTGCTAACGAGGCCATATCACCAGACTGCAATTGCTGAAAAAAGGCGAAAATTATGATGTTGATACAATTATGCCACAATTTATCATAACTATCACCATTCAAGTTATTATTATCCTTTCTACTTTATCCAAATGATATCACAAGGAAAAAGATAAACAGAAAGAGTATCCTCCCTTTGTTTTATTTGACAATTGTGTAGCATTCTCAAAGGACTGTCAGTATTCGCTATTAGCAAGTAGGAGATACATGACTAATCTTCTTCAAAAGAGTCAAAATAATCATCATGTTTTAGAATACTCACCCCAATAACTTGGTCACCCTGTAATATTTGTATATGATGTGCTTGTTGTAGTTGTGAGATCTGTTCTGGCGTAGCGTGTAATATCTGTATTTCACCTTGTCCTAAACCATCTTGCATAGCTTGCTGTATATCTACATCACTCTATAATTGAATTGAATAACCCTTATTGAATATTCAATATACTGTCCACATATAAAATCAGTCATTCAGATGGCTAGTTTGGAGATTAAACTTTCAAATTTGATTACTTTACAAGCAAAGTAGGCCAACTTGCTGCTCAAAAGGTCAACTGTGAGACAATAAGAATGTTCAAATATAGGGCAAACAAAGAAGTAACTGTTTATAAAATTTACCAGACAACAAATAACTAACCTGGTGAATGTGTAATTCAGAAACTGAATCATCATGACTTAAAGAATCCTCATCACTAAAATGGTGTTGTTCAATCATATCCATGTGACTACCAACAGTTCCTGTACTACCTTTACCACGGAAAGCTTTCACTGTTAAAGGCTGACCACGCTGACGTCTTCTAAAAGCTGTACGACATTTGGAATCTATGTTTTGCTTTATACGATGCCAATCACCTTCTGAGATGTTGAATCTATGAATCAAATGACCTGAAAATACAACAATAACATGTTTACTTCAGTGAGCTTTTCAGAAACTCTACATAATTAAACTCAAGATAATTAAAAACTTTTTGATTTTTATGTAAGCCCTTTCATTCATTTGTGTTACCAGGTTTCAACATCATTTTCCTCAAAATTTCAGTGACTTTGACTCGAAGTTGTCATGATTTTGGAGTTCTTCTCACAGATGACAAATTAATAGCTGTCTATATCTTCAATTTTAGATACATTTTAGTGAGAAGGAATCTACTGAAATTGATTTGTTTTCATACTGAAATCCTTTGCAACCTTGGCCAGTGCTTCTATAGAAGAGTATAGCTTAAAACATCTAATACTAATTACAACTTACATCTTATACCATAGATCATTAATGGATCAAGTTGTTTTTTACCATGCCTTCCCATACCAGATAAATTAGAATTTGCTTGAGTATCCCGATCAAATAAATAGTCTAATAATGTAAGAGCCATTTTCTCTGAGGTACGACAGTTAGAATGGATATGAAGCAGGTCACTGAAATGAATAAATAAGCACAATTGTTACACTTTAATTAATCTACTTGGCTAGCTCATAGTGTATATCAGGGAGTAAAGGTTGTACTAGTGACAAAGTTTGAAAGCAAAAGATGATTTAGTTCAAACGGAATAAATAAGTGTCAGAATGCAATATCATTATTTGAATAAAATCAAACAGGTAAATATTTAATACCTTTTACTGATTGGTGTTCTCACTCTCATTTCAGGATTGTTTTCATCTCCTAACCAACAACCATTAGGAAAATCAGCTGAAAATAACAGACAAAATTGTTTTAAAAAGCCACCATATGAATTCAGAGTCAGAATATGAAAAAGAAAAAAAAATACCTTCTTAAATAAAAAGTAAGTTCAATAATCATAGCCAATCATTTTAGGGTGAATTCAGACAACTTACCTAAAGAGTTAATGTATAACAAGAAACACAAAACTATGTGGTACAAATATAATGATTTACTTACATTCAGAATTTAAAGTTATAAGTGTAACATTAGGACCCAAACTTTGAACATTTTCTGTACTATTTACATTATCTGCTAGTACTTCTAGAATAAAAAAAATATCATATTAAACAGATTAAAGTAGAATAACAAAGAGTAAGCATTTATTTCTCATATACCTAAGGCCTATTTTTTATACATGTATAGAGAGATTTAACCTCATTTCAAACCAGTTTCCTGTTAATGATTTCATATTTGATACACAAATCAGTTCATCACTTTTCAGTTATGTGCCACCTTGTGAAAATCTAAGAGTTAATACCGTCCCTTAAAATGTCATTGGCCATATGACCCAATTGGACACCAATTACCTTTTATTACCTTTCATACAGTAAAAGATTTATATTTCAAAATAGCTAACCTGAAGGAGCTTTTCCATTTTGTGGTAAACCAACAATAACAGCTCTGAAAAGTGAAAAAGAGCAAAAGATTTAATTAACTTGGTCCCTAATATGAGTTTTACATGCTGAAGGAAAACACAGTAGAAATATTTAATGGTTTTGAATGTTTGAAGAGACAGTGATTTTAACTTAAACTCACCCTTTTCTGATATTATGATAAGCTGAATTAGATTGAGGTGGTTTATTGGTATTGGGGTCAATGGTAATTTGATCAAGCCTATTCTGGATGTATTTTGTCTTCTGATCCAGATTATCCAGTTTTTTATCAATATTATCTAGTCTCAAACATATTGCTCTATTGATGTTTAATAATAATAACTGAAAAAACAAACACAGATGATGAATGATAGAAATGAATGCTGCTGTAATATGTGTCATATTTATTCATATTGACAGACCATGTCAATGGCAAGATCTTTCATCACAAGTGTGTCACAATGGCACAACTGAACCCTCAGCATCTAACCACCTGCCAGACAAAAATCCAACTCCATCTCACTACCACAGCCAAGTGTTAATCCTAGATTCTTAATAGGCAACCTACCTTTAATGATTGGTCCATATCTAAGTCATCATTCATTTCTACTTTAAATCTTTTCATTGGTGGCTCTCCAGATTCATCCACTACAAAGATGGAAAAACAACACATGAAATCATAAGCTGAATTCTTTAATCAATTTGCTAGAAGAAAACCTTCAGTCCTATTTTTATATATACATTTATAATTGATATATTTCCTCATGTGAAAAGTTACTTAGCTGCAATCAATGTAATGCCTGTATGTTGTTTTGGATTTCAGGTTTCGTTTTGCAGTTCAGATTGTAAGTACTGTTTTGTTATTCCAATCAGAGTCATAAACTTACAAACCTATATTGAGATCAGCTTCACTAATGGTGTTACCTTCTTCAAATTGGTTTACTTGAGAAGATTCTATTGAAACTATATGTATGTTTGGATTGCCAGCAGTTGCAGCTATATCTGATTCCGACATTTTTCCTGCAAGATAAATTATAAAATATCGGTTAAAACTTTGTCCATTTTTGCAATAAGGAAGAAATACCTACTACAGTCTACAGTCATTGTCACATTATAGCCAGTAATTAAGCTTATCTACAAGGCTAGTTTCTAAGCCTATTGACGTCAAGGTCTGAACCAATTTATAGACAAAGTGTTACTTTTCGCCCAAACTCCTTTGGATATTGGTCTAGGTTGTTTCCATTAAGAATACCATAAATTAACAAATGCTGGGGTGAAAATTGAATCATGAATGTGCTTTCTCCATTAAATTTTGCCTGAACTTGTTTCACGTTTAGGCTATCATGGCAAAGCATTATCACTATGGTTGGGGTTAATCTATAATAATTAAACAGCATATCACTTATTTAAGTACTACTAGGCCATAAAATTCAACATAAAAAGTTTAGGACAAGGCCTAGAACAATCATTGTGTGGGCTAGAACTTACACACGTCGAACACATGCAAAGTCAAAGCAGTAGCAGACGAATTTTTAGTTTTCCACATTCTTTTTTTAGAATGAAAGTTTTTCCGCCATAACCATAACATTGTGAGAAGGAAGGAAATAATTAGTTGGTGGGATTCAACAAAACCTTCCCCTAAAAATCACAGTACGTTACGACATATGACTCTTTGCCTTTGAAAGTTACTTTCAGAAGTTATTAGCAAGGATTTGTTTAGTACTTTACCTCAAAAACTCGCAAATTTACACGAGATCCCGAGAATTTCTCGTACAACGATAATGGCGTTGAAAACGGTAAAGTGCGAGAATTCAGATTGGTGAATAAAATGGAGGATGTGTCATTTATACTTCCTCCCTTGTATTATGGTATTTTTTCTTATTGGCTGATTTTTAAATCATTTCTGTTTAGTCACTAAAGCAAACACGAATATTTAAGTTTACAGTTAATGGAAATTTTTATTTTGGATAATCTTGCATGTCTTTGAATTCAATAACCATAATGTATTCTGATCGTCCAAGGGAGTTGCACCAATTGCGTGAACAGCCCTATAAAGCGCACTCACTGGCTTTGAGGCTAGGTCAAGAGGTCAATCACTGAGTAGAACATGGAGGAAGCTCAGGCGTGACGAACAGTGAATCCACTATAACCAATAAGATTTCACATTTTGTTCTGTGTATCAAATTAATTAGTCTTTGTTCTATATCATAATGTAGTAACTGATATTTGTCAACACACATCTCAAAACCAAAAAAATTTGCTGACAATGCAATTTATGGCCTAATCAACGTCAATGACCAATCACAAAATGATCATTTATGTCCAATGTAAACAAATCGAAAGTAGAAATTAATTTGCAAGTTGCAACACATGTTGTACGTTGAAGATAGATCTACTCCAAGCTTTAATAACATTGGTATGCGTGAGCAATTAGTAGGGACCTTCGTGTGGAAAAATGAATCAAATGAATCAAATGAAGCAGAAATTTTTGTGCAACGTTATATAAAAAATTTCATACCATTATCGAGTAAGCTATGCAATGAGTATTGAGTAGGCCTATGATGATGCATTTAAAGACACTGTTGTTCAGTTTTCTTTGGATTGCTGTAAGAAGTAAACCAGATGCTATTGTATGGGGTCCAGGATTAAACAGTAGGATAGTTTTACCAGTGCGATATTTCTTTATCCAGTTTCTGGATGAAACAGGTGAAAACATGTAGGTTCTTTTTTATTAGCTCTACCATTAACTTTTTCCAAGTTGCTGAAACCAATCAAAAAGGTGTTAAGTAACTTAACCTATATTTAAGGTTACATTTTATGAATTTTGAGAGAAGTATTTTAAATGTAGAAATTGCATGTAAAAAATTATCAATTATGCTAATCTCCAATAGATGCAAGAAAATTTATAACATTATGGAGACTTATATTTGACTGATTCATAAATATAATGTAGGTCTTAAGTCAAATATTAGTCCCAGTTGATTTATATAAAAATTAGTTTTATTTAGGCTTGCATTGTCTGATATTTCAGAACGGAATCATTAGGAGAGAAGGCAGTTAGTTTAACTATTGATCAGGAAGATGGAAGTAGAGCTAGAATATGGAGTCAGATATTAGATAGAGGTGACGGGTCTTATATAGCCAGATATAGATTATATCAAGCGTACGATAATTTAGTCATAAGTTTGTTATATAATAAGCAGCATATTGCTGATTCACCATATAAGTTAAAAGGTAGTTATTGATATTCACATTAGCTGAGAAGATGAAAAGTTGTTTATTGAAGCATTACAACATCTACTTGCTCTCTGACTACTTTGAACTTTAAATCAAATATTTTCTCTCATTTCATAAATATTTAAAATATAATTTTCAACTGTATGCCATTTGTCTTAGAATATCTTCAGGTCCATAGAAATGAAAACAAGTGTAGTCAGAGAGTAGGTCTATTATTAACCAATCTAATGAAAATTAAGTTACAATTTTTTTCATTTTTTTCTGATCTTTTTCTTCCCATTGTAATCTAACAAGCTTTTTTCTGTAGTCCCATTCTAATCTTATTACTTTTTACCTATTTGCATAAATAATGCCTTACTTACTTGTAATTTAAACTTAAAAATTGTGAAAGTACATCAAAATGCACATTTGTATACTTTCTATATTTTGTATTGTTCCTTTTGATATTTTGTAGGACCATTATATCAAGAAAAATGTTATTGTCCAATCAAATCAAAAGAGAAATGGTCCAAAGCACTTCAGTGTGATAAGAAATATCAACAAATAGATGATGACTTGGCTCTTTTTAAAGATATTGATATGAAAGAAGTGACTAAAACAGTCTTACCAAAGTTTGATAATCCTGGTGCTCATAGTTTATGTCATTATAAAATAATTGATAATAAGGTATTTCAAAATATTTTCTATGGACTAATGTTTTATATGGTATCTGTTTTTTTTTTTTTTCAAAACTGATGCATATTTGTTCGATGAAGTGGCACTCTGTGCAGTTTGTATAATATACCTCTTCTTTTTTTATCTTTTATTACACATAAGAATTAAGCTTTTGAGATCAAGTACAAGAGGAAAACAAGGCAAGCAACTCCTTTCAAACACATGGTTCTCCACTCAGTGACTTGTCAATATTTCCATATTAAGAGATTTTACATTATCTAGACAAATAAGTTTTATGTCATTAGCTAGATATTGATAATGTTGGCCCATTGTAGAAGATAATAATAAAGTTTTATTGATTTTATGATATTATTATTTATGGCAGATTTACAGAAAAACACATGGAGAACATGTTGGTTTTAAAATGTTCACTGATGCTATGTTCCTATCTCTAGCCAGAAAAGTAAGCAAGGCAATTTTTTGTTTTATATCCTGATAGTGGAAGACAAAAAACTGTCCACTAAGATAGTTTTTGAAAGTTATTTAATTCAATTTCAGATTTTATGAAAATTTTGGGAATAAAATTTTGATTTTCTAAAAAAAAAATGTTTAGTTTTGCATATTTCAAAGATTAAAAGTAATTGTTATTGAATATATGAAATGATTCTATTCTTCCCATAATATGGATTATATTGCAGCAATTATTTGTCTATTGACCTGGAGAATTTAAAACTCCAAGTAAGTCTGGGTGACACCAGGACATTCTTGTTTTCTGTTTTCTTATTGTCTCTCATATACATTGATTGTAGGTAAAATTACCTGATGTAGAGTTTTTTGTTAATCTTGGAGACTGGCCATTGGTTGATAAAAGGAGGTATAAAAATGATTTATTTCCGATATTTTCATGGTGTGGTTCTGATGAAACAGCAGATATTATTATGCCTACTTATGATATAACAGAATCTACTATAGAAATGATGGGCAGGTCAGTATAAGAAAATAATATAGTACATAATATTATATTCAAATTGTTAAGCGTTCATTGCATATACAATAACAAGTCAAGAACCAGACTACTTTTAATAGCAATCTGTTGTATTTGAATTTTGAAGCTCAAAGTACAGTACTCATATCTTATTTTTTCAAATTCTCTTTGTAAATTTGCTTTGTATTTTTAATTTGTTTCAGAGTATCGTTGGATATATTCTCAACACAAGCTAACACTGGTCCTAACTGGGAAGAGAAGATAGAGAAAGGTTTTTGGCGAGGTAGAGATAGTAGACAAGAGAGATTAGATTTGGTAATGATGAGTAGAAAACACCCAGATTTAATCAATGCTTCTCTGACTAATATGTTCTTCTTTCCCAAAGATGAAGCTAAATATGGAAAAATTGAAAAAGCTATATCTTTCTTTGACTTTTTCCAGGTTAGTTGAAAAAAAAGTTTTTTTCGACTTTTTATTTGTACAGTAGGCACTTAATGAAGTATATTTGCAATACTGACTTCATAACAGAACCACTGAAGTTATACTAGGCATCTGAAAGCAAATATAAACAATATAAGGGGATATTGAATAAGGTGTTAATCCAATCTGAATTTTAAATTTGTATTTTTTGTATATGGAAATAAAAGTTCCTTATTTTACAATTTGTGAAATGTATAAAACTAGGTATTCATGTGATTAGTTTTTAGTTTCTAATTTTAGCTTTTCAGTATTCTGAAATGTGGATTTTTTTTTATCTTTTAGTACAAGTATCAGATAAACATAGATGGTACAGTGGCAGCTTACAGATTACCTTATTTACTAGCAGGAAATTCTGTAGTATTGAAACAAGATTCCAATTACTATGAATATTTTTATCATCAGTTAAAACCATATGAACATTATATACCTTTTAAAAGAGACCTTAGTGATCTGATAGAAAAATTAAATTGGGCTAAATCACATGATTCAGAGGTAAGGTCTTATTATACTGTTATTAAAATGCTGAATTCGGTACCTGATTCACAGAAAGATTTATACAAGGAATAGCATTGGAAACTGAAAGAATTTGATCTGTAACCTAGTTATCCCAGCTGCGGCAGGCAATCTAAAATTTACCAATAACATGTGACAAAATGTTATATGAAAAGTTATAAATTATAAAGCACATCAGAATTAGGATAATATATAATTAGTGGTAAAGAATTTTCCTGTTGTTCTGAAAAGTGTACGAAAGCTTTGAGCAGATTATGAAGGAGCAAAAGAGAAAATTGTGTTATTAGTTTGATCTGATAGGTAATGTGAGCTCCTATATTGTCCTATGTTTCAGGTGAAACAGATTGGTAGAAATGCTCAAAATTTTATTCGAGAAAGTTTAAATCCTAAAGATATTTATTGTTATCATGTTCAGTTGTTTGAAGTAAGTTCATTATCTTTTTCTTTCAAATGATTCTCTTGCTGGGTATATTTAAGATACAGATTATTTTTCTTACTGTATCATTTCTTTTTTTTACTTTTAGAGAGATACCTAAAAAAACCTTTATGTGTATCTGGACACTAACAGCTTTAATTTGCATTTTTCCAGTTTCAAATATGACATAAATCATAGCTTACCATTTGATTTACTTCTAAAGATATAGACTTGGTTTGCATTAAGCGTATTCTTTATCATAATGAATATTCATTTTTTTATAGAAATACTCAAAACTTTTAAAATCAAAACCCGAGATAGAAGCTGGATTTGAACTTGTTTCCCAACCAACTGATCAAGATTCTCAATGTCATTGTAAACGAAAAGAAAAGGTAATTATATTATATTCTTGTTAAAAAGTAATCTCAGAATTTCTTGTTCATTTATTTAAGGTGATTTAAGTCTCAATTCATTCTGGATTGATAATGTCTCATTGGTGGATAAATGATGCTTGATAACATTTTTAAACTCTAAAAGGATCATTTAACATGGTTTTTGAAAGATGTGATTTGATGTTCACTATTCATCAAGCTCTTTATCAGTGTCATCAAAACTTTCTTACTTTAGCTACCATACATAATATTTTTCAAAGCTATTGATATGTTAGATAACATACAATTCTTTTTTGTCTTGTTGAATAGAATTACCAACCGAGTAATTTAACTGGATTGAAGTATTTGTGGCAAAGATTTGATGTAGATTTGAATTGTGTATATATTAGAACATTATTGTGCATTTTGAATACTCAGATAAAAGAATGGTATTTTATTAAATGTTTAATTCTCAAATATATTATGTTTTCAGACAAGGAAGAAAGATGAACTATGAGAAGAACTTCTCATGTCTATCTGATTAAATACATCTCTGGATCATCCATTTCATTTTTTTTACTTTATGGGCAATTTAACACATTCTGCTGTTGAAATCATATTTTTTTTAAGCCAAAATTTACATGATGATGCAATTAGCAAACGATGTTTGCAAACTGTAAGATTGAGACCATTCAATGTTCCAAAATTCCTTAGAATTAAACCAAACCAACTAGTTTATTGGTTGAAGTTTTTGAACATACCTTTCTTATGCATGTCTTCAGATCAGAGTTTAGTTCAGTATGGTTGAAAAAGATAAATGCATTATCTGGAACTGTATTTAATCAGAAGTCTACTGATAATCAAAGCATAATTTAATTGTTATAATTGTTTAATTTTGTTTATTGTTTTTTTATATATATTTTTGATACATTGATGTTCTATTACAATGAGAGTTTGTCAAAATTTCAAATTTGATAAAGCATAGTTGCTAGTGGTTATATGGATAATTCAGTATTTAGTATGTGCCATAACTTGTAGTTAGTAGTAAGTAATAAGTTGTGATGAAACAATTTCTGCATATAGATAGGGGCCAAGACAAAATATACATATACATGTTATCCTGAGCTTGCAGTTTCGTATTTACTCACCACAACTATTTGGTTCAATAATAACAGTCCAGCCTTCTAATCTTGTTTCTTTCGCAAGTTTTAGGCTGGTTAAAGTTCTTATTAAATGTTTAATGAAATATCAATGAGGAAGGTCCAATAACGATGTAAAATGAGCCGATACTCAAAATATTTTTTTTTATACTTACAATATTGTATTAAAATTGTGCTTGCCAGAATCATTATTATTAACATTTTACACGCTTTATATTAAAAAATATATTAATTTTAATAAAAATAACAATATATTCTATAACCTTATGTGTGATATTTAAAATCTATAATCCTGATTATGATAGAAGATCATGGTTTAGCAAGATTTTTTCATATGGCTCTACCGTTTATGTTTGTCAAGGCAGATCAAATGTTTAACTGTTTCAACCTCAACATAAAGTTGAACAGAAAATTAAATGTACTACATTGTATTTGAATGTAGGTCTAGTTTTCAGTTGGCAAGGTGGGTAATTTTAAGCCCAGTAGCCTACTTAGAAAACACAATAACTGTGTAAGTTATATCAGAGATAGTGTTACAACTTGAAAGGGCAAAGATAGAAATCTGGCTGGGAATATATTGTCAGATGGCCTAATGCCTAATAAATTCCTAGTATGAAGTTGGCCGACCATAAACCAGTTATAAGACCATGAACAGATATCCATTAACAATTACTTTATACATTGTAATGCTATGATAAAACGTATATCTACATGAGGGAAAGAACGGATGCGCATAATATTCACAATTATACAATACCCGGTAAGTACAAAACGGTCCTGCAATATCACAGGTATAAAAATTCGTCTGCTCTTCTAAACTTGTGAATACAGGGAGATAATTGATAATTTGACTCTTTAGTGTTGAAGAGTAGATAAAGTTGTTGAGATTGTGACTTCATGATTGCAGTGGCCTGTAGGAGGGCAGTCTGACACTGACAGGTAAGTGACAATGATAACAAAGTATGGGAGAGATAAAAGTTTTGCGTTTGAGTTATTTCTAATCAGAAAGTTGTTTTGCATGATATTTTATATTTCCAAATCAGTTGTTATGTTTTCTGTAATGTATTGTTATTGTTAATGTATTTTCTATAGCAGCCTCTACAATACAGTCATTTATTGATTTAGCATCTATTGCTATTGTTCCTGGATATCTATAATGGATAAGCCCTACTGGCCTACTTTATTTTGCATTTTATGTATTAAATTGTGTCCTTAATTGCACAAAGTATACTTTCTCACTGGCAGTAATGCTGTCATAGCGTTGCTTAACTGCAATGTTTCAACTTACGGTACTTGCAGTAGTTCTCAGAACTGTCTCTGTAAAAAGTAGCCAAGCATGAACTGTACTAAACAGTCTTATACTGTCTTAATACAGTTGTCGGTCAATCGAATTTTATTGATTATTTATTTGATTTGTTTGTTATTATGTGAATATTATGTAGAATTTGTATTAACAGAGTAGGCCTACGATTTCTAGTATAAAGTATTGATGAAGTGTGTTTTTATTAAATTCATTAACTAACTCAGCATATAGTCAAGTACAAACTATAACAAGCCAATACACCTTGATTAATGTATCAATTTTCTCTGCCTACTGAACTATTAAGGTGTAAATAATGTCAGCATGGTCCAATTACTTTATATATTTAACAGCTGTATGAATTGATTTTATATCTAATTCAATGTTAAGTGAAGTACATGTTAATATATTTTATTTAGATTGTTTATCCACTGTGTTAAAAATGGGTGAAGCTGTGAAGTGGACAGCGATTGTAGTGACTTGTAGTAATAAATCGTTAACAGAAACTCTGCAACAAGGTCAGTAATAAAAAGTTTGCTACCATTGTTTTAAAGGGATTGTAAAGAGGTTTTTTCTAAACTTAACTTTCTTAACTTCTGTGGTTCTTGTATTTCCACTAAAACTTAGCTATTTGACAACACATTGGCATGGCAAGAGCCACAGACATCTGAATGAAATGTCAAATGTAAAATAGATGCTATCAGTATCCCTGATACAGGTAATAAGTTTATAAAACCACTTTACAATCCATTATTTGATATTATAATTTTCAATATATGTGTATTTTGTATATTTGTAATTAGAAGTTCATCAAGCTAAAGGTTATCTAGATCAAGATGCTATATTATTAACAGTAGAAGATCCTAAAACAGATGTTGGAAGTGGTGGAGCTACTATTAATGCCTTATTAACAGTAACAGAGTTTATTAGTGCTCGTAAAGGATATAGTGTAAGCTATTTATATATAGTGGAACTCAGTTGCCTAAATAATCACTGTACCAAGTGACCTAGTTCAGCTTGGACTATCTAAACTACTTTCATTAGCTGGTTCTTGGCGAAACTCCCTGTTGTTGATTGACATCATGACTTAATGTCACCAGACTTTAACATGCCTTGACCTCTAATTCTTCAATGTTACAATGCAAAATTAACAATTCTCTACTGACCGTGTCACAGAACACTCTTTCGTACAGATGTTACTAATTCATATACAATATAATTTATTTTTTATATTTTCAGGTAATAAATCCTGATGTGTTATCTGATGTCTATATACTTATTTTACACGTGGTAAGGATTCAACTTTCATTTTATAAACGATTCTTCCATAATTCTTAGTCTAACTATTTTAGTTTAACGTATAATTTCATATGATTTATGATATAATTTGGGCTTTACGTATCATATTGTGAATTCCAAATCAAACTCTGATTTACACATGGAAATAATTCATTAGGTCATCTTTCATCATGTTATAATAGAAAAAGCATTTGGTCCCCCCTAAAAAATATTTTGTCCCATTTTATTTCTAACAAAATGACTTTTGTACCTTTTGCCCCAAAATATGTGTTAGAATGCATCTTATCAACTCTTTTTTCAATCAATATATTTCTTGGGGGGAGATCCATTCAGATGCTGTATGGGAGGTTTGTGCTTATGCTCTAATTTTTGATTATTGCCCCTGGCACAGCTTCTGGATACAAGCTGTAGTGGACTAGTTATAATAGAGTACTAATAATTCGTTTATGATTTGTTTCCAGGGGAGACAATATTGCTATGAAACTCTATACAGACCACTAATAACTCTACCAGTAGAATATATAGCTCCAGAATATGATGGTTTGCTTACCAACTTAGATTTCATTATTAGAGTCATAGGTGAAAAGGTAAGGATTTTATCAATTTAAATTGTCATATATTACATGATAATACATTCTTGTCCAGTCATATTTCCTCATTAATTATCTAGACTCTACAATGTTTAACCTATTTTGATAAATGTACCTGGCAATGAGTGTGTTGCATTTATTAGTAATAGAGTTGTTTCTTGTATCTCTATTATGAAAATGATGTAGCTCTTAACTTTCAACTGATTTTCATAAAATTTGCTATAGTGTACCTTTAATAAGAAATTGTATACTGATTTTGCCAAGACTTAGATAAAAGAGCACTTTAATGTTTATATTTTTTCTCACTGTGGAATGCATAAGTGTATACATTGTGGTGTAGGTTACATTTGGTATCCATTTTGTTATTTATGGACCTGGGATTTCTCCTATTTTGATGTTGTATAGTATTATATTATTGATGTTGTATAGATTGAGTATGTATGTATTTTGTAGTTAGCTGTGAAGTCAGGACCAGGTATATGGGTATCTAGTACAGATTTAATCATATCTATGCCTGAACATGTTGGTATGTAACTCACCTTTCTTAGAATAATGCTTAATTTTCACATTTGACACAGGTTACACCACAAGTCATTTAGAGCTTTGTAATCTTAGCATGACATCTTTCGCTTGGTTGCATTCAACAATTGATGGTCTGGGGCTGTCATTGTGTTAAGCATGTGTAGTCATGTGACCTTGGAAAAGCCACCTTTCGTTATTATCCAGTCGACACAGCTGTAAATGGGTAAGGATAATCTGGGAAAGATCAAGTCAAGAGGTTTGGAAATAGACAAGCTAGAAGACAGGATCCTCATGAAACTAAATTATTTTCCTTGTAAAACAAATGGTTGTGCCTTTCTTTTTTGTCTTCTTCTGACATATTCTATTGCTACTCTGTAACCTATGCTAGTTCACATCATTATTGTAAATGCCATATCATAATCCATAAAAATTTTGTTAAAATATCAAATATATCAATACATGATGTTCACTAGCATGGATATGGATTTGAATAGTGATAATTGGATTTTTTTCTTCTTTTTGAACAAGTCTTGTGTATATAGAAAGTGATTATATATCTTTGCCTCTATTATAGATATTCCATGGAAAGACTGTCAGGTGGCAGCTATTACTGTACCAGTTTCTCTCAAGATGTGTAAGAAACATGGTGTCTATAAGCTGGATGAAAATGTACGTATTTAATGTTAAAGGATACCAACTTTTAAAACAAAAAGCAATTCTTACAATAGTTATAAGTTTGCAATAATTGATTTAGTATTTAATGACAATAATTATGTATGTATTTTACTATTATTTGATATCTACAATGTTTATTATAGGGAATCGTGCAAAATATCTCTTATCAAAAAAGTGCTGATGAATTGGGTGAATATCAACGGAGAGATGGAACAGTTCCAATTGTAAGTAAAGTATATTAAGATAGATATTGCTGACAATTTACTGACTAAGACTTTTAAGTTTTCAGAGTTTTTGGCAATTGCATCAGAATTTTTCTTAATCAGGATTTGAACCATGTCACCTAATCACATTGCAGACAACAATCCAACTCGCTACCAATTGAGCTATTTTGCTGCCACGATTTCCAGGATAAGGAGGTATTGTTTATAACATTATCTGTAATTACAGGTGTGTGGTATTATCTATCTCAAGAGAGAAGTAGCAGAGAAGTTATTATCATTCTATTTTAAACCTCCATTAGATGGTTGTTGTTATATGGGTTTAGATAGCGGACAACCTCCATTACAGGTATAGCATTTAACACATTAGTACAAAACATACCAATGATTGCTCTACTATGTCAAATGAAATGTGATTTTGGTCTAATTCCTTTTTCATTTCTTTGATTTTCAGCTATCTTTATTCTTTGATTTATTACTACCAATGTCTACTGAAATATCAGAACAGGATTTTGTGTCTGGTGCCAGGAGTTCCAGTTTTGGTCGACCATCTAGCCTAGTGAATGAAGAAGCAGTAAACATGAGAACAGCTAGGAGGCTGATATGGAAAGAATTAAATGGATTTAGAGTACAGAGTTGTAAGTGTTGATACACTTTTTCTTAAACACTATATAATTTTTCATGCTTGTAGCTTATGAGGACAGGATTATAGTAGTCTTGTGTTCTAATCTTGGTATTTGGAAATTTGACGTATATGGATAATCCCCATAGAATATCCTTAATCATTTGGTTAACTACTCTACAGAATAGCAGTTTTGTCTTTTGCTCTCCAAATAACAAAATTCAACAAAGACTGCTGTATAGTTGCATGTTATCATTCCTGGCAATGCATATGTCTATTCTAGGTATGATAGAAGAAGGAACATTTAACTATTTACCAGAACTAGCTGTCGATCATAAACGTCTGCTACAAGATTCACCATTTAAAGAATATAACTTTAAAAATATTGAATGGAAAAATGTTGTCCATTCTTATATAAAGGTAATTATTTTGTCTGATTCTCTTCATTAAATATTATGAAAAGAAATACGCTACTTTGATATGCTATATTATTAACGTGAACATGTCAAATAAGGTGTGGAAGTCAGAGACTGGCTTTTGTTTTTTTTAACTGAAACTGAAATGTGGTTTTTTGTTTTGAATTTTTCAATACAAATGTATTATCTTGCTGATATTTTCTATATTTCAGCCTACATGTAATATTCATGAAGAAAGTACAATAATTAACAGTAAAATCACAGGGAAAGTTAAGATTGATAAAAAGGCAGTGATATCACATTCTAGTATAACAGGTTATGTTAATATTGGTAGAGATTCTGTCCTCGCTGGTGTTAATATTGATAAGATAAAGGTTTGTATTAAAGGCCGACTGATGTATTCTACGCATACCATATATTTGTGTGTATTATACTCATTTTTTACACCTTTGAAAACTGAGTGTGTTTGCTTTTTAATATTAAAAGAAATTTTCCGGTATGAACATAATGCATATTGATACAACTTTTGAAACATGATAATCTTAAAGGATAGAAAATGAGGCACTTTTATGGTGTTGGAATCCATTATTATGTTTCATATTAATCTATTATCAGCTATTGCTTTATTTCTCAATTTTGTTCGTATACGGTCTCCTTTGGAAAACCATTTAAACTGAAATATTTCATTTGCTTTATATTTTGTAGAAAGTACCAGTAGTAGATATTGGTGAAGATATTATGATCCAAGGTTATCATATTAAACTAAAAACATTATCATTGAAACAACATGTTATTACTGTACATGGTAGATTTGATGATATTAGAGTAAGTGAATATAGTCAGATATTATATATATTTTACACTTATTTAGTACCTCATACAGGTATTAAAAAAAAGCTTTTTATATGAGTATCAGATTCATTCATAGCTTCCATGTGTACCAACAGATGTTTGACAGTCAGTGGTTCCTGTAAATGGTCTGTCATAAAATGCTGGTTATAGAATATGGCCTAGTTTAGTTAATTATATGTGCATATAATGTTTTATCTTGAAGACACCATCATGGAAGAGTACTAGTACCATATGTAATGAAACATGGATGTTATTTTTGAATAGAACTGGTATATTACGAGAAGATCTCTGGGGAACAGAAGTGGTAGGTTATCATATTGATCTAGTATTTTAACATAAACATTTAGTCTCCTTCTTAGTCGAGCAAGAGTTGATGGAGAAATAATGTATTGTTGCATTTGTGAATGTCTAATGAGAGCCAAAAACTGAATTTGATTGAATTATGGCAATATGGTGGCACTTTTAAACCATACAGTAGCATTCCTGGTTGGCATGATTTCTTGTATTCATCACTCCAGATAGTGAGAGTCAGGTGGCGCTCCAACCGGAGTCACCCATAGTAATGTAATGTTCACCAAACAAGAAAACCCCGTAGATTTGTGATTTCAGTGTTCATGCTATTTTTAAGCTAACCTGCATGATAAAAGCTGAATTTTTTGACTGTTTTGTAGGAGAATGATGATCAGACTATCTATACGGCTAAACTCTACCCAGTATTTCATGCTACACATTCAGTAGGATTAGAAGATATACTCTGGTTACAAGGTACTCTAGATGATGATGATGGAAAATCTATATTAAATAGGTAATTCTTTCATATTTTATTGCCTCAGCAGTAAAAATAGTATGACGAAATTCTCTACCAAACCCAGTGGTTTATATGGATTTATATACAAATATCAAAATAGGCATCTGATAGTTAGATAGAAATTAAAAAATTGTAACAACATATTATGCTAACACAATAAGGCAAACTGTAAATAATAAATTGCAGATTTTATTGTCCAGACAAGGTTCATATCATAAACAGTCACAGGTTTTTTGTTGGTTTTCTTGAGGGTAAAAAGTGCGGTATATATTCACAATTATATGGTTTGTAATTGACAAGAGCTTATTGAGGATTTTGACACATTTTTGGTATAAAATACATTCTGCTCAAACTATGCTTGTATTTAGTTGTTCACTTTATATTTGTATGAGAAAATGATGTAAATCATGAGATCACGTTCCAGAACTTTCAACTAAGTTACCCGCAATTGTAATATTACAGGTGGAGATCATCATGGAGGTTAAGTTTTAAAGAATTAATTCAATTTACTGATTATGGTGCTGAATTAGAATGGAGAAAGTATGATCATTTGTATTTTATAAGGACATATCTTCACGGACTACAATGTTATAATGTTAATAATAATTCTGTAGAAAAGTATATGACAATTTTGTGAATCTGTGAGTTTTGTTAAACAGATTTTATACTCACAAAATAATATGGTATGGTATGGTATAATAAGTAATTGTTGATTTCTCTGATTGGTGTAAGAAATTAGGACTAAAGGGCAAAAATTCTCTCAATATTTTTTTTTGTATAATTTGTATAATTAATGCCAACTTTAATTTCAGAAATTTATTCTACACTGTAAGTGAACATGAAATAGAGCAGGCTATGTTATCACAAGAACATAAAGGATTTTATAAAGTATATAACAGTGCTAGTAAAGAAGGGTTTGCTCAGAATATACTAGAAAAGTTAGATAGAAGTAAGTTACCATTTATATTTTTCTTAGATTTGATTGTTAGATATCCTTGCATATTTGATATGTTAATGTTTTTGAAGCTTTTGTTGCATGCTTTATAAGAGTTTTATAATGCAGTTTGTTTAATGCCATGCTGTTTTCTCATGCTTGAGTGAGGTTGGCATTTTATTCCACATTGCTCAGAAAGAAGGTAACTTCTTCTGTATACAGTACACAGTGTACTAATGATGTAGAGGTTAATATCAATGTATTATTATTATTATTATTTTATTAGTGCTTTTAAATACATTATCAGATGGTAAGTGTAGAAATGTCTCATGTATTTCACTTGAATCAACAATACTGTGTTACATTTCATTCTTAAAGATATTCTTGTCTGTAGATAGACCATGAAAAGCTTTTTGTCTTTGACACATGCTTAACGTAATGTATACCCTCAATGTATCTCTTAAGTCAACTTATTTCAAATCTGAAATATGGTTATGAAAAGAATAAGTAGGAAATTTCATATCTCGTTCTAATTTGTAGCACATATTTGATTTTAATTCTATTGGTCAATGCACATCAATAAAAAATGTAGTTAGATATTTTGTTATCTAGGATATACATATTTGCTTTGTAGATGTAGACTCATTTTGAATTTCATTTTGGTAGTGAAAGCACCAATTTCTAAAGTAGGGTAAAACATAGCATGAATGATCTGTTCACATTGTGATTCACTAAAGTGATTTATAGTTGATATTTATTTATATTGATGATTCCTTTCTTTGATGTTGGAACTCTTTAATTTGATGTTGTGACTCTTTGATTTGATTTTGTGACTCTTGGATTTGATGTTGTGACTCTTTGATGTGAATACTCTTTAATTTGATGTTGTGACTCTTTGATTTGATTTTGTGACTCTTTAATTTGATGTTGTGACTCTTTAATTTGATGTTGTGACTCTTTGATTTGATGTTGTGACTCTTTGATTTGATTTTGTGACTCTTGGATTTGATGTTGTGACTCTTTGATGTGAATACTCTTTAATTTGATGTTGTGACTCTTTGATTTGATTTTGTGACTCTTTAATTTGATGTTATGACTCTTTAATTTGATGTTGTGACTCTTTGATTTGATGTTGTGACTCTTTGATTTGATTTTGTGACTCTTGGATTTGATGTTGTGACTCTTTGATGTGAATACTCTTTAATTTGATGTTCAGTTGTGGTGCTTGTTAAATTTGATGTTATGACTCTATTTAATTCTTTTTTTTGACGTTGTGGCCTTACTTTTATGTGAATACTCTTTATTTGATGTTGTGAGAATTTAATTTCATGTTATTATTTTGAATAATTCTTTTCTTACTGTATTTTCATATTGATATTTTGTTTTTTTATAGTTAAAATAGATAAATAGATACCATGCTATGTTAAAATCAATTGGTTACATATGATAGTTTTGTATGGACTTCTAAACTACATAGAGTGGATAAATGAAAAAGTATTATTGTGACCTGGATTCAAAACTACATATAATATCCTTTATGTCTAACACAGTGCTAAATCAAAAATATGAATGCAAATAATTTGATTAGATTTTGTGACAATGATTTTCAATGAAATCGACAGCAATCACATTTCTTTTTAGTGGCTAGTGAGACAGCAAGTCCTGGTGTAGCAGCTAGATCATTAGCTAATGTTGCTGATATATTGAGTTGTTTAGCTGGTAAAAAAGGAGGTTTACGTAGTGGACCAGCAGCTAATATCAGCTGGAAGAAAGCTTTTCACTTACTAGAGGTACAAATACATTTAACATAATAAGATTTTTGGCATATATAAAACAAATTACATTGTTTCAGCATAGCATTAAGGACTGCAAAGCACAAGTTATGATTCCCTCAATATTGCAATATTCAATCCAAATTTTGTTAATTTAATTGCTTAATTTTGAATTAACAGAATAATGATTTGATTGGTGGTGTTGCTGCTCTAGCTAAAGAGAGAGGTAAATGGTTACATAGACCAGATCTGTTAGTTCGAGCAGCACGACATTATGAAGGAGCAGCTCAGATATTGATACGTAAAGCTGTCATGACAGCAAAAGAGGTACTTGTGTTTATTAGCTATGAAAAATCTCGCACCATACAACATAAATTGTTTTCATGAGGTTAAATTTCGATAGGTATTCCACTTTTCTACTTCTCCTCTTTTTTGATTAATTCTGAAAACTCTAGGCAGTTGCATTGAGGTAAATTTGGTGGGCTTTTAGTGATAAATTTCAGGTTCCAGACTAAGTAGAGTTATTTAACAATTACAGCCAACTGTAGCCTTTATCTCACATAGCTTTCTTTTATGGTGTCATGCAACTACAAGGTTTTTATGTTATCTTCTCCCAACTGAGTCAAGAAACCTTTTAAAAAATCCATTACAACTTGAATGTTGGAACATGCAAGTTATATACTTGTATTTATCCTAATAAAAGTAATGATCAGTGGTGTTTTGCGAGGAGAGGTTTAGTCCCCCATGACAATTCTATGGCTCCAACTCGGCCACCTCATTTGATGAATCATAGAATCACCACAGTAATTATTGTCTATATTGTAGTATATACACCTAGAGAATATAGAACAACCAGCAATAGGACAGTGGGTCAGAGCTGATTGTCCAGCTAGAATAGATTTAGCAGGAGGGTGGTCTGATACACCTCCTATAACTTATGAACATGGTGGAGCAGTAACAATGGCTGCCTTGTTGATTAATGGAAAGGTATAGTAATATATTTATCTGCTGTCAGTAATATTTGCATGAGGGTAGAAAACTTAATCCTGATAAATGATTTTGATTTCAGATTTCAATGGGTCAAAATTGATATCTAATCCAAATTGGAATTATTATTACATTTGAAACATCTATCTTCCGCTTCATATAAGAAATCAGATACAGCTTTATAATAAACATGAATTTGAATTCTCAAACTTAGCCAATAAAAGTATAATATTCATCATTGATCTTACCTGGTGTCATAACTATACAGCAGAATCTCTATTTAATCTGATAACTCGTGATTATTTTCTGTTATTGTAGAGACCAATCGGTGCAAGAGTAAGAAGACTTGCGGAGTAAGTGTTTATATTTGTATTTGCCTGTAATGCAAGAATTTCCACCATTTATATAGATTGTAACAATACGATTATTTTTCTAGTGTACACTTGTGTTTCTTGTGGTCAACCAAATATTGAAAAAACTTTAACTTATAATTCATTTTGAATAGCTGTCTTTCAAATTAAAGCTCTTTTGGAATATATATCTTTGTAGGCCAATATTAAAGTTAAATATAGTTGGTAATCAAGGTGAAACAATGACAGTAATATGTTCTGAATTGAGTGATATGGAGGGTTATTGTCAACCCCATTCTCCAGGTACAGTTATCATTCTTTTCTTTAAATAGGGGTCATATTTACTAACATTGATGGAAAAATTATCGCTCCCCTTTGTTGATCTGGCTGTAAAGAGACCCTTATACAGATATTTCTGTAATCAAAACCAGCTGAATGATGGTTTCCACAATATATAGCTATTTATTTATGTAAAATATAGATTCAACTACATTTGTATAAAAAACAAAACCCTTTTACTACAGTTGAGCAATGATATATTTGCAATTCGGGAAAGATTCAAAACAAACACACAAGCAGGCTACTTTTTTCAGTTAACTTTAAAAAATAGTAATAAATGCTATGTAGACTAAATAGTACCTGGATCTGCAAAAAGGCTATAAATTAATTATTTCCAATAGGTGCATTATTAAAAGCTGCCTTTATCTGTGCTGATGTGATACAACTGCCATCAGACCTGACCTTAAAGGAACAATTAGAGAAGAATTATGGTGGAGGTTTTGAGATAGAATCCTGGTCTAACTTGCCACAGGGTTCAGGACTAGGTACCAGTAGTATATTATCAGGAAGTGTATTGGCAGCACTGTTAAGAGCTGCAGGAAAAACAACAACTGCTGAAAGTCTTATACATGCAGTAAGTGATAAGATTAAGAATCACAGTCATGTTTGTGGTGCTGCTAATAATCAATTAGCCTTTGGAAGGGTTTATCATTTAAGAGGTTGCAAAGTGATTTTCTAGTTCTTCATGTGTATTGGGAATATTTTTGGAAATACATTGATGATTTTAAAGTAATCAGAAAGAGTTTTTCAATTCTCTGCTGGTGTATTTAAGCATTCTATTTGTATCATTCTAATTTTCTGTTGGATGTCTGTAGTTCCTGCAATTTCAGAAAAACTTGAATAGATTATGACTCAACTATGCAGTCATCTTTATAATTGAATTTCATACTTTCTTTCTAGATATTATATTTAGAACAGTTATTGACAACTGGTGGAGGTTGGCAGGATCAAGTTGGTGGACTAATGGGAGGATTTAATTATGCTCACTCTCCTGCTAAATTACCTTTAGAAGTTCTGACTGAAAAACTCAATGTTTCTCCAGATACTGTAGCTTCCTTTAATAAAAGATTGGCTTTAATATATACTGGAAAAACAAGACTAGCTAGAAACTTACTACAGGTCTGTTATGACTGGATGCCAATAATATGAATTAATAATATTATGATATCAAATAAATTAAATTTCGTCATAAAGTTGTGATTCTTCAATTGTAGTGAGTTTTCAAACAAGATATTTATACATTAAAAAAGCATGGTCCTTTTGTTATTGTATTTTACAAATTTATGTGTGCCATGTCAGAAATTTGTTGAATATTTTGATATTTGTACTGTAGGATGTTATTAGAAATTGGTATGCTAGAAATCCCTATATAGTTCAAACTGAAGATAATTTAGTCGTCAGTGCTGGTAAATGTAAAGATGCTCTGTTAAAAGGTATGGGTTGTAAATATTACAAATCTAGGCATAAATAGGCTATTAAAGGGAGGTAATATGTTATCCCCCTTTGACCACAATATAATTAAGTATGAGATTAACATGAATGATACATTTTCGAAATTTTGTTAGGTAAACTCCTTTTTTTGACATTTTGGAAAAAAAATGAAAGATTATGAAATTTTAATCTGATCTGAATATAAATTGATGTTTAGGTGAAATAAATGTGGTGGGTAAAATATTAGATGAATATTGGGAATTAAAGAAGAGAATGGCACCAGGCGGTGAACCAGAATTGATAACAAAGTTAATTGAAGAGTTACGTCCCCTGATTCATGGTGCTACACTAGCAGGGGCTGGCGGGGGTGGGTTTATGTTTGTTTTGATGAGAGAAGATAATTGTCAAGATTTGATTCTTAAAATTTTATCGAAAAAGGTTTGTTGGATAGTTTTTTTTTATTATAATTCACTATGCCGTGTTTACTTGTGGAACATTGAAATGTTTAAAAAATGCATTCCTTTAGAGTTATTCTACATGCTACTGTGCTTAAGAGATAAATGCCAAATATTTGTGCTCATGCTCTTATGATTCACAGCATAGACACAAACAGTTCACTTTATTTTTGGGAATAGTAGAGTTCATTTTTAGGTGGTAAGTCTAATGGACAGAATAAGTCTACCTTGTTTAATTTCGATTTTGTTTAATTGTTCCAAAAAAGATATAAGATGAAGTTCATAATAGCTTTACCCTGTGAAGTTGATAAAACCTTTTTCCCCATTATTTATATACATATTTCAGTGTTATGAAGAGGTAGAGTTATATCAAGCAGAATTAGATGATAAAGGTTTAGTTGTCTACCTAGAAACACAAGAATCATAAAGTTTATCATATTTTCATCAAATTGTTTGTGGTTTTACATTACAAGGAGGTTAATCAATTTAAGTGTGCTTATTTGTTTTGTTTTTTTAATTAAAAGAATCAAAAAACCCAAGAAGATATTATTTGATTTGGCATCTGGTGTATAAATCCAATGCACATATTTTTATAAACTATGCTTAATAATAGATGAGATGGTTTAGTGTTAATCATAATGGTAATGCATTCAACAAATTTCCAATATGCCTAAATGCATAGTTTTTTAGATGTTACCAAGCTACAAAAATGTTTGAAATGGTCCAGTTTTTTTTTTTTTTTATCATTTTTATGTTATTAATACATTCTCCAGAATTTTGATTGTATATCTATATAGCTAGACTAAGACAGTGATTTACATTGTTCAAATGGACACAAAAGAAAAATTATATAGTAAGCCTTAACTTTTGTTAAAATATAGAACTGATATTTTTTTTATGTTTTTTGTATCTGTTATGTTGATTGTACAACTTATTTTTGTTTATCCAATTAAACTGGGAAAAGTGGCAACAAATACCTTTTTTACATTCATATTGTGATTCAAGTTTAGAAATATAGTCTCATAGTAACCCTCATGCTAATAACAAAGAAATGCAGAAATTCAATCCTCTAGGGAATGCTCTAGGCTCAAGAAAGTGTTCTCAATTAATAGGATAATGATAGTGGCTGTGATTTCATGTTAGATTTATATATGGACATAGATTCACATTGTCTGATTGATTCTGGTAATGTACTCCAAATAATTGATGCACTATATTGATATATTGTACTTGGGAAAAATTAAAACAGAGCCTGAAACATGTTGTTACTTACTATTTTAACAGTAAAAAATATGTTGTTATTGTACTGTATTTACTGTTCAAATGAAGAACATCAACCAGTTTTGACAACTGGGAATCAAAGGCAATACTGTATTATTAGATTTTGTTATATTATTAGAATATTTTGGGTATTATTTGATAGTATTATTGTTTATTTTACAATTACGTATGTTATGGTTATTAAAGTGGATACCATACAAGGTTCACTAGTAGTTTTTATTCCAGCAAGCCCATGATTCATAGAGAAAAATGCTGGGACACACACTTCTTAATTTCGAGGAAGCTGTCCTGCATTGCTTCCACCCCTCCTATTTTCAGCAAATAATGATGCTTTGTCAGAAAAGATCCCTTACTATTAATGTTCCAGTATGTTGAAGTATGGTGATGTCAACTTGTAAACATGAGGTGAAGAAAGAATCAAACAAAGATCAGAAAAGCATGCCCTCATTATATATGTGCGATTTCTAAGAGATGATTATCCTTATTTCAAATAATCTTTTACATGCACCTGAAAAGATATATTGATAACAAACTTGTGAAGAATTGAATATTGAATATTTGTGAAAAATTGAAATATAATTCAGAAACCACACTGTCTTGTAAAAACATAAGAGTAATTGTTGTAAAGAATAAAATTTGGAATTGATGTTGCAGTAGGCTAACATATGTGTAACACTTAATGTACAATAACAAAACATTCCCAACTGCGTTTCACAGTTATAATCCAGATATAGGTTGTATAACTAGTTTATGGCCTATGGAAATTTTTCTAACCTTTCATCGTTATATTACTATCAGCCAAGAGTAGTGTATTATTGTAGTAAAAATGGTATCAATGAGAGGTCAAAGGTCGTGTGATACATATCAGTTTCCTGATTGGTTGAAATTTCAGTCATGACCTCGATTTGGTTCGCGGTTGTCAAGGCTTTTAAATGGGTGTAACTTTACATTTGTACTGGTTATTCAAAACTATGGATTTGTTGTGACTGGGAATATTTTATGAGGCCAATGTCCTGTTTCCTTTGTTGGTCCAATTAAACCTTAAATGTGGTCAAGAGTCTTTTATTTACACATAGTTCAATATTGAAAAGAAATAGGCCATGATTTTACTTTTGACTTGGCATATTCTCTTACATTTCTTACATAGAATTAGCCATGGCATGTCTAAAAGCCCAAAATGCCAAATGCAGTAAGTTTTACCCAAAGTCATAATGTAAAGGAAAAACATTCAAAGAGAACTCGCTTCCACTTCGACCGTGTCGGATTGATTTGATATGAAAAAAATGCAGGCAATGTATAAAAATAGCCAGGGGCTCTTTGTTTAGCAACCTACATCACAACAACAAGTACGCAATGACACCGCGGGAAATATTATCCAATCATACCATGATGTCAATAAAAAACAATCTCAGTCCATTCGCACTATCATCAGAGTGACTTGACCAGAATCATTTTCCGTCGAAAATAAGTTGACAAATACTATGTTTTGATTAGTTTATTCAAATACTATGACCAATCAGATCTCTGAATACATCAACTGAACATCATCACAAACTCTTCTTATTCTGCAGCCGATTGGTCCAACCGTTCAAAACCATGCCAAAACAGCGTGATTTTATTACTACGCCAATTATTTATTGTTTACATTTAATGTTTTCAGTTAATCTCGATAATCCTCACAGCAAAGATTGTCAGAATTAAATAATGTAAACTAATTTGGATGGTTCTTTCATTGATTTTGCTTTTTGTCGCTATATTTGAAGAGAATGTTCAAAAACAGTCAGAACTATTTTATGACGCTCATTCAGAAAACGCGCACTTGTTAGAAAAGCTACCGGCTAACGTAAACAGAGATCTCTCTCATTCAATATCAGTCGACATTGAATACCAAAATATTTCCTCTTTCTGTGATAAAAAGATGCCGGTAAAGATTGAAGGAGATGGAGATTGCACATCTCCTATTATACCTAAGGAAATTGACAATCTTGTAAAAGGAATCAGAGATAGATTATGCCTCAAAAGTCAGGAAAAACTATCAAAATACCGGTCGACACCGTACTCGATAATTCGTAGTCCGTGTCGAGAAAATGGTGGCAGTGGATTGTGTCAAAAATGTAGTTGTAAAAGGAATAACTGGAGAAGCTGTTGTTGTAAGGTGAAGGAGGAAGACGAATCTCCTCATAAACTGTTGGAAAAATTGTTACACGAACAAACGTTAATTCAGGAAGCCGTTCGACGTCTCACTTCTCGAATGGAATCAGCCAATTCTGCCATGTCAGTGCCAATGACATCTCAACATCCAACCACACCACCTCATGAAAAATCTGAGCTCTTCGATGTTGGCAGCTTTTCTAAATCATCCAGTTTAAGTTCTTTCTCATTTGGAACTGTGAGTCCTGACATTTTTAATGAGAATGTGTAATTTGCTCAAGATTTTGCTGTGAAAAACTGTGGTTCAAGGCAATGAATAACACCAAGTGACAGTGCACAAAAATAATCAATAATTCATTTGCCATTTGTCATTAACAACAGACTAATCTTGTTGTTATTTACATAGTAATAATATCAATATCATACATACAGTGTAAATGGTTTATATGTGAACTGCATCAGTTTGTGTGCAACAAACAATGACATTGTCAGGGTAAAATCTACTTAAAGATACCAAAATTGAAAAAAATGGGTCTTTTGTAAATATGTTTATCAATGCAAAATCACTTTTTCACTTCGTTTGTTATATTTGTAAAATCACCATCTATAATTATGTCATGAGAATCTCAAGTTATATGAAAATCAGGAAAAAACTTTATAAAAGACACATCAAAGCTTTACTCATCATGAGAATAATTGTGTTATTTTGATTTATATGTGTGTAGATGGCAGACTTGGCAACCCTTCTTAGAAATGTTTTGAAAAAAAAGAACTTGACCTAGTACATGAAGCCCATTTGAATTTGGAGGGTTGCCAAGCCTTGTAATTTGTATGTAGTGTGTGAATAAATGTTCTATCTAATTTTATATATATATGTTCTATTTGAAGGTTAATTGTGATTGGTTTGAATGTTAATTAATTCTTTGAAATAATTATTAATTATGAAAAAAACATTTTTCTATTGTTTGATGCATCCAAAGGTGCTAAAATTTTGTTACATAATTATGTTAAATTTACCATTTTGTTTTTATTTGTATAGATCCGCATACTTGGGTAGAAGTTTTGATGTTATGCTCTAGCATAAAGTGTCTCAATGGGACAGGTGTGCCTTTTTTTGCCAATCATAAACAGTTCACCATCGAAATTTGAGCCTTCCAATCTATATGTGTCTAGATATTTTTGAAGGAATTGTGCAATTTTTGTACATTTCTAATATTTCTGAAGACTATTTACATGTATTCAAGATTCAAATCAATCCCCCTACTTGGTGCTCTAGTCCCTTTAAATTCCAGAGTGGCATTAATTAATGGACTCTAAGAAAAGTAGTGCCATTCCTAGTTTTTAATATTCTTTGAAAATGGAAGAAACTCAGACTATCCTCATTTCTGATGGTTTCTCTTAAAATTGCTTATGAATGTGACCTCCAATTTATTTTCCGAAAAAAAGCTGTAGTTGCTACTAGATACTTATAAGCTTTCATGGCTTTTCAAGTCACATTACATGGGTTTTGTCCACTTCACTGGTTGACATCAATATTATATAGATTATATTTGATTGACAGACTTTAATAGTTTCCTGGTATGAATGTTTATAACTTAAAGGGACAGTCTTAACATAATGTTTCACTGCAAATATATTTATCATGGAAAAACTGTTATTCAAGAAATTAGATTTTTAAAGTATGCAACACTCAAACATGTATAAGTCTGAAATGCTTGCAAAATTTACTATTTTTCTTATGTTGGGTCCAAAACAGCCGAAATGAAAAATGTAAGCAAACTAAGTTATAAACATAATTGTGACAGACATTATTGAGTAGAATATCAATTCAGTACACTTGAGGCAATTTCTGAATAGTATATGAGTACAAGGTAATATTAGCTCTCTAACAATGAAGGTTACATTACTAGATTAAACTTAATAAACTTTTTTATTTTAACATCAGCCACTTATGTTTCACTTTTATACAGGCTTCTTCAACATTTTAAAAGTTTTAAATTCTTGGCTAATTCTGTCCTGATATAAAGAGAATTCAGTGATCTGCCCCAGAAATGAGTCACCATAGCAGATGTTGTCAATTAAATCATTGTTTTGCGAGTTAAATTTTTGATGGCCTACAATTTATTAACTCAAATTACATTTTGCATTTCTAAAGTAACCAAAAATAGACATATGATAATTATTTTAAAAAATCAGGCCAAGTTTATTGTGAGTGACATCTAACTACAGACATCAAACCAGAATGGTGAAAATAGGATCTATGAGTGTACTTGGAAACCATTTTTGCATCCCAACAGAGCTGTAATAAATGCTTTTTTGTGATCACTGTGACCTTAACTTCATTGCATAACTCTCATACCTCATCCTGTCATAGTATGAATAGTGAAGTAGTATGTGTGTATGCCTCAAGGTCTTGATATGACAAAATGAAAAATAGGCTTGGTTAGTAATGGTTACACAATTTGACTCTCATTTATAATAAATTAACAAAATATTTTGTACCGGTACATCACATAGAAGAAATGGCAATCACCTTATTTATCCTACTACATATTATGCATTATATATAATGTTTATTGAATTCGGTAAAAAAAAAATGAAAATTCTAAAGCATATGTGAGAAAATGTGTATGCAGAGATTGATCCATGCAGAATGAAAAAAATATGGAAAGAAACATAGATATATGCCCAATGAATTTTGTTTTTAAGTCAGAAATCATATTACGTGAAGTCTAAACAAGCTTAGACAATGCCTATACAAGTTACAGGATATTTTTAAATAAAGTGATAAACAAGTTGTTAACACAAATGTTTTGAGTAAATAACCCAGACTTCACCAACCGTGACTTTCTCATTGTTCACTTTCAAAATATATTCAGGTTTTTGTTAAACTTTTGGTTTGTGATTACAATAGAGGCTACTGCAGTTTATATAATTTATCTATTGACATTTCCTTTAAGGATATCAGACTTTTTAAATTACTATGTTATAGTGCTGAATCTTCAATTCAATGTCTGATTGCAAAGATGGTGGTGTAATTACACTACCTGAATTTGTAAGAATAAACCATGGTATTCATTATTCAAAGTTCACACAGAGCTGACCAATTCTGCTTTGAACTGATCAATGCTTATATCTTAAAGTTATGAAAAACTGATTCAATGAGTAAAAATGACATCAGAATCATGGCATTGGGACCACTAAAAACCCATTATTTTTGCAGAGAATTTTTTTGTCATTGAAGATCATTTTATAATAATTGCTTTTGACATTCATGATACTGTAGATACCTGCAAATTTATTTTTTCTTTCAAAGGTTCAGCTTTGTTTGTTTACCTTTACAAATCCGGTCAATATGCATTATTTAAAGATAAACAAATTTCCTGAAAACGTATTAAAGGGGTGTTGTACTATTGTATTGAAATATGATCACCTCTATCAACCTATGTTGTTATCAGTTACAGATTATAATATACCAAAGTCTAGACTTGAAACAAAAACAACCACACCATGTTAGAACCAAACATAGTTTCGTATGATCATTGCCCATGAGAAATGATATATGAATGGAGTTTTACGTCCTACTTTCCTCCACCTTGGGGTTAATAAAAAGAGCAACGCAATGCAGTGTGCAATGAACTTTTTAAGGATCTTTGGTGTGCACAGGACCTCTGTTTTTTTCCCGTTTGAATGACGATATGCTTTTTTAATGTTGCCCCTGGAAAGAAATGTCAATGTCCATGCTACATTTTTACAATATTGACAAAATCTACTAAATCTGTGTAACAAATAAAGACATTTTTCATCATTTTCATTATTTTGAATCTGGCACACACTTCAAAAATTTAAATAAGGCATAAGACAAGTTATTTTTGAAATTTGCTGATGCTGAAGAATCTAATAAAATTGAAATGCTTTTGTATCCATTTAGACATTATGAAGAAGTAAACAACCTTTTTTTCAAGTTAATTGGCGTGTAAGTGTCAGTTTAAAAATAAAATAAAAATTTTGAAATAGTCTAACAATGATAGAAATTAGATCAATTTTATTTAATGGCAGAAAAGAGATCAATTTATCACATGGAAAATGACTAATTTAGTGAAACAGATTTTAACTGTAAACAAACTCTCCTTGTCTATTTTTAACCATGTTCAATAAAATAGCAGATAAATATTATGATAGTATGTAAACAAGTTCAAGGGGATTTGTAAAATTATAACTTGGCATAGATAATTTGATTATTTTAAAGAGATAGATGCACCATTTTGGGGGGTCGATTCGAGTCTTGCATGAAAATCGCATAATTCCTTCAAAAATATCTCAAACTAGAAATTTCTTTTCCTAATTCTATAGATGTCTTTTCTATATTTGGCAGTGTCTCAAGAAACTTTAAAACGTTGATAATTATGGACACAATTTAATTTGAATGCTCAAATTTCGCGCTGTGAACAATATTACTGATTGGTTTAGCTGAAGAATTCCTGTTTCTGAGAAATTGAATCTCAATACTCATTAGGTCAAGTCGGTATATTTTGACATAGGCAATAACTATGTGATTTCCTTGAAATCCAAATTAAGGCGTAATCTTTACTACAATCAGTAACAAAATTTTCAAGGCATTCAAGTTCTCCAGCAGGGTACATGTTATTTATTCTGTGTACATCCGGGTACATTTAGATATGACGATCTTGAACCCTGCGAAAGATTGACCCAATCAGCATTAGAAGCTCAGAAGAAAAGGCATTTGTAGAAGAATATTTTCTGCAGTTGGCATCTGATATATCAAAAGGGACACATAGTTTCATACCATTTATTTTATTTATAATTCAACAAGATCAAAAGACAATTTTTAGTGATAATTTAATATTGTGGAAAAGGACTGTGAAATGTATCTCCCATTTATCATTATAAAATTAATATTTCCTGCACCATGATTGATATATAATAATTAAACCCAATAAATATGTGACCAAACAACACACTACACACAATAACAAAATATAGTCAGAGAAGCTGAAATAATAATCACAAGTCTAAAAACACATAACAGACAAATATTATGCTCATAAAGCACCATAAATCTGAGAGCAGTGGCATCAGGTGTCTCACAAGCAAGTCCTCTAATCTCATTTTAGTTCAAATTCAATGAAGTATTTTGACTCAAGAGCTTAAAGCTAATAGTTTGTTGAATGACCTTTTAGGGATAATCTTGAAAACATCACATACAAGACTGTATCATTTACTCATATACATCTTTACTTCAACATCTCTAAGACAAAAACAATAACAAAGCCTATACTATAGTAATTACATGTATAGTAGAGCAAGGGTATTGTGCACATCCTGGTCAGTTTCCAAACATGAGCAGATAATTTATTTTAAGACTTGTTTAGTTGCAAAATCTATTAATTTTACCCAAACAAAAATGTTTATATGTGTATCTTGAATCAGATGTGCAAAATTTATTTGTCTGTTTTTAATTATATATACATAAGGATTTTAACAAATCAATACATTATCCGTAGAATTATCATTGCTTAGGTTTCCAGTTGTGTTGAATTGAGGTTGTAGACCATCAGATAAAATTTATAATTCATTTTTAAGTAAAATTTTAACATAAGTAACTTTAATTCTGCTGTCATTACATAGAGCACTACTTCAACAGCAGACAGGCAAATCTCACATCCTGATGAATTAGAGCTTTTTGAATCAAATTTAGCTTTGACACTTCAATAAACTAAACATGTGATTCACATTATGAATAAAATATAAATACCATAATACTCCAGTACTGTGCAAATATAACCAGTGCATTTTATTTATATATATATACCAAAAAACAACAAAACATAACCAATATGTAGCACCAAATAACAATAAAAATATATATTTATATGACTATCAATTAAAGGGCAAGAACTCTTAATTAGTTACTGCTAATAAGTGAAGGGATAATACAACTACCGGTATAGTGATTTCTATGGCACCTTTTAACAAACTTAATTTTGTAAAGCCCTGGTCTACGTACCTGGGTGTTGTGTTAATATACCTTTTTGAAATTTGGATGTTTCAAATGAATCAAATATTCAAATCAAAAGCAACAAATCAAAAGAAAACAACAATATATATTAGCTTAATTAAAAGTAAATCTTCATTACTATATAAATACTGATGGTAAAATATTTGGTGTGGTAAAATATTTGGTGTGAAAGTGGGTGAAGTAATATTTAAACAATTTGACTCATAAAAACAACTGAATATTTTGAGAAAGTCTATTACAAGTACACAAAATGATCTGCATTTGTTTTCATTCATCTAAAGCAAAAAAAAAACTGTAAACAATGCAGTATGTAAATAATGTGATCTCTTGTCATTTATTCTATAATTTCAATAATTCACTGGTATAAACTAAAGCCCTGCATACTTTGTGAATGCCTTTGTTGTTGAACACCTGAAAAGAATATTTGTATAAATTTATTTAAAAAAAAAACATGAACATTAATTGACATCATCCAGATTTGTTCAATTCAAAATAAAAATTGATCTTTTTCTGATCATTTTAAAAACTCAAACACTTAAACACTTGTTTTTCAGATCTCTAGAACTGTTTAATATATTTAATATAAAAATATGGACTGTTAAGTTATGTAAACTGGAGCTGTTATTAAATATAAAGACTGTTACCTGGAGGATTAGATGGCCACATGCTGTGTGATGACATAGGATCACTCCATTGCATCTGTACTGGGCGATGTATCATGTGATCCTCATCAGAAGGGGGTTGTAACATATTATTATGATCTGTATTAGTTTTGTCCCATTGTTGTAGAACTGGCCATGTATTACTGCATTTCTATTATAAACAAAATAACATCACTCATTTATTCAAATTGAAACACAGATCAAAAGCATTTTATTCATTTTTTGGTGGGGCATTTTACCTTCATTGCATAGCAAAGTAAATTCTATTCCAAAATCAGCTGGAATCACCATGGTGTTTTAACAAATTAGTTTGACAGTAATGAAAGATGTAACTAAACTCAAAAGGGAAAGAATTGAAAATTCACCTTAATGTTTCTTTTGTCTCCCTTTGTTTTATTTTCATCATCACTGTCATAATCTCTGCAAACAAAAAATAGAGTTTTTAAGGTTCTGAAAGACTGAAGACAGAAGTCAATGAATATATTTTCCTGAACACCCTTCTGAACGTGATACACATAACTGGCAACAATTTCTAGCTTGCTAGCTCTTCCAGTCATACACACTGTATCATATTGACTGAAATAATGAATGTATGGAAGTTCACTTAAGGTTGAGGGGTGTAAAATAGATGATTCTAGCCTAGGTGATAGAAACAGGAATTCAAAACAACTTACTTAGAATCCAGAGCCTGAACTAAATCTTGACCAACAGCAAAAAACTGTTCCCCACCACCACAAGATGAGTCATCACTAAGATCACTAGAATCTTGAACACCAGACCAACTACTGTTTAACGTATCTGTTTGTCTGTAATGTAGAATACAATGAAATGAACTGTTTCCTACTCTTTTTAACAAAATGTCTTTCAAATTCACAACCATCATTAATATTTTAGAAGAAAACTAATAAACTTACCCATGGTTAAGAGCATTATAGTAAGGCCAGGTATTATTGGTATGAAGATTACTAGTGGGTGTTAGCCAGTGTGTACCTGGCCAGCCAACACTTGGCACGTATGGTGAACTACCACGAAATGAATGGTACATATCTTGAGAATAACGTCTGTTTATTGCACTGATGTCCCCACCAAACTGTCTCAAACCTCCACCAGGAAGACTGCCACGATGGGGTGAATTCCAGATATTTTTTTGAATGGCTGATAAATCAAGGCTTCCTTCACTACGGCGATGAACGACAAAATTTGGCGGTTTGAGTTCATCAATGTTTGTATCTGATAATGGACTCGGCATTCGATATATTTGAGGAACTGTTAATTGGATATGATTTTCCGGGATCACTGACATGGTATTTGAGTTATTGCCAGGATTAGTAGGCGTTAAACATGATAACAAATTTATAACACTATCTATTTCTTCATCTGATGCTATATCCACTAAGTCTGAAACACAGAAACTTGAAATGCATAGATATTCAAATTCTCTATCAGACAATAAAAGTCTGACTTTGAAACCGTAATTTACTTATACAGTATGTATTCCCTACCCTTTATCAAGTCAGAATTGAGCTATTCAATAAAGTGAACATAATGCCAATGGATCATTGAAAAGTCAAATGCATCTAGTTTAGACAAAGCTCCATGTAGCAAATAAATCATGTTAAATTGGAATATTATTAAATTTAAACAGCGAAACAGAACTTACTCTTGGTACTGGAAGAAGATGTGGTTCCATTTGAAATATGACTTTGAGCAGATATATCATCACAGGTTATTGTGGGCATTTGTTGTCTTGGATTACCTTTTTCATTGCTATCATCTTGTACATCAACATAGAAGGCACTCTGTTTCTCTCTTGGCACCGATTTTCTCTCAAATAATGAGAGGAAGGAAGATTTTAAAGTTGGTTGTTGTTGTTTGGGAGGGGATGTCTGATGTTTGGTTAATTTTGGACTAGAATTAGTAGAAGAGACATTGGATTTCTGTTTGGAAGGACTAGATTGAGCAGGTTGTTCAGTTGGAGATGTCGTTGCTTCTTCACTGGTTTTCATCAATTTTGAAATAATATTGGATATATTCTCATGGCACAATTTAAAATAGTCATCTTGCATTTTGATAAACTGTAACAATATGTGGAAGAATGTCTGAAAGGCAAGAAGGAATATTTGTTGAACAATGTCTAAGAAAAACAAAGGCCAGGTTCTCGAAAACTTTACTAGATTTCTAAACTTTCTACATTTATATTTATAAGCTTATTAATTAATGATTTTTCATTTGAACAACTAATAGTAAACATATTACATGTAATTACTTACTTGAGAGTAAAGTTTAGACAGATCTTGTTGATTACCAGAATCAATCTGTTTTTTAAGATTAAATAATTCTCTTTCCATAGCTTTATAATGTTCTATAAACTTCAAAGTCTGCCTAGCAGAATAGATTTCAGTAAAACAAGTCCAACATTCTTCACTAATCTGCTGATAAACTGTTCCCTTTAGAGCCTGGCTGAGAGTTTGTATTAATCGGGAACCAGCCCCGTCATATTGAAAACTAAACATATTATAAGCTGTGATGGCATCATAACTGTTCTGAACTTCGTTAACCAGTGTTGACTCGTTGTGGTTCACGTGAAATACTGATTGCGACATTATGCTTTTTTCTTCTTTCTTAGATATCACATTATATCATTCTTCTGATTATGAATATTGTAAACATGTCAATTTATGTGCTCTATTCCAAAATAAAATATTCATAGACATTTCAAATATAGAGTTAGCAGTAAAATACATCTCAATGATCTTATGTCTGTGGATTTCCTATTTCTATGGCACTAGTGTTTTCAGTTGCATCTTCAACAGTCTTAGAATAAAACCATAATTCTTTCTACAATGGAAGAAAAGTGACACATGGAATTTTTTAGGGATCTACATAATGGTTTTTACCAACTAACGAAAATGGACAGGCCTCAACTTCTGTTTGCTCTCTAGAAATTCAGACACTTCATGTCATGGCATGTCATTTCCAAGACTAGACATAGCAACTTTCTCTATATTTACTGTGTATATAACAGAATAGCTTTGTGGATAACAGTTCAATGATACAATGTGAACTAACAGTAGGTTACAATTTGTACAACAGTCTGCATGATGGATACGTAGCCAAGTTATATTGGTCTCAAGGTCTAGGTACTAGGTAGTAATGATGTTGATGAATCATGTATGTAGGATTGTACTAGGCTTCCGCCATTGGTAGATCAAAAATGTTACGTTACAAATTGTTCATTCCTCAAAGAGGGACTTACAAGCTAGTCTATAATCTAAAGGTCTAAGCAGTGTAACTTTCAACAACTGTCGACGTAATAATCTGATGAAAAGATGAAGTTTTTCTGCCAATATCAAGCTGTTGATGACACTTTAGCCCGGAAGTCCTCCCACGTTTTGACAAGGTGAAGGTCATTACTAGTGAAGGTCATTTATTGGAGAGTAGCGAAATGGCAGGACAGCAACGAAACCAACTGACAACTGAACCTTCTTGGCAGAAATTGTCAAGCTTTTTCGATCGCCATGGGTCCAAGCTTAACATTCTGCAGATGTTTAATGAGGACCCTCAACGCTTCCAGAAATACAGGTAACTTACTTTTTGAAGACGAGCTTTTGCTGTGTCACCGGTTAGTTTTTGCATACTCCTGTATGATGTCCATAGGCATTCGTCGTGGTGTTCACTTCTCATATGAACTTGACCGAAGTAAAATGTTAATATGAGTAATTATTTACGCAAAAAACAGACATTTCAATGCAGTAACATTATGTTGATCTGATGTGTCTTCAATTGATTATTCTGATGGTTTGATATGAATTCTTTTTTTTTTTAACTAATGCCTGTGGGTGGTTTTAAAATGTATCCACAGGGGCACAGGCACAAGTTGGAAAGTGATTATTAATTAGAAAAAATTGCATTTCTGGTAATCAGGTAGTTAACTGGTCTTTCTGGAGACTATTAAAGTGTTCAAAATTCATTTTTTCAGTTTATCTGTGAACACAAAAGATGGTGATATTTTATTGGATTATTCTAAAAATTTAATCAATGATGAAGTTTTGGGAAACCTTTTTCAGTTGGTAAGGTTTTTATAGAAAAAATTTGTTATTACCAGAAATTCAAAGCAGAATGCTTTATGCAGTGGTTTTATGATAATTAATCAATTTAGTTTTGATCAGAATCAAGCATCTGACCGGTAGCTGTATTATAGACCTAGGCTCATTTTTTTAAAAAGTGCATTTCATTTATTTACAGATATTTTTGGACACATTGATTCAATTGATTATGACATTATTTATAGGCAAAAGAAAGAAAAGTGGAAGAAATGCGAGATGCCATGTTCTCAGGTGAAAAAATAAATTTTACTGAGAATCGTGCTGTACTGCACACAGCATTACGTAATCAAAGTAATAAACCCATCATGGTTGATGGAAAAGATGTAAGTTCTAAGTTTCAATCATTGAAGGGAAGTGTCTGAATTTATTCAGATAAGTATGGTATTTGGTGTAACAACTTTCGCAAGTCATTATCTGATGTTACCTCCAAAGTGTGTAGGTGATTTTTCAGACAGTAAAGATATATCTGTATTAGGAAAATGTAAAATGAAATCATAATGAATTGTCTGGTAAAGAATATAATGAAGTCTCAGTCTGTTAGAGAATATTAATATTATTCATGACCATTAGTTTTATCTGTAATAATTAATATATAAGATATAAGCTTATATAGTATGAATAATGAATTTAACACAAAAAAAACTTTTTGTTAGCATTTTATATAGGGGAAATCATTAAATGTTCATATATAATAAACTACTATGTAGGGGAAATCTATAATGTATTAAAGGCATCAGTGATATTTAATATTAAAAGCTAATTATTCATAAATTCTGTTTCTGTGATCACATGAAATTTGCAAATGGGTAATTTAACATTTTAAACAAATTATTGGATAAGTAATGCTTTGTTGACTTTCAGATGCATGTCTCTATGTCCCTATATCGGATTCCCCAGACAAACTTTTGCTTCTTTATAATCTATCTTCTAGTATTTTTAAACGCAATAAATGAGTTGAAGTCATGACCTCTGGCTGCTCATTGCAGACAAACCACATGCAGGATATGATTTTAAAAAAGATATTAGAATTATGAAAACAAGGGCCAAGGTTAAGCTCAGAACAAATCAAAAGAGTCCAAAGCATAAACACTAAATGTTAGATTTCTTTCCATTAGGTGATGCCTGATGTTAATGGTGTACTCCAACATATGAGAGAATTTACTGAGGAAGTGAGATCAGGGAAATGGAAAGGTTATACCGGTCTAGCTATTACTGATATTGTTAATATTGGTATAGGTGGCTCTGATCTGGTGAGTTCAAACTGATTGGTTTAAAGTACTGTAAATTCCGTTGTGTAGAGCCTGTTCACAATTTACATGTAAGATTTAAGTCATTGACAACTTTCCTATACAAAAGATGTGACCTTAAATTTTCAATGTACATAGTTGAAATCAAATGCACTCTTTCTTGAAGAGCTGATACAAGCCATCAAGTGATGACCATTTGGAATTTCATTGTCATATTCTCTGTAGGTTTTATCAATTGCAAATCAGCCCTAACATAATTTGAGTTTGAAAATGAAATGATATCTTATATGTCCCAGAAGGAAATTAATTTTGTCATTGATAACAGGAAATAACACTTGTCGTGTCCTTGACTGCTAAAAGATATGATAAGTAAATAAAACTATTATTGTAGTGAAGGAATACCTACCAGTTATTGACTTTTGTATTCGATTAATAACAGTTGATTAAATAACAATAGATTTACTGTTATTTAATCAACTTAAATATGTTTTAATATTTTACAATTAATTCCACATGACTTGTCAATTATCAAAACTTTCAACCTGATTTCCCTATTAAATCAATTCAGGTCAAAGGGCAGAATAGTCTGAAAATTGACAGTGTCTATTATGAAAATTAGGAAAAATGAGGCCTTGTGTATTAACTGGTTAAAAATCATGGAGGAGAATGTGAATTTTAGCTACACTTTTGCCTAATTTCCCCCTTTACACACTCTCTCTTTACGTCATCAGCTCAATATAGTATGAAGAATAGGAGATGAGATGTTGTTAAATGTCACTTGTTAAATTTCCAGGGTCCTCTGATGGTAACTGAAGCCTTGAGACCATACAAGTCAAACTTGAATGCTCATTTTATCTCTAATATTGATGGTACACATCTAGCCAAAACATTACAAGATCTGAATCCTGAAACCACTTTATTTATTATTGCTTCCAAGGTCAGTGTTTGTTTGTTTAATGTCTTATGATCTTTTATCATCTAAAAACATGTATTACATTTCAATTGGGCTTGAAAAATATATGCATAGTGTGATACATGATTAAAATGCACTTCGAGATGTTTCATTTTATTTTTTGCTGAGGGGTACTCCACATGCCATTGCAGATCTGACTAAATTGTTATGCTGCAGATGTTGTAGGTCATAAAATATGTAACCAATTGAATTTTCAGTTAAATATTTATTCTTGAATATTCGTTGGTAACAGTAACTTTGAATTGTCAGTACACTTGCGTACATAATAAACCAGAATTCATCCTAATGCTGTTTTTAAGATTATGAATATTAATAAAGGCCAAGATTTTGATATTTTAAGATTTCATTAATTGTTATTTCAGACCTTTACCACACAAGAAACCATAACTAATGCCACATCAGCTAAAAATTGGTTCCTGGAGAAAGCCAAAGATGTAAGTTAACGGATACAAAATGCTGTTCTTTATTTTTCAAATCTGTTTTATAACACCATTTCAAATTCAGAATTCTATCTATTAGATATGAAATATGTGATGCCCAAGATCATTTTTCATCCATTTTAATCCATTTATGCTAGATTATGTTTAATTTTCTTTTCTTTTCAGCCGTCTGCTGTCTCCAAACATTTTGTAGCTTTGTCTACTAATGCTGTAAGTTGTATTTTTATTGCTATGTTATATCTCTCTCACAAAAACCTGAAATATGTTAGATTTCTTTGTATAATTATCAGATCTCAGTGTATTGTAATTTCACATGAATATTATTGAGTTATCCTCCTTGATTATTCATCGTAACATTGATTTGTGAACTCTAATATGCAACTGAAAATATGTAAGTGTATGCTGATACAGTCAAGTATGACATCTACTGACTGAATTTATTTTGTTACAGAGCAAAGTAAAAGATTTTGGTATAGATGAAAAAAATATGTTTGGATTTTGGGATGTAAGTACAAACTTTCTTTATTTTAAATTCTATATATTTTAATCTTGTTGTTTGATGTTTATAGACTTGCATAAATAATGATACAGAAATTTTTGAGAATTTTTCGGAGAAAAATAGTTAAAGAATGTAAAGCTTATTGTTTTTGGTTTATTTTAGTGGGTAGGAGGTCGTTATTCTCTGTGGTCAGCTATTGGAATGTCTATTGCATTAGTTGTTGGTAAGTATTGTTTATTATTTAATGTTTCGTTCGGTCAATATTGTCTTTATTCTGTACATCTGTGAGAGAAAGAACTCAATTGAAAGAAACTGGTGTAAGCATATAGTGTGAGAGCCAAATTTCTCGTGTTTTGTACTACAATACAATACTTGTCTTATTTTTTTATTCCTAATATCAGTCATATATCATATATAAATAAAGAGTAAATTGAATTTCAGGAATGGATAATTTTATTGATCTACAAGCTGGAGCATATTTTATGGATCAACATTTCTGTACAACTCCTTTAGAGAAAAATGTAGGTAATTTAGATAGCTTTGACTTTTTATGTACAAACGTCAAGTTTACATACCATTATATTTTGTAAGTTTGTATTAGAATCTGGAATACAGGACATTTTTAAATGTGTCGACTGGTTCAATAATGTTTATGACAATTCTATTCTACATTTCAGTTACCAGTAATATTAGCTTTGTTAGGTGTATGGTATCATAATTTCTATAAAGCTGAATCTATTGCTCTTCTACCATATGACCAGGTAATAATATTACTATTCATTCAGTTGAACATCATTCTAAAAACTTGTTTGATGCACAACATCAAAAATAAAAATCACATGTCTTAGTTAAACAAAACATAAATTTTACATCATACTTTATATTAAGTGGCTGCTAAGGCCATTTGAAAAAAATGTCTAATTTTGAACTAACTAACAAATGGCCCTCCATTTAATTTAATGTGTTAAAATTTGTAACATGAATTTTTCAGTACATGCATAGATTTGCAGCATATTTTCAACAAGGTGATATGGAGAGTAATGGTAAATATATAACACGAAGTGGACAACGTGTCAACTATACTACTGGACCTATTGTATGGGGAGAACCTGGTACTAACGGACAACATGCATTCTATCAACTGATACATCAAGGTACCAGGCTGATTCCCTGTGATTTCTTGATGCCAGTAGAAACACATAATCCTGTACAAGGAGGCTTACATCATGAGGTATATTGGCTTTGAACCCTTTTTGAGAAAGGCCAAAATTTGTTTGTATATCACAGATTTTCAAGGTTTTCATTGCAAGATCTTTGTATAGAGAATTTTTTATGTCAACTTATCAAACAGATTTAAATGAAGATAATTTCCACAGCCTTAGCACTAGTTTCAGTAGGCTTTAAGCTACAGGCAACACATTCTCATAATGTCAAGGTATCATAAACTCTGTGTAATACCTTGACATCATTATGAAATTCTTGTTCATTGAATAAGAAAAGTTGCATTTAATGATGGCTGTTACTGTGTTTTTCAATACAGATATTACAAGCTAATTTCCTGGCTCAAACTGAAGCCTTAATGAAAGGTAAAACACGAGATAAAGCTGAAAGTGAGTTAAAGAAGGCTGGTATGAGTGAAGAACAGATAACTCATATTCTACCACATAAGGTTTGTTTATTTGGCATAATGACTATGATGAACTAGAAACTTTTAGGTGATTGTGATTGGGGTGGAAAGCCAACAACTGGTAGACTTTCAGAATCAAAATTTGAAGGAAGGTTTGAACCTAGGGCACCTAATGGCCTAGTAGATGACAAACCAACTTGCTACTGACTGAGCTATTTTTCTGCCATACTAATGTTATATATTAAAAGTCAATATTTGTAGTATCTTGAGAACAGTATTTAATTTTGGGTTATATTACATAGCATGCAGTTTGTATGTGTGCATAAATAAATTTCTTCAGAATAAGTTGATAGCGCAAAGAAGTCTTCATATTGATGTATTTAATATATAAACAGGTATTTGAAGGTAACAGACCAAGTAATTCTATCATGTTCCAGAAGTTGACACCATTTACTTTAGGTGCCCTCATAGGTAAGTTTCTTTAGTACATTATATATTATGATAGCCTAACTGTTGGAATTTGGCTACAGTAGAACTCACAATATTTTTGTCATTCCACACATTTTCTTGGTGTTATCAAATAAATTAAAGATGAAATGAAGGAAGATATGCTCAAAAATAATGGGAACTGCAAATTTTGTTGCTTTCTTATTACTTAGTATATCGTTCTCTTTATTACAGCTATGTATGAACATAAGATATTTGTACAGGGTGTTATCTGGGATATCAATTCATTTGATCAATGGGGGTAAGTAGTTATTATTTTTTTTAAATTATTTATTATGTGGCATCTTCTTTTAACCTATTACCTAAAGAGTCAAGTATGTCTGTTCAAATAAACCCTGCTTGAAGGAGAATGGATTCAAGAAAATCATTGTTGTTCAGGAGAGTCACATTTCTGGCCTTTTCGAGAACATGTTAGAAATTGAACTCCTCAATGTTGTTTTTTAGGGTTGAACTTGGTAAAGAATTAGCTAAAGTTATACAACCAGAAATAAAGGGAAGTGAACAAGTCTCATCACATGATAGTTCTACAAATGGATTGATTAATTTTATTAAGTCTCATCGTAAATAAACTTTTATTAGTATAAGGTAGGCCTTATTAGTACAGTGTAGGACTAATTAATAATGGATAGGGCTGATTAGTATGAGGTATGTCTAGGTAGTTGGTAGACCTACATATTATTTATTATATTTCAGTATTAACTAATTCTCTCAATGAATGGTCAACTTTAGATTGTAATAATGATTAAGATTTTTAATAAAAATCCTACATTTTCTAATGGCTAATGAAGATGGGTAATGCTATCAAGTGTGCAGTAAGGGAAATTTTACCAGGACAGTAGCATTAGATTGTGACAATCTATGTTTAAGTAGTATGATAATTATGTAGATTTTCTGAATGTTTTGCTTTATATTTACTATGTTCTTATTTATTTTGTTACAAGTTAAGTGGAACTGCATCAAATAACTGCTTAAATCACTATACCAGCCTTTTCTAGATTTTAAGGATTATGACCTGAAAATCAGCATTTCGTCATCTTTAACCTTGCAAAGATTGTCATACTTACTCACTTTTGGTTGATACACTTCCTCATGTGAAAAGTTCATTAGCTGCTACCTATGTATTGTCAAAATGTTATGGGTTTCATTTTGCAGTTCAGATCGTTTGTACTTGTTTTTTGAAATATCAATTTTGTATTTCACTATTTCTTATAGTAATGTAGGTTATAACTAATATAGAGCGAGAGATAGAGCAAAATTTTTTAATCAAAAGTCAAACAGATATTTCTGTACATCCAGTGATGGTTCATTAACTTTCTTTTTTGGTAGAAGGTATTCTGTTCTATAAAAGACTACTCTTGTTCATGTTGGGGGAAAGGATGCACATGTATATCTTATAAGACTGAAGTTTTATATTTGTATGTACTGCTCATTTTGTTTTCAATTCTAATCTATCCATTGTAATTATTAATGATATTTAAATTTGTTTTCTACGCATGAAATGGTAATGTTTATTGTATTGTTTTAATTATTATGTTTTGTCTTATCTAATAAAAGGGATTGTTATGTATTGTTTAAATAATGATATTTTTTCTGTAGATTCTGGAATTATTGAGATTGCTATATTCATATAGTGATATGATGAGAATAGGCCCCGATCTGAGGTCATTTAATTTACAACAGAATGGTCATAGGATGCAACCTAATTCCTTTCAAAGACAAATCACATCGTTAGTTTGCGAATAAATTATTAGTTTATTAGTGATTTGCTGAGATTTTCCTAGAAACATGTCCAGGCCAATTTTGATTGGACAATAATTAGCTTAGAATATCTAATTTGTCTCACCTGTAATATTAGTGGATTAAGAGGAATGGGGGTGTAGTTAAAAGAAAACAATGAGATAAATCTATAGATGGACATATTTTTATTATGAAAGAAGTGATATGAAAATATACAGTACAACAAATGACTTATCATTTAGATTACTTATATTGAATGAAAAATATTCTTGAATATACATAAAAAAAAGTGTAAATGTGATGGAAAAAAATGATCACGTGTTTAAGAACTGTCTAATGATAAAATAACGGGCACTCAATTGGCGAGTTCTTCTTCATAAAATTTACAACAAGTCCAATTTAAGAAGAAACAGGGTTAAGGAGGTGTTCCACATGCATCACAGAAAAATGGGTGTACACGATTCAAAAAGAGAATGTAAAGAAAATCTGTGACTTTTCTGGCTCTGAACTGTTCAATAGAAGATTAAAATTAGACCAGACGGAACGAGTTCAGAATTCACCAATCGCGCACTACCAGTGTGATTTCTAAATTTTATGGAAAGATAATGATATCATACATCTATATCTGTATTACAATTAGGTATAGCCCAGAATAATAACCAACATGGAAAAATAACAAAACTCATCACAGTATAGGTCCAATTACCAAATAAATAAAGATCTAACAGTTTCATAAATATACAATGTTTCATATTGCCCCACGTCATATATAATAACTGGGATATATCATTATGTTGATCTAACCAGGCTGCGATAATAGATGATATAAACACTAAACTAGCTGGTGATACTAATAATAGTAACAATAACTGTAACCAACGTAATATTCTGAAATACAGAAGGGAATAAATCATATCAATGTATATTTAAATCGTTTGTGGCCAAAGCGAGATAATTTGACCAGGCATGCTTATCTTCCCTTATGACACTTCAAATTTGAAAGTTTCTGCATCTTTTCCCAGCAAAATATAAACAAACATAAATTTTTATTGAAGATACATATGATTGTGAGTGTTTTTTAATGTTTTTTTTCCAAAGGTTATCACAAATTTCATCTGAGCTCTGTAAATCTGAATTATTATCAAAAGTTGTGTAAAAATAACTGACCTAGAAGTAGTTGGTACAATTAACGTAGTTACAGGAACCATAGCAACACCAATAAAAAATGCCAAGGAAATATTCATTAAAGCTATGGAAAATAATGTCAGAGACTGGACAATCAAAGCTATACACTTTAATAACTTCCAGTCTAAATGAAGAACAGCATGATCTGGTTTCTTTCTACAAAACAAACATAATAATCAGCTTAACCATGACTAGACAAATTTCCCAAAACTAATAGTTGGAAGCATAGTATTGGGCATAATATTATCTGCTGACTGAAAGTTTTGACATCAGACTAAGTAGTTGTAGGGAATCAATTTTGTCCAATTGGTACTTCCACACTATAGGGATTACTAGTTGCGTATGGATGCGAATAATGGAAATGAGTACCTTAACGCAACTACGACTTATGACTGCTATATTCATTCGAAACCACACACAATTGGTGATCTCTATAGTGTCTGTCTCACCAGAATCCTGAATTTAATTAGTTAAGTTGATTTTACATAAATTCATGACAAAAATATAAGCAAACTGTAACAGATTTTGATAGATTTAACATCAACTTACTTATTGAACATTTTAGGAAATGCAACTGAAGCACAGAATAAAGCCAACAAGCCAAACATGAGAGAATCTTCTGGTCTTAGACGGAATGGATGAGATACATTAGTGAGTAATTTAGGTCCTGTATAAGCTAATGATGCCATCAACATACTGATAGCTATTACTGGTATTATTGATACAATTCCTGAAACTGGTTTATCCTAAAAATAAAAAGAATATACTGCAGAAATCCAACCATACATGAACTGTTGCAGTCTTTATTGCAATAGAAAACAGAATATTCTCCCAGAAAATAATTCAACACTAAGAATTTAGAAAGACGGTCGCAGCTAAAAACCTTAAAGAATAATCACCATGGTATCATTAATTCCCTGGACCTATAGCACCTTCACACAGTCACACTCTGTTTCCTATGAGTCATTACTTTCATTGTTAAATTATCCCACTATACTATGCAACTTTGTATCAGCTAGCTCTATGGTCCAAAACAGCAGGCCGCGTATTCTCAATACTAGGATATCTTAGAATCAATGCTAGGATATCTTAGAATCAATGTTAGATGATAAGAACCTAGGACATCCTAGCACTAAGATCATTTCGAGAATATGGGGCCTGGAGAAGTAAAGTTAATATTCTTACATCTTCTTCATCATCAGAATCTTCTTCTTTACTGTCATCTTTAACTTTCTTATCTTCTTCTATCTTATCACCATCTGCTCTTTCATCAGTATTATCTACATTATCATCAGCAGCATTTGTCTTTATCATCAGTAACTTTGTCTTTATCACCATCGGCACCAGCATCAGTCACTTTCTGTGATTCATCGTCTGATTGCTTATCTTCTGTTTCTTTGTCTTCTTCTTCTTCTTCATATCGACTAATCCATAAAGCTATAGCTTGAAACTGGTTAAGGTATCATATCAAAACAAACAATAATAAATATAGAAACTATAACAAGTGTTGTTTCCGACTTTATCACACAAAAGTACTTTTCCCTGGTTCATAACGTGGGATCATAAAAACGATATGAACTAATGGCACAGGTTAATAACTATATAAATTAGGTCATGCATTCACGCTAAGTGTTGTATCTAACTAGTAAATACTAAGAAACAACATTATCAGTTTCAGACATTCAGCAATCTAATCTATCCATGCAGCACCCTTCAAAACTAGAAATATAACTAAGGATATTTTAATGAGACAAGCAGCAATCATAGCTCCAAAAGGAGGCATATATAACCCTATAGATATATAACCTCTGGTTGAGGGTAAAATGTAAAAGAAAAAAGACTGGTGAAATCTCTCTAGAAGGTTATTCAAACTTCGGAATATTCCTTCTACCAACCTGTAAAGAAAATAGAATTGTTTTATCTTTAAATATAAATTCATACGGGTGATGGAAAAACAGAGCGTATTAATTATTAAATAAAACAAGTTTTGATTATAGACCTTATTACCGCTTAATATTTCAGTTGAAATCTTCTGAGGAAGTAAGAAACATCTTTCTCTACAATTTGGTGTCTATCTTGCTTTGCTTCTTATCTATAGTTTTCATTAATTTAATCACCTAACTTTTAAAACCTACTTAATAAACTAGACTATCCCTATAAATCTGTATTTGACCCTATGAAAATAAAGTAGTCATGTGGTATATAAGTTTTGAAATGTCCATGAATATTTATAAGCTATAAAAAACAATAGAAGAGACAATCACCTAGAGGTCTGTTCAACACCGAGAGTTTTATATGGTTTTTCTTCCTGAGTACCTTGTATTGTTAAAGCTTCGATATGGTACCGGTGAAACAGACCATGATTTCCAGTGGGTGTACCTGACGCTTGGTTCCACATCATATACATCATGGTTGTTACTGATTGTTTATAGCTATCCCATGATTCTCTTTCATATGAATCAACCTGTATGATAGAATGCAATAATGAGAAATTTAGATTTTACCAGCATGTGCTTTTGTAATTTCAATTATATTTTTTATATTATATCTGTATATATTATATACCAATAATCTATTTTAATTAGTTTAAGGGTAATTGCCCTTATGAAGCTCTCTTAAAATTCAAAAATGAAACTCAATTTGTTGTTTTATCTAATAATGATGCTTTGGAAATTTTGCAAAGACAAACATTTTCATCCAACCTTTTTTTAATATTCTAATGTATCATATTGTATATAAAAACATCATTTTGTATATAAAAAACAAATATCAAATTAATAATATGTGAAACCACACCACAATATTTGAGACACAATTTTCGTGACAAGTGTTTGGACTTAAAGGTCAAGGGTTGAAGGCTGTCTACCATTGCTACACGTAAACCTAAGACACACACCTACCTGTTTATTGAGGGTTACTTTAGCTCTCTCTTTACGACATAATCGCACAACTAGATTACATAAATCTAAGTTAGGTAACTGTCCATTTAAACCTTCTAGTTTAATATTATAGGACGTGACTGCCTCACCGGGTATTTCTAGATTAATGGCTGCTTGAATGGGCCCACTTCTTCCTGGCAAATCTTCTGATATTATATCTGAAAGATTAAAAACAATTTATTCCTGTAAGGGTATTCAATTCAGAGGGTAATCGGATAAGGGCTATCAATGGTAATGGGTAATGATACAAAAAGTTTAGCCTGTTCAGCTTAAAGATAACTGTTTTATTACATCACAAATGTATGTGTGACACTCTGTTTCAAAAGAAAACAATGGCCATTTCCATATCACACTTCAGTGCTCCAGTCATCTGATTGGTCTATCTTCGAAATAAATTTGTTATTTATCTATTTACATCTCAACATATTAATATTGATTAGTTTTAAAAACATGAAATTATGAGCTGTCAATCATTTTCTGTATTTCTCTATTGATTACCATCATGTTATAGTTTACTATGACTTACAATCTGATTTTGTTTGATGATAGCCATCTAACCAAGCCTGCATTCCAATCTCATCAAACTCAGTCAATACAAATACTATATCTTTAGCCCAATACGTCTGTTCTGTAAACATAAAAGATTAGCACATTCCATATTGCATGGCAATGTAAACATCAACATAGGTATATAACTATTTCATTGAGTCACAACAACATAGCAACGCATTATTCGTATATATGATCTCCAATGAGTGAGTTAAACCAGGTTATACACAAAAAGAAATCACAAAAAAAAATCTGTTTGAATCAATTTTTAAGTCATATAAAATGTACCCCAAATTTGAGAAAACCTATGATGCCTCAAAAGTTCAATTGATCAAATCTTGTGCAGCCAAGAGTCAAGCCAAATTTCACATCAAATATAAAATTCAAACGTTAGAAGTTTTGAGCAAATTCACTGAATACACTAAAGTAAAACTATGGTTTAACTATGTACCTACTTCTAAAATGCTTGGCTAAAGCTAACATAACAGCTATTCCACCTGAGGTCTGTTCATTGGGCATAACTCCTGGATGTCTTAATGGTACTGACATAACTACAGCTTCTGTACTAGAAGCTCTTTTAGCCCGTAATATAGAGTAAATATTCTGGCCTGGTATTGCCTTAAAACAATATTAATTAGTCTTTACTGATTTCAAAATGTATCAATTTGAACTAGGGCTGGGCGATATTGGTTCAAGTGATATCACAATATCTATCATTACTATATCGCAATAGTTCTATAGTGGTGTTTAAAACAAAATGTTAAGTTGTTCCTTCAAAAAAACTTGAAATGTAGAAAAAAACAAAAATTAGGATAAAAAAACACCCAGTCTTTAATGACATGAAAAATAAAATGATATTATCTGGCGATATTTCAATATTTCTAAATGAGGCGATATCACTAATCATATAAAATCCTATACTAGTATTTGATGTGATACTGGTATATCGCCTATCCCTAATTTGAGCACCAAAATCTCTTCAACCTGTCTGAAAATTTACGTATTTCTACAGTGTTACACTGTGGCCAGTATCAGGATCAGGGCAATAAGAAATGAACTTACCTTGTCTCTAGGCATTCCAAAAGGATAATGGAGACTAAAATTATGATAATAGGTATCTAATCCTAAATTTTGAAATTGCTTAAACATCCAGTCTTTAGGCAGAGTTCTAGAAAATAAAATTACAAAAAATGAAAAGGCACCACAAGTATTTCTCATACTTTTGATGAAATTATCATTAATAACATTTCATTGCATGATATACAAAAAATCATTTATCCATCAAAATTGTTATCTTGTTGTGTTAATTTTAAACTGTAAAAATGTTTGACTTACTTATCAGATTTCTTAATTTCTTTGTGTAATTCTTCATTGTATGATCTTGCTTCAGAATCAAGACGAAATTCATTTTCTACTAATCCTAATAATAAAAACATTTTATTTTACATAAATTATTAACATAATACTAGTCATGTAAATCAAGCCAAATTTCCAGATCAAACTTCAGCGTCTACCTTTCATTACAAAAATAATTTCCAATACAACAAGCACTGTGGCAGACGCACAAGATGCACATCATACTAGGCTGCAACTAAGTCACTTCACACTCCTTTGGCAAGTCCACATATACAAATAACATTGATGTCAAAACTGAACACGGAGCATCATATGCCATGACCTACCTGGTAATAAAGCGTTTTCAGAAAAATAGGTTCCAGCATGAAATGGTTCAAATGCAAGGGCCAGAAATCCAAACACACCTCCCAGGTACAAAATAACACAGAGTAATTTATTATATTTAGTTACAGCTTTAATTATCTTCTGTCTTTGTTTAGGATCACTCAACACCCCCATATTGAATCAATCTGAAAATTTATATATCATAGACTTATTATGTGATTATGAATACGTAGTCATCTAGATATTAATTTTGATTTACTCTCTGATAGAATTCAACTCTCCATAATCCTTATCCCTTTAAAGACTGGAGATCATGCTTATCTACAATCCCTAATATCCAATCAGAAAAGGGTACCCAATGCATTGTAGATATTACAGATCAAGCAAAAGTACCTCAATGGAAGAACATTAAAAATTGTAAACTACAAAGTGTAGACGAATTAGTAGGCTACTGATACCCATGTCATTAGTTAGTAAAGAGGACTACCTATGATTGTGGCTTGTGGCATATATTCATATTGATAGCTGAATATTGAGCTCTATATATTATATTGTGTAGAAAGCCAAGCATCAATCTATGCCAATGTCATAATGGCAATATCATTGACATGGTTCAAGCAGTTATAACATTCATTGGATTGGGTCATTGGCATTATCATTATGACTAGGGGCCTAGGGCCTATGATTGATTATTTGTATTCCCAATCAATGTCAGAATGTGTGCTAACTACTGTTCCACTGTGGATTTTATTGTTTGGCTAAATCTAACTTTAAAATGGTATATTCAAAATAAGATCTATCTCATCTTACAATAACAGGAGTAGATCTATTTGTCTTCTGATCTTTTCAACTTCAATCACACTACAGCGTCCATTGATAGTGGAATTCCCTAAAACGTTGGGGAATCCCTAGTTCTTGAATATCATTGGACAATCCATAGACGTTCGAGTCTACAAGAAATATAATTACCTCGTACATTGCAGTCCGTATCGTATCCTTTCGACTGAGGTGGATTGTAAACATGGCTGCCTTGGTTGGCAAAATTTCTGGTCGTGCGCTCTTACGAGCAAATGCTGTCTCCAACATCCAAAATGTAAGTATAGAATGAACTAAAATATGTCCCAAATACATATTCTTACACATCCAATTAATATTAAAAGTGCAGCTTACTTGGAACTCAATGGATTCCATATCCCTGACTTTGCCCTTGAAATGAAAGTTATGAAACGTTGATTGATTTGAATGGATATAAACAACTTATACAACTGGCATGAAAGAAAGGAGTTTTACGTCTTCCTCTTCTGTTCTAGATTATTTTGATTAAGATACTCAATCAGATGTGGTGGACAACTAGAGGAAATTGATGCTACAGAATTTGCTTATTTCTGACTTGTCAAACTCAAAGAGAAAGCGGATAGGCATAGGAAAATAAGGATAGCAAGTGCACAATTTCACATCTTGGTCACACATCAACATATAAACACTGCCACAACATAGGAAACAAAGAATTTTCCCTGATGCACATGTTTATTACCGTACCACTATTTTCAATAATGACATTAGCAGGATGTAAACTCCATTATGTACATTCGTCATAATTTGTTGTCATTTTGCACCTGTCCCTTTTGTTTAAAGGTTAAATTTGGTTCTGGTTCATTCCTTAAGTTGTCTTCTGGAACTAAAAAGGTAAGAGAAAAACTGATTTTATTTAATTCGAAAGTGTCCAGTGGTTCTGTAAGATGTGACAATGCTCTGAGAATATAAAAAACAAGTCTGCTGTTGCCACGGGCCTGAAGAATTATACAGGTTATTCTTGGATCATACTTTTCATCACATATTTGCGAGTCTGGAATATATAAATAAAATGTAAATATGTCAATTGAAAATTAAAATCATCAACATTAAAATAACACAGTATATTTATATGTTGACCTTTCCTCTCTTTTTTCTTGCATTACTGATTATTTTTCAGGCTTTGTTGGCAGGTGGAACTCTTTTAGCCACTGGAGGTATAGGTGCAGCAGTTATTTTGGATCAGAGAGTTTTAGCTGGAGAATTAGAGCTTCATCCACCAAAAATGCCATGGAGTCATACTGGTTTATTTGATTCTTTTGATGCTGCCAGGTATGTGCAACTGTTTTATGGGTATTATACCACATAGCCATAAGGTAGTGTTTAAAAACATAAACATGTTAAATATCAAGCTTTTTGGCAAGGTAAAGAATAGACTGATATTTAGGGATTATGGTAAAGCTTTGAATTATGTAATGTGTTTTAGTATGTACTACTGAATTACTTAACATGTATTATTCATACAGCTTATGAGGCTTAAAACTGATATCTAACAAAAATACTATGTAATCAAGTCCTTAGTTTAATAAATGTATGTATCATGTACAGTTGTTTATTCCATTTGCACAATTCCATTATCTCATTTGAAGACTGTGGGTTCTGTAAATCATTTGTTTTATGTGTTTATTAATTTGTCATTATTTGATGACTGTTAATTTCAGTGTGCGTAGAGGTTATTTTGTCTATAAACAAGTATGTGCTGCCTGTCACAGTTTGAATTATTTAGCCTACCGTACAATGGTTGGGGCAATATTTACAGAGGAAGAAGCCAAAAGGGAAGCAGAAGAGGTGATTTTTTTTGTCAATGTTGATATTTTGTTTTCCTCTGCTTATGAGATTTTTGGCATCTATTTTCGTTCCAAGATGATCTTAAGTATGTCAAAAAATTGTTACTTAGCAGAAATGTGACAGAAGTGATATAGAGTTTTAAAAAAAAAAATGTAATTTGTGTTTAAGAGCATAAAAAAAGCTGCAGTATTCACATTTTTTTTAAATTTTATTGTGCCAGGTACTCAAGATATATTTGATATTCTAAAAATTGTTTAAATTGTTATTTACTTCAGGCAGTGATTGTTGATGGACCAGATGATGAAGGTCACATGTTTACCCGACCTGGTAAACTATCTGATATTTTCCCAGCCCCATATAAAAACGATGAAGAAGCTAGAGCTGCCAATGCTGGTGCTCTGCCCCCTGATCTTAGTTATATTGTAGTTGGTAGACATGGTGAAGAGGTATGCAATATTTATTCTCTCTACAGGGTCTTCATTAGCCCATGAGGTGCAGAACAATAGGGCGTAAAGTAAACCCCATTCATTTCATTCAACTTTAATATGTTGAATCTAGCCATCATCCCAAGATCTAGATTTCTATCAGATATTTTCAGATGAAATCTTGAAAGCATTTTGTTTTGTTTGAAATACATGTACATGGCAATCAAGGAATTCTTATTATTGATGAAATACCTTTATATGGTTGTAATAAGGATAAAATTACTTGTTACTTATATACAGTGTTGTCATCTGGTTGTATTTTGTTTTAGGATTATATATTTTCACTATTAACGGGTTATGTTGATCCACCAGCAGGAGTTAATATTCCAGAAGGCCTCCATTATAATCCATATTTTCCTGGAGGTGCTATTGGTATGGCTCAAGCTCTGTATAATGAAATCATTGAATATGAAGATGGTAGGTAGCCACTACTGTCTTAACACGTACATTGTTAATCAAAATTGAATTTGGATATCAGCTAGAAAATCACACCTCCCTTCCAAAATATGTCCTCGGTAAAAAGAAAACTGATCAGAGTAAGTTATTCTATCAGACTATCAGAATGAATGAATCACTTTTACTGTGTATCATATCAACCCGGTTTCCCCCTGTCAGTAATGTGGGTCAGAGGGGCTGTTATGGAAAAGCAGTGGTTTGGGATGGGATAATAAACCGAGGTCCCATGTGCTACAGGCTTTGCAAGTTAAAGATCCTTTGACAGTTGGAAATTGAAAATAGTAGTCTAATGCTGCTGTCCTGGCAAAATTACCCACATTGCATCCTGCCTACAAAAGTAGGACGTAAAACTCAATTTCATTTACCGGTACAATGCATTATAGTGATTATTTTTTTGTAGGAACACCAGCAACACAAAGTCAACTGGCTAAAGATGTTACTATATTCTTGAGATGGGCTGCTGAACCAAACCACGATTTAAGAAAGAAAATAGCTATAAAGGTGGGTAGAACAGATAATTGTTGAATGTGGACCATTATGGGAAGATGAACTCTGCTTATCATGTTAAAGACGCTCTTTCTAAGGTCATTGGTCTCACATGATAAAGCAGCATTTCTTTCCCTATAATGATAAAAAGAACAACATTCAATCTTTAAGTAAATCATATATTGTTTGTTCTGAGTCTGCTCTGTGTTAAACATGCCCTTCCCTTATGTGACATGTCACTTATATTAGTGGGACATAATCAGATGAAATATTCCAGACATAAAGACATCTGATGCCTTATTCTTGAAACTTAATTAAAGTAAAATCAGGATTTAAAGAAACACAGTAATAAACTAAATTGATTTTAGTGATTGACCTATCTGATTACTGGAACATAAAAATCATCTGAAGTTAGATTTTCTAGAATAAGGTCCCCTGGAAAAGTAGAACCATAATTAAAAATTGAGTATTTTAAAGTCAATTATTTATTTCAGACATTTTTAGTATTGGGCTTCTTAACGTTATCTGTATACTACTTCAAGAAATACAAGTGGTCTGTGGTGAAGTCAGTCAAAACAACCATAGGTGGAAAGAAGTTATAAGTTAAATAAATTACAAACATTTTGAGATATAAATTGAAAATCATTTCAGAAGTGACATTTTTAACTTATTGTATAGTTTATGAAACCAGTTGTATAAATGTGTGATACAAGACATTGTGGAGAAGAATTTATTGTGCTGACTGATAAATACATATTCTTATTGGATAAATTACTAAGTAACCTCAGGGCTGCACATAACCAATGTCCTTCAAGTCGACCTACGTACCTCAAATATTGAGGTTTAAAGTCAAAGCAAACATTTTGATATACATGTATAATGTATTTTAAACAGTCTGTATGTATAGAACTCTATGAATTCTACTTCAAACTTTTTCCCTCAGGCTTCAAAGTAAGTCTTTTAAGCTTTTTTTTCAAGAGTTACATTTTGAGCTATCAAACTAGATATTGCTATGTGTTTGTATTTAAAGACCTTATTGTACAGTAATAAACATCAAATCTCCACCATCTTAATTAAAGTTACAGAAAAATTCAACATTTTGTCTTTATTTCTCTACTATCAGTTCATTTGAGATTTTTAGAAAAGCAATCTGCTTCAGCTCAAAACACGCTCCCAAACATGCACTCCCAAGTTTCATGAAGATCTGATGAAAAACTGTATCATTTATCGTTACTATAAGCCAAATTAGATTTTTTTAGGAAGTGGTGGGCAATAATAACTCAAAAACCATTTATCCAATAATTGCCAATTTCAAACTTGACTGAGATTTTGTCAACAAATATATGCATACCAAGTTTTATAGATATCTGATGCTAAAATGTATCTCTAAGAAATACAGCTTTTCTAATTTAAGTTTGAAAGGTAGAGTTGGTTAGCAAGACAATAAATTAGTCATCCCATAGAGAGTATTCAGCATAGTCTTTCTTATTCAAATTCAACACCTATCGTTTCCCTGAACCCAAAAGATACGTAACATGCATTAAAAGGGGTACGTTATAGAAAAATATGAAAGGTGGTCGAAATAGATATGGTGGCTGAAGTAGGACATAGTACACTTTAGTGGAACCTCAAATGTGACAAGTACTTCCTAAATAATAGGTTTTATATGCAGACCGCAGTTCAATTGGTTCGGAGGAATCATATTCTACAAGCAAAATTACAACATCTTGTCTGACTAGCTGTTTTTTATGGTCAGCATTAACCTAGTAGGTGTCCTGAATGAGCCCCCGTACATTTCCAACTGGACGATCGTGTCTTGGTCTACTTTCAAAATGGCGGAGAAATTTGAGGCTCTGGAGCAACAACTGGAACTTTTCATCGAAAATACACGACAGTTGGGTATTATTGTCAGCGATTTCCAACCACAAGGTCAAAATGTTTTAAACCAAAAGATGTAAGTAAAAAAATATCTCCGGTGGAACGTTTTCTGATGCTCTACGTCATGTCAAGGGTTTAAAATAGTGTCTGTGAAATGCCAACTTTCTTTGTATAACCAGCTAATATGAGAGTCGGAATACAATCAATGGCTTAAAGCTAAAAATATTTTTTGTTATCAAAGATTTCCATCACGTTAGTCTATTAGGCCTATTGATTGTTATCTCTTTTCATTTTATTTTTGTAGAAACACAATGGTAACAGAAATGCAGGAAATAGAAAAATTTCGTCCATTACTCCAAGATGTTCATGTTCCATTAGAAGTGTTCAAGTAAGTAATAGGCTTAAGTATTTGTTTTCTTAAGACAATTATGCAGAAGTCTATCATGTCCAAATTTCTCATTCTATATACTAATATAAATCTGCCTCACTGCTTGTGTAGCATTGATTATAGACATCATCGAATAGACAATTACTGTTATAAGAGTGTAAGTAACCATGGCTTTCTTTCAGTTACATTGATGAAGGTAAAAACCCTAATCTCTATACCAAAGATTGTTTAGAAAAAGCACTGGACAAAAATGAAAATGTAAAGGGCAAGATGGACAACTTAAAGGTAAGATAGATTTTAAATATTTTATGCGTTTAAATCAATTGAAAACAAACCAATATTAAAATTTGGTCACCATTATCTTTTTCTCCAGTATTACCAGTACAGCTGATAGGGTAATAAAATTATTTCTTAAAAATATAAGCCATTAAATTAGTATTAAATGATGTTATTTTTCAGAGATTTAAAGGCTTATTAATGGTGGAGTTAACTAAAGTTTTCCCGAATGAAATGAACATGTATAGAGCTCTAAAAGGTGAAGATAGACTCAAGTGACAATGAATGTCAAGTTAAATGGAGATTATTTGACAGGCAGAGGATGGTTTGAGTGCAATATCTCGGTGAGGCTTGTAGGGGAACTGGTGGTGATGCCTTAGGTTACAAATGTCAGACTGATAAGTAACATGTATGGAAACTTGTGAGGAACATTGAACAGTTTAAAACATTTCCTTTTTGTTTTAAAATTTGTTGTTGCCATTGAAAGTTGGGGCACTTTCATCAGTATTATATCAGAATACAGACTGGAGGATCATCATTATCCTGTTTAAATTTATACCCATGGGGACAATTCTGATTAAGCGCTAATCACAATATGATTCTTAATCTGGACGTCAATTTAGACAACTATTTGCTAAATGGCATATACGGCATTCACACTTGGGAGGACATTTTAAAAGAACTTGCAATGGTGTTATAATATATTTATTTTTTCAACCTTTATACATTATTTTCATAATAAATATTTTTCAATTCTGAATACTTTTCTTTTTTTGACTCAATTCTTGTCTTCTCTTCTCTAAATCAATCACCTGTTGTACCTGGCCTTCAGCGATTCGTCTCATTTCTTGAGTTAGACTGTGTGCATTGGGTAATGCCTGAAATATATTGAACGCAGCATTAGCTTACCTTTATATGATATCTAAATGTCAAAGGATCTTAAAGATGCAGCCTGAAGCACAAGTGGCCACAGTTTCATTCCATATCAGCCCCCCTGAACCTCAGAAGGGGAAACCAGTCCTATTGGTTAACTACTCACTGAGATACTGCAGACCACATTAACTGATGGGTTGGATTGGGTTGGATGAATACTTCCTCTGACTGGGTGAACAAACATATGCATCAGGGACAAGGATACAAAGAAATCCATATATACCTTGACAAAGAATTTAGTAACTTGATAGAGATTAGATGAACATGATTTAAATATTGGATTGGTTTTGTCTATACCATTTAATTCTAATACAGCACTACATATCTCTTCTAATTTCTGAAAAATATAAAATTTTAATAAATTAATACCAATGAGACACCATATCAACACATATGCTGCTTCATGGATAAACATAATATTACATGAAATAAAGATAGCTTGCCAGGCAAGGTAACATACGCCCACTGGCAGCTGTCAGAAATGATTAAACAGTCTTTAGTGACTACAGGGTTGCACAATATAGCTAATAGAGTCAGACACGATATTTCACCAGACACGATATTTCGGTGAAATATTATCCGATCATCGCGAAAATTGATAGGGATCATCTTCATAATGACATTGACATACAAACAAAAAATCAAAAGAATCTGTAAAGAATTGTAGCCTGTAGAGTGAGCACGAGTTGCACAATATAGCTAATAGAGTAAAACGTCAGGTCAGACACAATATTTCGGTGAAAAATTATCCGATCATCATGAAAATCGATAGATCATCATGAAAATCAATAGGGATCATCTTCATAACGACATAGACATACAAAATAAAAATCAAAAGAATCTGTAAAGAATTGTAGCCTGTAGAGTGAGCACGAGTTGCACAATATAGCTAATAGAGTAAAACGTCAGGTCAGACACGATATTTCGGTGAAAAATTATCCGATCATCATGAAAATCGATAGATCATCATGAAAATCAATAGGGATCATCTTCATAACGACACAGACATACAAAATAAAAATCAAAAGAATCTGTAAACAATTGTAGCCTGTAGAGTGAGCACGAGTTGCACAATATAGCTAATAGAGAAAAACGTCAAGTCAGACACGATATTTCGGTGAAAAATTATCCGATCATCACGAATATCAATAGGGATCATCTTCATAATGACATTGACAAACAAAATAAAAATCAAAAGAATCTGTAAAAAATTGTAGCCTGTAGAGTGAGCACGAGTTGCACAATATAGCTAATAGAGAAAAACGTCAAGTCAGACACAATATTTCGGTGAAAAATTATCCGATCATCACGAAAATCAATAGGGATCATCTTCATAATGACATTGACACACAAAATAAAAATCAAAAGAATCTGTAAAAAATTGTAGCCTGTACAGTGAGCACGAGTTGCACAATATAGCTAATAGAGAAAAACGTCAAGTCAGACACAATATTTCGGTGAAAAATTATCCGATCATCACGAAAATCAATAGGGATCATCTTCATAATGACATTGACACACAAAATAAAAATCAAAAGAATCTGTAAACAATTGTAGCCTGTAGAGTGAGCACGAGTTGCACAATATAGCTAATAGAGAAAAACGTCAAGTCAGACACGATATTTCGGTGAAAAATTATCCGATCATCACGAATATCAATAGGGATCATCTTCATAATGACATTGACAAACAAAATAAAAATCAAA